GCGGGGAGCCGCGGCAGCCAATCACTCAACTAACCAATCAGAATGGATCACTAGGGAAGGAGAGTGAGCCAACATAAGGATCACTGGGATCACGAAGTGAGCCAGGTGAGCCAACATAAGGATCACTGGGATCACGAAGTGAGCCAGGTGAGCCAGCACAAGGATCACTGGGATCACGAAGTGAGCCAGGTGAGCCAGCACAGAGATCACTGGAGCAAGGAGTGATCCTCAAAGACAATCATTAGTATATTAGATAGCTAGCTATTCCCTTGGAGGACCTGCCGGAGGTTCTCCAGTAAGCAATGCAAGCAGTTGTCTTTACTACTGTGTGAACACTTGCTTGTGCACTTGTTGTAGACCCTTTGGCTCTACCGAACCTCACCCCGTCTAAGTCAACCTTCAGTCTGAGGAGTCCCTTTCAGTGGTAGGGGACCGAGATTCGTCACACGTGGACGGCCTCCGGGATCCAAGAACAAGCGGAAGGCCGGTGAGGGATGGCGGAGAGGAAGAGGTTACGTTGTGTGGATATATACGTTGTGTGGATATGAGCGTTCTGTAGCGATTTGAGTGTATTCGAGCGATTTGAGCGCATTCCAGCGATTTGAGTGTATTCGAGCGAATTGAGCCATTTGAGCCACTCTTCGCGTTGAGCAGAAAGATGGGCGCGCACAAGTCAGAAAGGGGGGGAGGGGGTGCGGATGTACCAGCTAAAACCCTAACCCTCATGGGGGACTAGTGCACGAATAGAATAGTACTAGTGCACACGGAGTAATTCTCTAATTGGATTGAGTTGTCCCTTGCTACAGAGTACATACCTTCAAAAGAACAAGCGGAGATCGTCGCAAGTGAAACAGTCTTTTCGAAGCCCGTAAATTACAGTGCATGTGTGACATTGGTTTACACTGGAAATCCGGTGTTACTGTAGGTACTCCTTGCATGTGTCTTCCGCTAAAGTTAACGTTTTATCCACTGTCACAACTTCCCAAGTGGGCTAACGCTTGGTATCACCGGACAAGGCGGCCTTGCTAGGCTTTCACGTGCAGACGTGTATTTGGAACTGGAGCGAACCCCCAGACGCGTTCTCCTGTTCACATTTCTTTCCAGAGCACGAAGGAATTTCTCATACAGCATTCTTGTAAACTGAGGAAAACACCTGGAAAAGCCGGCACGAAGTTAAAATCCCCGAAATGAATCAACCCATCCCAGTTTACCTTCCTGTAAGTATCGCAGGCCGTTAACATTTGACACGCGTCCGCATTGGCCGAGGAGCGCCTTGGGTCGACATTCGGTATCCAGCTTCCAGATAACTGACGAGGAACTGCAGGAATCCGGGACCAGCTACCCTGCGCGCCCTCCCTTGGTCCCATTGCCTGGCGCGGTCAACACCCAGCTAAGCCAGACTCTCCCGAGCGGACCGGTCTTGTCGTCCGACAAACCAAGCAATAAACGCAAATCCACTGAAGACCATGCGCCCCAGGCCGAAGTCAATCTCGATGACATTAATGTCGATGGCATGGTGATGGATAACTGCGACCAGGTCAGGCGCAAGATCAACCGCCTCATTGACTCGGGTGCCATTACCAAGACAGCGTTTGCTCGCGAGATTGGCGTCAGTGCCAAATCGCTGAACGGCTTCCTGGGCGTCCATGGTCCAATGAACGGAGCCGCTTTTGCCGCGTACGACGCTGCCTGGGAGTATTTCAAGAAGCGCGAGATTGCCGGCATCAAGCTGCCAGTCAAGGCTCCAGCCAAGGTTCCAGCGGCCAAGAAGCAGAAGACGGCCACCGCCAGTGCCTCCCCCACTGCCTCCACCAGTGCCGCCGCAGGTACCGCGGCCAGTGCCGCCACCAGCGAGGGTCAGAGCACCGCAACAGCGAGAGCTGCCAGCAGCGGAGCCGTTCCTGATATCAGCGACATTGTCCTCCCGGGCGAGGAAAATGATGCAGTGCCCGTTTTTGACACATGCGACGAGATCCGAAGAAAGATCAATGCCCATCTCAAGAAGCCGGGCGTCACGCAGGCTCAGTTCTGCCGCGACGTTTATGCCCAGTTGAAGGGCCCGAGCCGCCCAGGAAAGCCCTTCCAGGGGGTGCAGCTAGCCAGGTTCCGCGGCATGAAGGGCCCCTTGTCGGGTGCAAAGTCATCCTTATACTACGGCGCCTACGTCTTCTTCGAGAAGGTGCGTATCAAGGAGGGCAAACCCAAGAGCAAGCACCGCCTGGACATGGAGAAGCAGTGGGATGCAGAGGGCATTGACAGGGAGCATGACCACCGTTCACTGTGAGTTGACGATTTTACCCCTCCCTTCTCTCAATATCTTCAGGCTTCACATTGATGATTCTTCCAGCTGCTTCTTCTGACCGCCCTCGTTATGCAGCATCACCTGCCACGTCAGCGAACGCCCGTCGATCGATCAGTACGGGAAGCTCCATATCGAACGAGTAGGTCGCTTTTAGCAAACCGACAACTTATTGTCGTAGGAAATTCTCTCTGCTTATCTTCCTCCGTTTAATTTTGTCCTTATTTCTCTCTTTGGGTTCTATGAAAAGGTTGAGTATCCCAAGGCTCAGGCTCTTCCGTGGCAATCTAGTAGTGGATTCTGGTACATGTATGTGAGGTTCGCTAAGGGCGTCGTGTTGTGTATCTCGATGGGCTTTAGGGGGTGGTCATCTGGTTTGATTTCTTATTGTCTAGTACTGGGACTCTGGTAGTGATTGGATCTTAGAATCTTGAGCAATCAACTCTCTTGATCTACGCACCATAGCCTCAGCTTCAAACAGCATCTTCCGGCAGACTTTCAATCAGCCGATCTAGCATACACTGATATGGAATGTGCGAATGCAATCAGCATCTACTAGCACCAGTCATAGTTTCGACCTCTCTACCGACTACCGAGTCTATCGCGCCTTCCTTCCCTCGCAGGTACTACTATCTGAGACAAGTTGCCACTACCTTACATTACCTTACCAATGTTGTTCAGAGCGCAGTGATCACAGCCGCCGTCTGTGGCTTCACCTAGACTGTAGGGCATACCAGACGTCCAGTAGACCGCAAGTGCCTTTGGGCAGACCTCCTGCATCGCAGTCAAGCCCATCATTTCGACGGGCCATCGGGTCCTACGTCACTACGTGGTACCGGGTACCCCAGAGGAGATACAAGTCTTACCTCCAGCGGTTCCATTAAGTTACTCTTCTCTCGCGACCTCGACGAGGACGCAAAGCTTGCAAAGAATTGCCGAGACGCCCGACGGCAAGCATGACGGAAACCTCAGCCGACACCGGCGTCGTGGACAGTCCTGACATGAATAAGTGGACCTGGTACGATGTCAAGAGTGCCGGTACCCGTCGAGAACCCAGAGTTGCTGACTATCTCTTCCTTTTGACAGGGGCGGATTCTTTGTTGGGTTGAATCGAGCGATCCTGGGCGACGAACCGGCATCGATCAAGGCATATCTTAAGCTTGCTGTCACGGTGCTCACGTTGGTCGACCTCTCCGCCAGGATATTCAGCTGGCCGCAGACCGCTGTCGCCCTCGCCCTGCACAAGTGGGTGCTGCAATGAGACAGTTTTATGAGCTGAACCGCCGGGCGTGACTGGTATGGGATTGACAGCGGAGGTTACATGGAACATCTGGGCCAGTTGGAATATTTCGCGTCTCCTATGGCGATTCTCCTTGTCATTCATCACACGGATGTTTCGTGTTGGATCAGGGAGAGGTGGAACATTCTCCAAGTTCCATTCCGCCATGTGGCTGAGAGCATAAAGGGCTTTGGGGAGACGCATTGATGCGACTCGCAGGAAGAACAACGTTTGCTAGATTACTAGTATACCCCCAGATACGGGCGTCCCAAGAAAAAGAGGTTCCAGGTTGATTACGTCCGAGCAGAAGCAGCTCGTACGCATTTCGACGAGGGAGATCGACAATACGCCGGCAGCCATAGGTCGGCCTCCTCGGATAGCAAAAAGACCTATTCTCTAAAGGCTCAGCCATAGAATTCCCTAATGAGTGACTTGTAGCTGAGAAGATGAGCGAGAAAACCCAAAAGATGAGGTGAGATTGCATTGTTCTATCCCATCCGTCTATCTCAGTCTTACCTCGATGTTGCTAATATCAGGCCAAGTCCACCGAATAGGTTTCTATGTCGGCCCATTCGCTTGATCTTTCACTTGGTGGATTGTCAGGAGGTAGCATACCCGTGGGCTCGACTCTCACGTCTTCAGGGGCCACTCTCAAGAGAAAGTGCCCCCTAAATGGAATGAAGGTTGGGCCCACGGGTATCTCAAAGACTCCAGATTGTCTATAGGATATGGAGCTGTCGCATTGCCTTGAGAACTTCGACTGGAAGGATTTCGGCACTGATACCTTATAAATGGGGGCAACACATTCAAAGTATTTGAGCGATGCAGTACGCTTACACTAGTACTGTACTTGGGAGAAAAGAGGCCGCGAAGTAAACAATAAATAGGAGGTGGTGAAGCCGTGTCAAAGTCCGGACTGCAGCACAAAAATAGAAATCGGAGCGAAGCAAATGGCCCCTGCGGTGTTGGAGACGGCACCAACGTTAGAGTGGCGCCCCAGGCAAGGGTCTGCATCCCTGCCGAGCCAAAAATGACAGGTGTTTCGGGCACTTACAAAACCGTCGCAGGCGCAAAACCTTTGGCATCTCTCCAACCCTTCGAGAACTGGACAGGTAGGAGCTGCAAACTCCGCCGGGCCAAAATCATCGTGATCTCTGCTCATACGATAATGCGACTATGAAAATCTCTACTATTTCTTTGGGCCTGTTGGCTCTCCTTGCATCAACCACATTTGCATGGACGAAGGAAGGCAAGTTTGGTCTCGTCGACAGCACCCCACCCCTTACTGTTGCTGTGTAAACATGTGCTGACCGTCCTACTTCTGAGCAGACCGCGAAATATTCCGCGTCCGTGACGAGCTGATTGCACACGAAGGGCCGGATGTCACGTTCTACGACTTCCTGGGTGTGAGCCGGTCGGCGAGTCACGAGGACATCAATAAAGCCTACAAGAAGAAAGCTCGGCAGCTTCACCCGGACAAGGTCAGGCAGCAGCTCACAGCCGAGCGCGTCAAGGCCCAGAAGGAGCAGGCCAAGAAAAAGAAGGGGAAGCCGGGAGTCCAAGTGACGAAGCCTCCCTCGGCCGCAGAGATCAAGGCCGCAGTCAAGCGCGCCGAGCAGCGCCAGACTCGCCTGTCTATTGTCGCCGACGTCCTCCGCGGACCGGCTCGCGACCGGTATGACTACTTCCTCGCCAACGGCTTCCCCACTTGGAAGGGCACCGAATACTACTACAGCCGCTACCGGCCGGGCCTGGGCACTGCCATGTTCGGCGTCTTCCTCTTCGCCGGCGGCGCTGCGCACTACCTTGCGCTCTACATGAGCTGGAAGCGGCAGCGTGAGTTTGTTGAGCGCTACATCAAGTTTGCCCGGCACGCTGCGTGGGGAGAGAACCTCGGCATCAACATTCCGGGCGTTGAGGAACAGCCGGCGGCTGCTGCTCCTGCTGCCGCCCCTCAGCAGGTGTATCAAGACGAAGAAGGGCGGGCTGTTCCGATGAACCGGAAAATGCGCAGAATGCAGGAGCGTGACGCCAAGAAGGATGCGGCCAAGGAGACGCGGGGTGGTGCGCGCGGGGCCCGTCGCGTGCCTCGCGCTTCTCCCTCCGCATCGGGAGCTGCGACGCCCCAGCCGCAGCCCCAAGGCAGCGGGCCAACGGGAGCAAAGAAGCGAGTCGTTGCCGAGAACGGCAAGGTCCTAGTCGTGGACTCCTTAGGCGATGTGTACCTCGAACAGGAGGACGAGGACGGTAACGTGGCCGAGTTTCTGCTTGATGTAAGTTGCCGACTTTGCGCTGGTTCATCCGAGATTCCCAACACTAACACCTTTTTCAGCCCAACGAGATTGCTCGCCCCAGCATCAAAGATACCGCCGTTGTCCGTCTTCCACTCTGGGTCTATCGGTTGACGATTGGGCGTCTCACCCCTAAGCGTGCTGAGGATGCGGCGGAGGGTGATGACCAAGAGGCAGAGGCCGAAGTTCTGGACGAAGACGATGCGGACTCAGAGCCCGGCAAGCTGACACCTAGCAGCTCCGCGGAGGATTTTGAGATTCTGGAGAAGTCAGTCGACGAGTTGGGGCAGGCTAAGGCCAGTGGAAACAGCCAGAAGCAGGGCGGCAAGGCTAGCAAGCGGAAGAACAAGAAGAGATGATACGGGTGTAGGAGCATCATCGGGAATGGGTAGGCATCATTTGGAATCTAGTGTGGGCGCGTAAGCCATTACGATAGAGTTCGAAAAGAAACAGCGATTAAAAGTCATTTGCAAGACGAATTTATCATTTATGAAGATATGTAACTATCTGTTTATCCCTTAAATAGACCGCCCTGGAGAAAAGACCGAAGAGTGCCTCCACAAACAGCAATGAGGATGTATATGCGCCCAGTATTCAATGACAGCATTGAATGCCGTCCTTGCAACAATTCCGAAACTCCATGTCCCGTTCGAACCCAATCAGCCATCCAACAGCCACCCTGAAACACCAAACCCATTACGTCCCAACAGCATGGCTCAACACCTTTGCCGCCAACTGGCTAAGCAACCTTGCGCGGTCGCCCTGCGGAAGTTCCTGTATGACCAGTCAACCTCTCACTCCCAACCACTCTGCCCCTCATATCTCCTCTAGAAATTCGCCCGCGACATGAAAAGCTCACCTGAAAGACCGCATACACGCTCTTCCCCCTCGCATCCCTGACCGCGCCAAGCCGGTTCCCTGCCACGGCGCCCGCAACGAGGCCGGGGACATTGGCGACAATGAACCCAAGCGCGCCGCCGCTCAGCCCGCCAAGGACACTCCAGAACTTGCTTGTCGGCCGCCCTGTGCCAGCAGGGTCCGCCATCCCTTCCTCACGGAGCATCTCCTCAAACACGTCGGCGAACTGCTCGTTCTCGGTCCGCTCCCGGTCCGCATCTTGATCGGCGCGCCCCTGGCCTTGGCCGGTAAAGAAATTCCATGCCCATGAAAACGCCGTCCCGGCGGGGCTCGGCCCTCCTGCACCTCCACCTGCGCCTGGCGGTGGTGGTGGGGGCACGCCGGTGTTCTCCTCGGCGAACGGGTCTGCTGTGGAAAAACCGCCCGGCTGGGGATAATAGAACTTGCGCTGCGCGTCGTAGTCCCGCCGCCGGGTGCTGTCCGACAGGGTGTAGTAGGCGTCGTTGACCAGTTGGAATTTGCGAGTTCGTTCGGCGCGCTGCGGGTGGTCGGCGGGGATGCGGTCCGGGTGGGTTTTCAGGGCCGCGCTTTGGGGAAGAAAGGTTAACGTTAGATTCCAATGACATGAACCAGGTGGGAGGATCAAGGTGGGTAGGTCGCGGGGTGATGCTCACCGTTTGTAGGCATCGCGAATTTGGCTCGTTGTTGCCGTTTCTGGGACCTCGAGGATCGCGTCTGGAATGCGAGTTAGGGGGGTTCTGTTTGCAAGGCTTCGTCGTATGGGGACTTGCAGTAATTGGGCGGACGGCCGGTTCTCGAAGCCATCGTGGCGTCTAAGTTGGCGGGGGTCTGGTGCTATCTGGGAGGGGACTGTTCGAACGATGACTGCAGTACAGAGACTGGAAGTTGTGTTCGGTGCTCAGGATTGATACCTTAGCAGTCGTTCGACGGGCTCGTATGTTTGAGTAGCGTGGTTGGGGGGAGTCAGTCACCCCAGACTCAGTCCGATTTCCTCGTCAGGCTGGCGACTGGAGGGAGCAGCCGACGTCATCTGTGGCGCTCGCATGTGCGCATGTGGCTGATTGCACCTGAGCCTGGGCCCACTGAATGCAAGCCCCTCCAAAGTGGGTCTCAGGGCCCAGGCTCCTCCCCTCGCTCCCCTCCAACTGATCGACAAAGATCTCCTCGAACCCGACCGATCGATTCCCTTTCCCTCGGGCCATGAATTATGCACTTGCCTTACCTCTTGTCTCATCGTTCGCTGTCTGGCTCAACTTTCCGAGAGAAAATTCACCGGTAGCTATGTGTCTATTTGTTGATGTCAATTCTTCCATACCTGAACAGCTGATTGCAAGAGATTCCTCCCATCCATTCATGCCTACCCCCGTGTCACCGCTTCATTGGGCAGGGTGACTCAAATCGCAGCCGCTTGGGCCCGTTTCAGGTCGCCTGCTCTGCAACGCATGACTGCTCTAGGGAAAAGCGACATGTGTGACTGCCCAACTGTCACACCTTGTCGAGGCCAGAGATAAAGCGAAATCGGGAAGACAGTGGGATACCCATGCCGCTAATGGAGCCTAACGCCTGTCCGGCCGGGCCTGTGTGTGCTGGTCGTCGGCGTCAACCATCAGCCATTTCCCTCTCTCTGCTGTCATTGATCCGTTCCTGGTCCCTGCCAGGTTGCCATTTACCTTAGCTCCTCCTTGTTGCAGCTGCCACCTCTTGCTCAACAAAAATTTAGACTGGGCCAATCCTGCCTGCCCCTCTTCATTTCTCTGCATCAGACCTCACACGTACATATTGTGTTCCTGTGTCCTCCAGATCTCGCAGAGCTTCTTCGCTTTTGAGATCACTTCGCGACGGAATTTGAGCCATTGTTGCCTGTTCCTTTGAGGAAGACCCGAACCGTCGGCTTCCTGTCCGCTTCCATTTGCGTCCCTTTATCTCGCATCTTGGAGAGCTTAATTTGGACTACCTCACTACCCCGCCATTGTTCGCCCCGCGGCACTGCTCGCTCACGACGTCAAGACCATTCTGAGAGCCGAGCGATTTCTTCCTTCACACGTGGCTCTTGCGCTGTCCTCTTTGTGCCGGCTCTCGTTCAGCAAAGTGACGTCCTCTCCAGTACATAGCATAGTCAATATATAACGAGTTGCTTACTGCCGCTGCGCACTCGAGACCACAACCTCTCCATTTACCTCTTGGTATTTGGTGTTTCGCTGACCTTTACCATCTGATTTCCTGTGTACCGGCAAAGAACGGAACACATAGAGCACAGTAGCTTGACGCTGTCCAGGAAATACTATCGAGGTACCATGCCCCGGGTTATGCCCATCCTGCCAGCTTGGTGCGATTATTGGGAACTCGGGTGGCTAACACGTCATTTACAGCTCGGCATCTGCACCATGGCTGCCGTGTATGCAAACATACTGCCCCAGGAGGAACTGGCGGCCCTGTTCTCCCGGAATCTCTCTCTACATCCCGTGGCCCAGCCAGCAACAGAACCTGTACTAGCTCCTGCACCCATACCCGCCCAAGCCCCGCAAGAAGAGCGCAAGATTGTCTATATTTCGCAGCATTACACCCACTCTGCCCACGTAGCACGGCAGGAACCCCAAACACAGCGACCTGCCTCGGAGCCTCCCCAAAACGAGCATGCCACAGTTGAGAGAGCGCTCAGGGAACGTGGTGTGGACCCTTCTAGCTTGTCATCAGCACAACTGGAGCTCTTCAAGAGGGTTGATACACCGGAAAAGCTAAAGCTCATCGAACTGTGGCGCATTTGCCCGCCGACAAACTCCAGTGACAACCCCACCCTGGCATGGAGCATGACAACCGTCGACCAGGAGGAGGCCCTGGCCAAGATGCGCTACGAGCGACTGCAGCAACAGCAACAACAACAAGAGGACGCGCGGTCAGCCGGAGAGGATACAGTCATGTCCCTGGACGGCACACCTTTGACCCCGATCCAAGCAGGCGACGGCCGGTGGGACATGGCGGCCATGGCGATGCACTACATGGAGCCGTACATGGCATCGGGTTACGAAGAACTGGCTCGTCGTGAGTATGAAGAGTCCGCTCGAAGGGCATATGCTGAGGCCGTTTCGGCGACTCTCGCGTCAAAGGAGGAGACGGCTACATTCAGTCCGTTCGCAACGAGCAACACCACTGCCGCCGGGGCTGGTGGCACGACTTTTAACCCAGCACATGCGGACCCGGTGTACCGCATCACGAATTCCGGTACTGCGGATAACTGGGGAAGAGAGGCGGCCATGGCAGATCAGTATGGAAGGATCATGGCGATGAGTGGAGGATGGTGAGATGGCTGAGCTGTTTCTGATACATGTTGGCCGAGAATACGGAAGACGGGTGGCATGTTTATCCTCTGATTAGTCGACCAAGTTGTTTAGAGCACGTATATGAGGAGCTCTAACTCTGGAGGTATGTACATACACAACGCGTCATAGGCGGTCACCTACATCACCTATGTTGTTCGTGTCCCTTCGGGTGACGGCATAGATAGCGCCTACCTTGAAGTACAGGACACAGTTGGAAGGTTAGAATCGATTTACCTACCGTTTCCTGTTGTCTGTGACTTTTGCCGAGTGGAAAGGGATCACAGGTTTGAAATCAGGGTCACCCGTCTATTCATGTCACCCAGATTCTGGGAAGTCATTGACTAATGCTAAAAGCTACGCTGAAGACTCATGTAACTCAGCGCATACCAACCCTATATCATCCTCTCAGTCAAACCTCTCGTTTTCTCCAGCACCCAACAACCCTGCGTCCCGAGCAGCTGTCCCTAGGCTCAGTGTCCGTCCAAGGACTCTTGATCTTCTTCCACCCTAGCTTTCCGCTGGCTACCCTCCGCTCTGGGTTTATCAGCCAAAGGCTCCAGGCAGCTGGCAATGAGCTCTGCCTCTCTAGCACTCTTCGCAGCACTCCTCTCCCGTTCTCCACCAATCGGTCTCGGTCCAGGCTGCTGCAGCAGGCCAGACCCTCCAGCACGGCCAATATCAACCCAGTCATCCTCCTTCCCGCTCGTGACACTGCCTGGCATGCCCGGGGCAGCGTCCCTCCGGCCCACAGCTACAACCTCGGCACGACCTTGACGGGCAGCAGCATCGCTCTCTGTTCCTCCACCTTCCAGGCTCGGGCCCAGCCCTGCATAGTATCCCCCGACAGGTCTTGGTCTCCCAGACCCCACGGGCCCGAGTCTGAGTCCATTCCCCTCAACCCGGGGGGCATCGTCATAACCACTACCACTCACCCTGCTACCGCGAATACCATCAACCCAGCTGCCCGCAAATTTTTGCCAGCTACGCATCCTGTGGTTAGGCACTGGTACCGGGGCAGTCAAGCCGGCCCATGGCTGTGACGGTTGCGGTTGCGGTTCTGGTTGTGATTGAACCGGAGCAGCCTCCTCCAGTCGCCGCAGTCGGTCGAGCATTGCCTGGTTATAGGGATGGGAAGCCGCTTGTTTTTGGTCTTGGTCCTGAGCGTCCAGATTGTCGTCGTCGTCGCCGCCGGTCACGGTGGACGTGCTGGCCCGGGTGTGGTGATCCTGTTCCGGCGTGTTGCTTGGGACAGGGACAGGGATGGGTTCAGGGCTGGGGTTGAGAGGTCCGCCAAGAAGGGACGATAAAACCTGCGGATCGGTACGGTTGATGTATGCTTCGAGATCGGGACGGGTCCAGGGCTTGAATGGCTTTTTGCGGAGAGGGTACGATGGAACAGCCGGTGGTTGACTTTGCGGGTCCGTACGGTTCATGTGTGCTTCGAAATCGGCATCTGTCCAGTTCGTGAATGGCCGGTATAGCCACTCGGAATGGTCTGCATGCCCCGCGGGTGTGCAGTGACGGTGGCGGGTGGCGTGAGGGTTCCCTGTGATGCTGGAGCTGGTACCAGGGAGTCCAGGTCCGGGTCTGGGGCTTGGGCCGGGACGTTCACGGAGGAGGGATGAGGGGGCCAGCGGGGTCTGCGGCTGGGTATGGTTGTGGTTATGGTTTGCTTCTGGGTTAGCACGGGGGCCATCCTTGAGTGGCCGGATTAGCCTCTGTACATCCTCATCAAGATGCGAGGGTCTGCTATGATATGGTGGCGGCGGCACCATGGGGCTGGGAAGCCGGAAGGGGTGCGGCGAAACGGATCGCAGTCGGCCAGGTAACGGCCATCTCGGCATGGGCTGCGGTGAGGAGGCGCGTTTGGACGTCCCGGCGTGCGCATCGGCACAGGGAGAGCCGCAAGATGTGGGCCAGTCATCGTACGAGTCTGAGTCGGTGGAAAGGTCGAGGCTGCGGTTGCGGAGGAAAGGAGTCGCTGGTGGTGCGTGCCGTGCCCGCGACTGGCCGATGATCCCGGCCGTTTCTGGGTGCGGCCGCTGCGGGAATGTGGATGGCTGGATGGGAGGGCGGTGCCGGACCGGCGGAGGCGTCAAAGGGACCCTCACTCGGCTACGCCAGGTGAAATGCGCTGGAGTTACATGTAGAGGGCGTGACGCGGGAGGTGATACGAACTTGGAGACAGGGCTGATAGGTCTATGGGCGAGTTGTTCGTGACGTTCAGGGAACCAGGCCGCTCTTGGTGATGTCGTGTTGCTAGAAAGGGTCTGGGATGACGGCTGGGGACTGGTCTCTCTGTCGCCAAGATGTAAAGATAGGTTTACGATGTGGCAGTTGTTGAAAGTTGGGGCAGGTCCGGGAAAAGAGTTGACAATGTCCTCGGGATGAGGCGGGTTCAAGCTTTGAGGAGCCTCTCCTGGCTGGCCACCTAGGTGATTGGGAACCGGGGGAGCTCTCTCCATGTTCTAGAGAGACCAGGTCAGTGAGGATTGCGGTGGGTTCAACTACACCATCCTAGTACTAACTGACAAGCTATAGAGGTTGCGGTTGCTGTCGACGACACGTCTGGATACGGAGCAGAAAACAGAAAAACTGAAGAACGACTGCTGTAGAGCCGGAGTACTACTGGGAAGGTCGGGCTCTGAAAGCAGGGAGTATATATGTTTCGCGAAGGTAGAGAGTTGATGCTGAATTCTTACTAGACACATGCAGTAGGGAGGTCCGGGGAGTTCTTATAGATGACCCCAGGGGCGACCCGATGCAAACACATCATCGAGTTGCCCGGTGAGCCTCGCTGCTGGGGTAGCCTAAGAAAGGACAGAACATGGCAGCTGAGCAAGGTTCATGACCGATATAGGTTTCACCCGTGGCATGATGGTGACGCATTGTATTGTCCTGGGTTGAGGAATAACTTCATCCTGAAGTTCGTTTGCTTGCCTTTCGAAACCAGCGTTTGATACTCGTCCTGTTTTGCTGCATCATGCCCGCTTATCGACATGCTCCAAGACCTTGGCTGAGAGAAAGGTACCTATAATACAATGCTAGGTGTGCGATGCCACAACTTAGTCGTCATAGAACATGGCAGCTGAGAACCCAATGCTCGTTCAGGACAAAAGCATGTAAACTGCAAACGACAAAAGGGGTTCAGGGGGTGCTTACTCGTACTCTTGATCTTATCAGCTTATCTTATCGCAGTCTGTGGCGCAGCCCAAGCTGAGAGTTAGGCTGAGCACAAGCCACAGTTCCAGCCTCAAGCCACTTGCCGGGGAAGCAACGCGCATCTCCAGGCTGCCTGATGGGGAGCTCAGCAAGCAGCAGCTCCCAGAAATCAAACCAGGAAACCTCGACTACCTCCGCCGCCTCAGACCACTCGCCCCGCAAACACAGCGTCGCTTCTTTCTACATCTCAGATATCGATCACGTTGTCGCATAGACCAAACCAGTCAGATCTGCAGCCACAATGGTATGTTTTCGCACCAGCCCCCCATCTTAACTTCACCCAACAGCTCCAAAGAAAGATCCAAGCTTACACCACCCCGTTGCCTTGATTTCCACAGACGTCGATAGGCACAGGCTACGACCTCGCCAACTCCATTTTCTCTCCCGATGGCCGCAACTTCCAAGTCGAGTACGCCGTGAAGGCGGTCGAGAACGGCGGGACCGCCATCGGCATCCGGTGCAAGGACGGCGTGGTGCTCGCCGTCGAAAAGATCATCACATCCAAGCTCCTCAAACCCGGCGCCAACAAGCGCATCGCGACCGTGGACAGGCATCTGGGCGTCGTAAGTCAACTCCGGGCAACCCCCTCTCCCCGCTCCATGTGTCCAACCAGCTTAACTAACCCCCCGGCGCTTGCGCCTCTTAACAACAACAGGCATACTCCGGCATGGTCCCCGACGGGCGCCACTTCGTCGACCGGGCGCGCGACGAGGCCCGCGCATGGCGCGACACGTTCAAAACGCCCATCTCCACTGCCGACCTGGCGAGCCGGATGGGCGGGTACATGCAGGCGTACACTCTATACCAGTCCGTTCGGCCCTTCGGCATCACAGCCATTGTCGGCGGCTTCGACAGCCGGGAGGAGGCCCCCGTGGACGGCGAGGTGGGCAGTGGCCCCTCATGCGGCGCCGGCGGGAAAGTGTCGTCCAAGACGCACGGCGGGCCCTTTCTCTACATGATCGAGCCCTCGGGACTTTACTGGGGATACTACGGCGCGGCGACGGGCAAGGGCCGGCAGGCGGCCAAGGCTGAGCTTGAAAAGCTTGATTTGTCCGGTGCGGAAGGTGGGATTACGCTTGAGCAGGCTGTTAAGGAGGCTGCTCGTATTATTTACGTGGCCCATGATGATAGTAAGGATAAGGAGTTTGAGCTTGAGATGACGTGGATTAGCGGCGCCGACGGCCCGACTAAGGGCTTGCACCAGGAGGTACCCAAGGCGCTGCGCGAGGAGGCGGAGCGGTTGGCTAAGAAGGCGCTGGAGAGTGATGATGAGGATGAAGGGACTGAGGAAAAGAAGGGGGAAGAGAAGATGGAGGAGTGAAAGGTGGGCATAAGGGGGATTTATGATAATATGGCGTTATTCGGGCGAGATGGCGCCTGATATACACTTGTACCAAAAGGCAGGAGGGTGAGGTGGGCTTTGCTGGTGGGAAGATAGAGATTAATTTCCATCTAGCACTGGACGTCATTCACGGCTGTGTCGCGATTGCGGCTAGGGAAATGTATCAATCCTCCGCCCAGCTTGAAGCAGTCATTCACACAAATATGCAAGTTGAAATACTCCAATTTCACTCAGGATATTATGAGGAAGCCCTGCATGCGCTGATGCATTTACTTAGTCTCCTGCGTCGTCGCCGCAGTGCTGGCGTGGCTCTGGCACCAGTTCAGCCAATCCGAGAAGAAGGCCGGCTGAATCTTGACCTCGCCCTGGAACCATTTCAGTTGTGTGCTCGCGTACATCTGAAAGACTTGTGCCCTTCTCTCCTTTTCGCTGCACAAGACGGACGCCACAGCCAAGCTGGCTGCCGAGACGGCCTTGGCGAAGGCGTGTGATGGATCCTTGGACGCCTCGCCGTGGAGTTCCTCGAGCAGATTCAACAGCGCTTCAAAATCCAGTCTGTCCGTCATCTCGGCGTGGCTGCCCCGCGCCTTTCGGAGACCCCTGGACAAGTTTTGGATCGTCTCGCATGCCTTGTTCGCTAGCGCCTTGGTCGTTGTGCTGCGCACGAGGTGGAGTAGTGGCATCAAGATGTCAAACGCAAGCCTGTTGCCCGTCGTGGCCTCCTTCTTGACAAAGATGGCCAAAAGATCAAGAACACGGTGCTTAAAGTTGATGACCGTGTCCTTGGCGTCCTTCTTTTCCTTCTTCTTGCTGGTCGTCTTGGCGCGCTGCCTAAATATCTCAGCGAGCTTTTCGTCTACCGCCATCATCTCCGAGTCGGTCATGTCCGACTCTTCACCAGATTCGGCTTCAGCGTCCTTGTCCAGGCGGTGGCTCCCGAGGACTTCAGCGAGGGCGTTATCCAAAGTGTCAAGAGCTTCCTGATCATTGTCTTGGCCATCTTCAGCTTTTTCCTCTTGTTCCCCATCATCGGAATCGCTCTCGTTGTCATTCGCGTCTTCAGATCCCGCATCTTCGAGATCCACAATCTCAACATCAGAATCGAGTTCCTCTCCGTCGCTTCCACTGCCATCAGCGGCTTCGGCATTCACCATGTCTTCATCTTCAGTGCTGAACAGGGCCTGTTGTCCCTTCGCGCTCTCTTCGGCAACCAAGGGATCCGTCAGGAGCTTGAGTGCTTCGGCCGACATGAACCCAGTAAAGGCTTCAAACACTTGCAGAGAGACCTGCCGCATGAGCGCCGACGGTCGAGCAACCATGGCGAGCAGGATTTCGACCAGATACTCGGAGATTCCTTCGTCAGACCCGTGACCATAGCGTTCGAGCTTGTGATAGCACTCTTCAAGCTCCTCAAAGAGGTCTACCACGTCGGGATCCTGGTTGTAGAACTGCAGTACACCCACGGCATGCAGCAAAGCCAACGCTTGTCGAGGCGTCCGGGTCGAATCTGTCTCCCTTGCAGGGTCGAGAAGGTCTTTTAACCGTTGGAACGCGCCGGGAAGAACAGAGCTCGCAACCTCATCGTTCGGATCCACATCGACTTCAATGGACAAGATAGCGTCACATAAGTGCCCAAAATCCTCTGGCTTCCGTACGAGTTTGGCAAAGGCTGAGCTGGCTCTCGTCCGAAGTGACTCTCTCATCTCCATCGGCACCGATTTATTCGCATAAGCAAGTTCGGTTAGCGCCTGGATCGCCAAGCTGGAAACGGACTTGCTGGAAGTGTTGGCGTCGGCGGACTCAGAAGGTACGCTGGCCAACCTAACCAGATAGTTACCGAGCGCCTGGTAGTACTTGGTCTCGTCAAGACCACTCTTGGCAGGATTTTTGAGCTGCAATATCTTAAGCACGGGCTTGATGGTGGCGGGCGTTGTGTTGTGGAGAATCTTGTCTACCGTCTTGGTGTTTGTTCGCTGGTCAAAGTTGTACGCCCCTTGTTTGCCGAGAAGCTCGCGCAGAATGGTAGGCAGGAGTGATGGCGTTTTCTCAATGGCAACTTCGATGGCCTTGAGCGCCTTGATAGCTGCACGATGAAGATATCGGTCTTCCTTGGCAGCTTGGTTCATGAGACAGACCATGAGGTTCTTGCTAAAGAGCGCTTCCACTATGAAGGAGCACTCAGCGGCGGCTTCGAGCATCTTCTGAAATATCATGAAGCCTGAGAACTTCTGACTATCAGAGGCGTTCTTTGAGAAGAAGCTTTCTAAGCACTTGTCAGCGTATTGGGTCTAGATGGGGGCAGGGTAAGCAACCAACCGTCAACAACGCGAATCCAAAACTGTTTGAATTGCTCTGCAGTCTCGCCCTCGGGTTGTCCGCCATGCTTGATAAAGTGAGCGAGGATTAAGTCCCAGACAAAGTGGAGCTGCGCCGTCCAATTGCCCTGCTTAGGCTTCTTGCTGTTCTCCTCATTCGGTGTTTCCCTGCCACTGTCCTTCAGAGCGGCTGGGAGAGCGGCAAGAGAGGTAGCAGCCAACGGGTCTCGCCACGATTGTGCTGGAGTCTTCATATCGGGAAACCGATCCAGGGCCGCGATCCAGATGCCAACGCCTTCAGGTGTCTTGGCAAACCCTTCATCTGCCAGCTTCTGCAGAGTGCTCTCGGCCAGCTTCTTCTTCGTCTGCGAGATGGCCTGTACGATAACGTAGCCACACTGTGACTTTAGCCAGGACTTCTTCGCTGACAGCTTCAGAAGGAGCTCTAGAACCGAATGCCATCTCGTCTTGTCGGTAACGAGAATGCCGGCGCGTACAAAACACTCGATGCCAAATAATTGACCAAAGTAGTGATCTCGTTCCTCCTGGCCCGGCACGTTTCCACCAGCTTGCGTCTTCTCGACCAAGATACTAAGGACTTTCTCGAAGGTCAGGCCGGTGTACTTGGAGCTTGCCAAATCCTTCTCGCCAAACAGTTGGCCCAAGATCTCGGTTAAGACAAGACTAAACCCGAGTCTGGAGGCGTTCCTACCACTTGCGAGACCGCGGAACAGGCGCTTTTCGAGATGTCGCAAGAGCACGGGCTCGGGAACGCCCTCTTGGCCCAGGAGACTGGATACAATGGCGTCGGCGGCCTCTATGCGTTCGCTAACATCTTCGCTCCCCAGCATGTTGTAGAGCATGAGCTCTCTCTTGCGCTCCTCAACGGAGGGCTGTTCAGTGAACAGGGACTTGTCGAGCCCTTTCGTCGATTTTGATGCTTTGGATTTGGCCGAGCCATTGTGTGCCGGGGGTTCCTTCTTTGGCCGTTTCTGGTCAGGTTGGTTGTCGTTGACAGCGTCCTTGGCTACGCGCTTCCTCTTGCTACCCATGGTTTGGCGAAATACTGTCTTGAGTATTAGTAGAACCAAATGCGATGAAGCAGTTCAGGGTTCAAAGAACAACTTTTTAGTGGAGACTTTGATTGTTCTGGAGCATCCGATAATGTTAAGCTTATCGATAAATGACGTTAACTTAACAAGTACTAAGCCGGCTACAAGGATAAGCATTACCACCGATATGCCCAACACCAGCATACTGTAGGAACCGACCCTCGCTTTCTGCATCAAAGCTTCCATCATCGCACACTAGCGAACTTTGGTGAAATCAGATTCTCTCTGGTTATGGCGTGCCGCAACAACATCAGTCGCCTCAAACTGGTCGACACTTTAGCTCTGACGGAACGTTCGAACAGCTACTCCGTACGTACGTGCCTGGCATAAATATCCTGGAGGTGTGTCACACTTAATATTTGATCTGGCCATAGTTAAGTGGCATGGAGGGTATTGCGCCTTGGAAGGAGTCGATAAATTTTGACACTCCCCAAATTCATCTATTGAATGGACCAGCATCATACCTACTGCTGCTCTGGTTCTAGGGGAGCTACATCGCATCCATCTTGCTCACCGGGAGCCCAGTGAGCATGTTCTTCAAGTGGACACCTGCTCCTGTACTGTACCGAGTGTACTTGTACAGGACCTTACAATTTCGTGCCCAACCACTGTAAAAATTTCTCTCTGGTGAACGCTTGAACTGACTATCGTGTCCTGTATTCCCGTAGTGTAGTGGAGAAACGAGAGAACCAGATGTCTCGTGTCCCTCCCCTGAGTCTCGGTTTTCGTCTGGTGGTTTGGATCAGCCTAGACGATTGCTCTTTTCCCTCTGGCACTTCGGGCACACTCAGATATCAAGTGGGATATCGAAAGACATTGACCTCAGCCACTGTGAGGCTACAGATAGTTTACAGAGTCTTGTTCACTTCTGGACTTCATGTTTCCGCACTCACTATCTATCAGGTAGGTATCAAACGCAATATCTACCGTATGTAGGGCACTACCTTGTGCAGATGAGGTACTTCAACGCCTTCATCTCTCGGTAAGGTACCGAGACCCCCGAAAGCCCGGAGGCGCTGGATACAAGTGTGGATCTAAGGGTCCTTAGTAAGGGTCCATACCCCTACCAAAGCTGCAGTAGCAGTGAAAGGTAGACTGCACCTAGCGCGGCTGTATAAGTACTAGGCTGTGGGACATGTCGAGCTGAAGGGACTTGCAGTGGAGTCTAGACAACCTGAGGTCGCCGAAGTCCTTCTGTTTCCTATCTGGGATGCTGGAACAGTGTCAAGGTGAAGTTATCACCGGGCGAGCTGGCTATGCAGTGTTGGTGCCGCACGACTCGATGCCCTTACTTCTCATTTGACGAGGCACCTAGAAGTTGAAACAGATGAATGAATCTGGTGCTGATAGTCACTGATAAAATTTGGTGGATTAAGCCTGAGTACCGAGATCGGTATGGATCATGATTGAGCTAGCTATGGTAAGGTGCTCATTCTGCCATCATTCTTTCCCTCACGTTCTAACGGACTTGTAAGTCAGCTCAAGCTTCGTAAGATTAGAACGAAGAATGAAGTGCAGGCACTCAGACTCGTACACAGCACACTTTAGTTTTGGCCGTCGTGCGAACCGACAGACGAGCTATTTGCTTGGAGAATCTTGGGACTGGGCAGACATCGCCTTATGAAGATAGCCCAATGGAGGTAGGTGCTGGTGTCCCTTATGTCTGAAGACTGAGATTGTTCGTGACTCGGGAGTCCAGAAACGGCATCCCTGAGGCTTTGATCAGGTGATAGCGCGTCCTCCCTGTGTGTGTCGCTTCGCTACCCCGCGGCACAGGAGGCGTGGGATTCGCTGGCATGTTTATTCAGGAGCGCAAACACGGCTGAGCCGCGTCCTTTGTTTACTTACCCCGCAACCTCGGGTTGCATCGAGAGAGGATGTGCAGGTTGTTTCTAGTGTAGCTGAACATGCAGCATCTCAAACGAACCCACAGACGTGTTTCCATGGAGCAGGCCGGCTCAAGTTGCGGAGAATGCGGGATCCGAGTCCAAAAGTGCAGTACGTGTACTGGTACACGTGGAGTCTCTTGTGCGGCGTGGCTGATGTGAGCTGGATTGTAACCCAGGACGGCGTCAAACTCGGTGCCTGGCAACCCAACTCGGCTGCATTGGCGCTTCTGGACCTGCGCCAAAAGGTCAATTGTGCGCCGTCATTGGATGGAGATCCGACCTGACCGAAACTCTTTCTTGGTCATGCAGGTCATTGAGCTTGCTTGGTGGTCAAGACAATGATGAGAAGTATGTAAACAAACATGGCCATTCACGACTGTCAGAGGCATTTCGCGATAGTGGAAGTCGTCAATCGCGTCTTCTGACTTCTCCGCTGTTTGCTTTTCCTTGATCACCAGTTTGATCTGGATCCCGATGTCGCAATCGACGAGGTCCAAAGCCAAAGGGCGAATCAGGTAGCCAGGGGTGACGAGCGGCCCAGACGCTATCGGCCGATCTTGTTCAGCCTTGGAAAAACGCCGACGCGAGCAAGGGCACCCACCCAGCCCTGCCAGGAGGGATGACGTCTTTCCGGATCGGGACATGAAGAGAGCTGACATGACAGCTGAAGATCCATCAGAGGTCATATCTCGGTATTGGAGGCTCTGTTAGGTTTCGCAGACCCTGATGACCGTTCTGTGTGATGGCAATATCGTTGGGGCCAAAAACTTCTGGTACGCTGGCGCTTTTGTATCCAGGCTGGCAGGATATACAGTGCATGTTATAGCACAGAGCGTGGAAATTCTCCGATGTTTGCATCCTCATGACCGGGGCTGCATTCCTTGCCGTTTTCTAAGCCAAAGAATAGCAACGCTGATCAGTCCCCGTTTCTCCCCTTTTGCGCAGGACGAAACCCGAAGGTCGCGGCTGGAGAAAGAAAACCATCGAGCTCCCGCGAGAATCCTCAGCTCGGAGACGGACAAGGCCCCCTGGTCAAACCGTTGCCCAGGACATGAGCTCCAGTTGTTCTCTGACGCAATGCCCCCCCAAAATCTTGGACGACCTTTTCGAGACGATCGTATCGAGGCTCTTTTGCGTCATAACTGTCAGGAAGTTGTAGTGTATAAAACCCTTTGTCGCGATGCCGCCGTTGAGTCCAGGTCACCCTGGTGACTGTAGGGAGGAAGAGGTTGAAGGTCCCTTCAACCAACTCACCAGGGGTGAGCTCCTGAGCATGCATTCTGCCGCAGTTGATTAGCCATCCTTGCGAGTGTCTGTGCATCATCATGCTCGACAGAACGACGGGAGCAGCGCTTCACTGGCAAGCTTCTGAGAGTTGGAAGCTCGAGTAAGTAGCCTCCGTAGCCTAATATGACCTTTGCAATGTGTGTGTGACCAACATGCAGGCCATTCAGCGTTTAACGCAAACTTCGGGATTGATCTTACTGCGAGGCCATTGCTGTCCTCTCCTCAATGGCCGCTTGCAGCGTCACGTAAAATCGCTTGCAGTTGGCTGCCTGCACAACGTTGCAGCAGCCAGGGGAGCAAGCGCGCTAAAATCACAGCGCTTCGTCCCCCGAGGTTCTTCTGTGTTCCGGCCCAGCAATGCAGTGGAGGCCATTCCCGTCCTTGGGAGCTCATTCGCTCAACCGTCAGAGGGTTCGAAACAACCGCTCACGAGCAGCGGGGACCAAGATCCCGGACTGTCTGAGCCGCCGAAATCTCTTGGACGGTTGCCGGGGAGAAAGTGTGGGAATTTTCCTGATCAGTGGTATTAACACACGAGGCGATTCGCACTTTCCGTTGCTCTACCGCCGTCAGGATGCCGACCCAACTTGAAACCATCAGGCAGACGGCATATTCCCCAGTGCACGTGCTGTCCTCCACAGATGGTCGTGATATTGAAGTTCGATCTGCCGGCCAAGGTTGATGAGTCTCAATGGATGTGCTGCAAGATTGCAACGGCTCGTCGAGTCCGAGCAAGCGGTACGGAGTAAATCGAGTCTTGAATCTTGATCTGACGTGCTTGTCGGTTTATCTTTCTTGCCTTCCTAGGACGTCGCTGTCTTAGGTTCCCCGTTCATTCCAACCAACAAGTCAAATGCAAAGCACATTCATCCCCAGTTGCACGAGCTACTCAAAGGCCCGTACGCGCGACGCCCTCGAACGACGTATCCGAGGTCGCTGACAGCTGCACTATTGAGGCGCTGAAGCAGCGGCAAACTGGCTTAATATCGTGACTAACCTCAAGATGTGGCGCTGTGCAACGTTGTCCATACGTACCCAAATCTAACGCGGCACATAGTGTATACAAATCATAGTCAGGCTCATATGTTGACCAGGACTTCCTGTCGATATGGTTGTTGTTTCTACACTGCTAGAATTCGAATGATGTAACCGTCTTTCAAGGCCAAGTTCAAGGTCACCTCAATTGCAAGCGCCGTGTGAAAGCGCCCTGGCAGCGGCATGGAAGCTGTTCCAGCGGCTCCACAGTGCCCGAAGGACGGGTGATCCATGTCTGACATGGGGCCCTGCTGTTCGGCTTACCCCCCTTTCAGGGTTGCTCCCAAGCAACTGCGAGAACATGCTGGGCTTGGTGAATCGCCCAGACAACCCAAGGTAACTGGAGGTACAGAAAATCAACTGCTTGATTGGGCTTCCCTGCCAATGTGCTGTGCACCACAACAGCTAGACAACTCCCCTCTTAAGCACCTCCCATCCGCTCAAGGTGTATTCACGCGTCTTTGGGACAGTGTCGGCTCCGAATCGGCAAGGGCGGGAAAACGGGTCTTGAGCTCTTGCTCCAGGGAACGTCAACATCAGAAAGCCGCTGAGGTGAGGTTCCTTCCCTCCCCTCCAGTTCCGCGTGCCTGGGCACCTCAAGTCCTCAACTCCTCTCCGCTGCACCATAGCACCAAGCTCTGTTCTGATCCACCACACACCAGAAACCAGGAAATCGGCACGTCATCGCACCAATCTTAACAACTTCATTCATATTTCCCGAATCCTGACACTCTCCCAATTGAACAATTCCTGCGTTGAAGAACCCTTTTCCTGGCCCCTTGACCACCTTCCTCCACTTGGTGCCTGCGAGGCCTGCACTTATAAGGCGGAAACCCCGCTATAATTCAGCAGCCTCTTTCCCTCCCTGGTTCTGCCAGCCTCAAACTGCAGACCGCCCGCGTTGCACCGGACGACCAGAGAAAACTCAAGATCGGGCCCAGCAACCACCAACTTTTGCACACGATTCTTCAATCAAGTGCAATTGAGGTGGTCGCTGCCGATTGAGGTCGACCAGCTTTCGACAAGTCGTCTGGTGCACTGCAGGCATTGAGAACTTAGCCTACAGTGACGACAACCTTAAGCTCCCCACCACTAACCATCTCTCGTCCTAAGTCTTGACTCTCTGCTACCCGCATGCATCTGCGAGCGACCTGCAGGCGACATTCTCTTTACGACGTCGAAACGACATACCTAAACTGCACGGGCTTTACCTTATCCTGACGATACCTTTTACCTGTTTTACCAATTCACCCGATTGTGCACAATTTATTCTGCAGCGCCATGGAAACGTCGTCCCCGCTGGCTGCCATGCGGCCAGCTCCCACGGCCTTTGGCCGGGAATTCGGGTCGCGCCTTGGGCCCAGTCCCCTTCGGGGCAGCAAACCCGGGTTCCAGCGACCATCTTCGGAGTACTTCAACATTAAGAATGTTCATGGGTCATCTCCATCGGCGTCGTTAGCGGCGGACCTGTCACAGAACTTCAAGCTTAATGAGACGAGGTTAGTATTCTCCAAGATTACCCTGCCGAAACTTGTCTGCACCTTTGCATACTTACATGGCCCGGTTGTGCAGTAGTCCCAGGTTCCCGACGCCACGTCGCGCCCTTTTCACAACGGCCGCTATGATTGATGCATTCAACAATCGTGGTGAGTAAAGGATCCGCTATAGGGCGGGCATGTGCCACATGGTTCTGCGACTGACCTGATGCCTGCGGACGCAGACTATGTGACCACGCCCCCTCTGCCCTCATCGTCGCCTGGCCATGTCGACATGATGGACGTGTCGCCTCTGCCTCACAAGGGAGCCTTTGTCACTCAGATCGAAATCGAATCGCCGACCAAGGGCATGGACATGACCGACGACGTGATGATGGAATCTCCCATTCCACGCTCAGTTTCTGTCGACCCATCAAAGGCCATTGCAACTGAGTAAGTCTTCTTGCTGACCTGAACAACGAGACATCGAGACTCACGCTTTGTCTAGCCTTGCTGTCGGCCGTAGAAAGATGGGCATGAGGCGCCCATCTCTCACGCGTGCCAAGGGTTACACACATTCGGGGAGCATGGCTACCCGTTCGTCTGGCAGTGGAGATGACTCCCAGCTGGGATCGTCCCCGTCTTCGTCCATGTCGTTGAGCGAGTGCTTCGAGGACTCACCCCCGAAGGAACGCCGACCGCTGAGCGCCAACAGCCCCTGCTCGGCCATGGTTGCTCCTCGGCACAAGGTACACTTTAACAGCATCAATGGCGTAGGTGGTGTACGCAACGGGTCGCCCATTGTGAGCCATACCCGACGGACTTCGAACTCGAACCCATTCATGCGACCGAAAAAACAGTACCGCCGGTCCTTGAGCATGTTTGACCACTCGGGCGACATGGCCAAGCCAAAGAAGGAGGAGGTGTCTTCTTACTCGACAGCCTTGCAATCCGTGATGGACATCGAAGAACCCCATGAACCTATCCTGCCGCACTTCTTTCCCGAAGACCAAAATGACAGCATTCCGCGCATCACGCGCAGCACAATGCTTGAGGTGCTGGATGGGAAATACAGCGACCATTACGCTCACAAGATGATCATTGACTGCCGCTTTGAGTACGAGTACGAAGGAGGACATATTGACGGTGCAATCAACTACAACGACAAGGAGTTGCTGGCGTCGCACCTGTTCGATACCCCAATCGAGGGCCGCACTCTCCTGATTTTCCACTGCGAGTACTCGGCTCACCGCGCCCCCATCATGGCTCGTTACATTCGCGCCGAAGACCGGAATCTGAATGCTGAGTTCTACCCACGGCTCACATACCCAGAAATCTACATTCTGGATGGTGGATATAGTTCGTTCTTTAACGAGCACCGAGAACGCTGCTACCCGCAGGCCTACGTCGAAATGAACGATGCTGAGCATGTCAACACTTGCGAGCGGGAAATGGGCCGCCTGCGCAACAACCGCAGAGGCCTGGGCCGTGCGCAAACCTTCGCCTTTGGTGACCACGGTTTGGCCATGCAAGATTCGCCAACAGCGGCTGGTCGAGCCAATTCCCGCCTTTGCGACCACGATGTCCTTGGAGCATCACCTCTCCTCGGTACCGACCGAGCCCATGCTAGACGCATGGTGTCGTTCTGATACCCAAATCCCGCTCTACAAGCATCCCGTGTACGACTACGAAAAGGCGTCGAGCGGGTTTGGTCCTCATGACGGAACTCAACCCACAGATTCGGCTCTGGGGTTGGTCTCCCTAGCTGTGAAACCATGTATACTCACCAACGGCGGTATTTCCTTGCGTCCTTTAATTCTTCCCATTGTCATGGCTTAGTTTTCCCCCTACTACCAGTGGCCCTTGTTTGACATAGGCTTGTCGTTGCGAGGATTGGTCAGCCCGCAATCGACAGGCTTTCCTGGGCTGTTGTTGTTCCCAACGACATGCGAGCTTTGGTCAGCCCGCAATCGACAGTCCTTCCTGGGTTGTTGTTGTTCCCCACGACACGCGCTGCTTGGTCAGCCCGCAATTGGCGGCCTTCCTGGGCTGTTGCTTTTCCCCTTCTTGTTTCTTCATTTTCTTCAATTCATTTCCGGCATAGACCCATTGCATAGCGTGGCGTCATCCAGGCATCTTGAGCTTTGGGTCCGGCATCCTTGGGCTCTTTCTCTGCGGTTTCATCAAACGGCATCCGCAGAGCCGGAGGCATCTTCTGAGCAGTACACCATCTTCTGTGTGCGGCATCTTCACAGCGACGGACCGGTCCATACCACCTACCTATCACAATGGAATGGGACCGGCAAGCATCCCACATGTTCCGCGATTACGACTACGCGGTCTCTGACCTTGATTCCCTTTTCGCCGCCGGGTTCTCTTCGGGTCTATCATCGATCACCACTATCACCTACCCGTTTGCGGCCTGTCTGAACATTCATGTACGATATTTGACGGATTACATTTCCTCTTCGGTCCGACATACACCGAATCGATTTCATTTGTTGATTTATCGCGATACGCCATTCCGGATGCCGAGCCGCAGTAGGCAGATAGACAGCCTCTCACCTGCGGCTTGCAGTGGTTTGCGAGGCATACCGGGAGGGCAGAGAAGAGAAGTATGGGGAGAAGCCGTGGGTGGCGGATGATCTAGGCATGGTATGGTGGCTACCTTACATGTTTGCCTCTAGATTGGGAGAACAAGATAGATGCGAGAAAGGGAATTTGGCCCGGTTTTCCTATGGCGAATGAGTGTGAGGGTGAGGGAAGACATCTGTCTTATGGCACAGGGGTCTTTTGTTTCCCTTTCTTATCACCCATACCTGCCAGATCACCATTCCACCACACCAGTTATCGTTGCCGGCGAGGGACCCGTCAGGTTGTTCCCTTATGAGCACGGTTGGAGAACTTCTCCTGACTTTTCTCTTCCCCAACTGTGGGACCTTGTGCTGCCTTTGAGCAGCTACTATGATGTACGTTTAAATAGCGAAAAACGCCCAAAAAAGGTCCAAAAGTGCTGCGCAGTTCCTCATGCCTGATGTGATGGTTGGGTGTGTACTGCTTGTAAGCTCTGTGTGTTGCATAACTACTTAAGGCCCTGTGGTTATGGATGATGGCACAACAAGGTGTAGCCGAACATCTGGAGAATTACACTAGGGTACAGTACTCCGTACAGTGCCCAACAACCTCATTTGATCCGGAGATATTGTAGGATATTAGAATACCGGCGGGCTTACCTCCGTATGAACACTTTGTGCTTCGTAGACAGTATGACTCAAGTGCCCCTTTTTACCCCTGTTAGTAAACAACAAAATTTTCGATAAAACGCCAGATAATGGTTGTATCCAGACGTGTGGCTTGCGCAAGATTATCCCCTGCACCCTGGTTACAACCCAGCAACTGATATTGTACGAGATACAGGGAAGGCGGGCTGTCTGGTCGTTCCTTGAATTCTTTGCAAATCCATTCCTTCCACCTAAATTTGATTGAGGAGTTAGACACACTCAGTTTTGTCACCCTGTAATCAATTAGACGCCCAACAATTGTATGGGAAGCACAGAAACTTGCTCGCAAGGTGGAGAGGCTCGGTCAAGAATCAGATAATGCAGGAAATGGAGCTGCGTTTACGGTGACACAGAGAGCACGAGCACCGGAAGCTGCCGCTTCCGGTCCGGGCCGGAATTGTGGGCCTTGGTCCGGTTCGCACGTATGCCAAGACCCGCCCGGTGATATTGGCGCCGGATTAGGTAGTTATGGCCAGGCTCTGGAATTTTCAGGAACCCGGTCGGTTAAGCGGATATCTGCGCCGACTGAAATTCTCGAAGCAAGGCTTTGTGGAGTCTGGGATTAGCTGCAGTTTTTTCATGCAGGTTCCTGCATGCAAGTTTGCAAGTGTCTCTCCACCTGTGGCTAGCCTGAGTTTTGGCATTGGATGTGCCCCGTTTGAAGCAATCGGTTTTGGCGCTGCGGTGTGAAACGGGGCGCTAAGATAACGATAACAATTTTCTTGAATTCATGAATTCGACACACGCGCTTGCATCATCTCATCTCATGACTACGAAGTACCTTGGTGAGAGTCGCGACTTCTTGCTAATCTCATCAACACCAACGGCAACTGCTCAGTTTCACTTATCTTACGATAATGAGTTTATGATATGACAAAGTAGATGTGTAGGCTTACTCAACACCACTCCTTCTTAACGGGGATGATTTTGAGCTCCAGCCTCATATCTCCCTACCCTCTACCTCTTCAATAGGCGCCTGTGCAATCTGAGGCTCCGTACTCACTTGCAACATGGCCACCAAGATGTCAGTTCGCAGCACTCTCAACTTCTCTGACATCACTCATACTGACGAAATCAGCTTCGTCTTTGGCAGCGTCAACGGGCAGCTCCGGTCTGCATTCGGCAAGCTATCAACATTACATGCCAAAAATGTCTTTAGCTTCGCGATTGTCACAGGAAATCTGTTTGGCGAGGCCCAAGATGATGACGAGCTCACAGACCTTCTGGAAGGCCGTATCCAAATTACATGCCCGACGTACTTTACAGTAGGAAGCACACCACTGCCACCGCGGGTCGTTGAGCGAATCGAGAAAGATGAGGAAGTGGCCCCCAATCTTCATTACCTTGGCAAACGCAGCGTCACCAAGACATCAGAGGGTGTCCGAATCGTCACATTAGGAGGCATGCTCGATCTGAACATCCTGGCTGGCCTGTCCCAGGAGCAGCATGAACCTTTCCACACAGAGGGGGATGCTAAGGCACTCCGAGGAGCAAACAACGCCGACATTCTCCTCACTACCATGTGGCCCGCCGATATCTGGAAGAACAGCGCCAAGGCTAGGGAGATGCAGATTACCGCCACCACAGCAGCTTCTAGTCAAACGATTGCCGAACTCTGCGAAGCCCTGAATCCCAGATACCATTTCGCCATGTCACCGGATAACTTTTGCTTTGAGCGGGAGCCCTTCTTTCCCGAGGCGGCCGAAGGAGACAAGGATAAGGGGATACCCATCACACGCTTCATATCCCTCGCCCCCTGGCTGAACGCAGCGAAAGCAAAGTCAATGTTTGCCTTTACCCTCAACCGCGACGCCATTATAACCCCTCCTCAAGGCAGCACCCTCTCCCCCTTTTACAAACCAGCCATGAAAAAACGTACCGCGGAGCAAGCCGGATTCTCCCGGTTCAGCCACAGCCACGAGCACGACCGCCGGCGCCGCAAGCACCGGCACGAACGGTCCCCTCCCCCGGGGCCGGACCGCTGCTTCTTCTGCCTCTCCAACCCCAACCTGCCAACGCACATGGTCTGCAGCATCGGCGAGCAGGCGTACCTTGCTACCGCCAAGGGCCCGCTCCCGGCTGCGGACACCTTCAAGAAACAAGGGCTGGACTTTCCAGCCCACTTTGTCATCACGCCCTTTACCCACGCCGCGTCGATCAGCGCTGCGGCCATGGACGGCGCAGACGCAGCAAAAAAGACCTTTGCCGAGATGAAGCGCTTCCGCGACTCGCTCCAGGGCATGGTCGCCTCGCTATCCAAGCGCAAGCTAGGCGCCGTGACGTGGGAGATCAACCGTGTCAGGAATATTCATGTCCACTGGCAGTTCTTGCCCGTCCCGGCTGAGATGGTCGCTAATGGGCTGGTGGAGGCCGGGTTTAGAGTGCTAGCGGAGGACCTGAAGCTCGGCAAGTTTACGGTCAAGGACTTTGAGACGGCCGATGAGGTGCCGGGGGATTACTTCCGGGTGTGGATCTGGGCAGAGGAGGACGATGCGGAGGGTGGGAAGGTGGTGGGCAAGAGTCTGCTACTGCCATTTGATGAGAGTGTCCGGTTCGATCTCCAGTTTCCCCGCAAGGTCATGGCCAAGCTGCTTGGGTTGGAGGATCGCACCGTCTGGCAGGATGTTGTGCAGTCGCAGGAGGAGGAAGAGGCGGATGTTGCTGCGTTTAGGGAGGCGTTTAAGGAGTGGGATTTTACGCTGGCTGGTGATACCTAAGGCGAGGAGAGAACGGTCGGGCGACTTAAGGGTCGAGCGATTTCCCAGTTGTTCAGGGTGACGCCACTATCGGTCTACCAGGCCTGAAGCTGGTGGGATATATTGCACAGGTATTGAAATGGGGTGGGGGGAATTGGTCAGAACTCGCCTGACGCAAGGGGCGTGAGCTGGACGAAGGAGTTCCTTGGTGGGATGTGAGCATCACAAACCCCTGGACCGCCTTTGCCTTACGATGATATTATTCATTGCCAGCTACTTAATCGACAGAACATTCCCGCCTCGACCGTACCGCCAACCGCTTTACCATGGTGGACTGTTGGCATGTCTCAATCTGCCTTGTAGTGGGTCAACCTAAGGTAGGTAGACGAATTGTGAGCTCCTGGTTGACACACCCCGCAACACAGAGTCAGATGCCCCCATGCAACATACCTAGTTGTTCGAACCTTGTGAAACACCCTGCAGGCACAAGATCTGCACCGAATGGGTTCGTTGGCCCTGAAGCTGTCCTTTTTGCCGCAGTCGCCGCATTGGTAGATCATTCTCCCGTCGGGCGTGTTGTAGTCGGGGCGTTGCCTGGACCGGACGGGAAAAGCACTGCCTCCAGTAGCAGAATCAGGAACATCATGCATGGGTATGTACGAGGTTTGGATCTCCTGGGTTCCTGGGCCTATTCTCGCGCTCGTTTCCGTGGGCATCGTTTGCGGAGGAGACTCGTTGGTCTTGGCCTGGGACATGGTGATGGATATGTCTACAGAGAGGCAGTACACTGTGAGATTCAATCAAACTGCGCTCTTAGGGGACGTTCCTTGAGCCTTGAGGTGTAAGTCTGAGACAGTTTAACTTGGGAGTTGGGACTCGCGGCCATGGTATCGAGAGGGTTGGGCATCTTGGAATGCTCTGTCCTGTCCTCCCTTTGTGCTCTCCAGCCTACACAGACAGTGTTTGTTGAAAGAAACGCTGCAATCTGCAATTCGTCGGGTTCAGCTTTTGTTTGCTTTGTCTCTGTTCCTGTCGGCAACTGCACCTGGAAGCTATAGATGCACAGTGCGTACTTGGTATAGAACCTGCATTCCGGTTCTTCCAATGCCGTCATGCAAGTACCGAGGGTTTGCAGCCCAAGAAAGCAGAGCCGCCCCGCTGTTATCGATAGTTATCCGCTTCTTATCTTATCAGCTTATCAGCTCCAACTCCGATTCCACCAAAAAATTTCCCGAGGGTTGAAGATGCACCTTGTGATTTCTCGGGGCGTTGTCGTGCGCGCCGACCCGGGATAAGAAAAAGGGCTTGGTTCACGACAACACACCGCAGCCATGCCTTCCACCCTGTCGGGACGCATCGCTAAGACCCAGCGGGGGTCCAAGAAGACTCCGCACCAAAAGAATCACCGATGGGAGTCGTTCAGCACCAAGGTTTCCAAGCTGCATTCGCTCGATCCCCTGCGCAAAGTCCGCCGCCACGATCTTGACGCCGAAGATCTCTCCGCGACCACCTCGTATCTGCGCAATGGCTTGAACAAATGGGCCGAACTCAACCTCTCGAGGCCCTACATGGCCTTCAAGAGAGAAATAAATCCCCTTACAGAATCCCTGGCCCAGATCCTCTACCATGAGGACCGCATCATGGACCTGCTGGCCGATTACATATCGCGCCATGAGAAGGAGGCCCTCGAACCTCTGCTGGACCTTGTCACGGCATTTGCGCACGATCTTGGCGTACGCTTCGAGAAACATTACCCACGGGCTCTCGCTCTCATCGTCGATCTCGCGAGCAAGGTGCACGATGTGGAGGCCATTGAATGGACCTTTGCCTCGCTGGCCTTTCTGTTCAAATACCTCTCGAGATTGATTGTTCCCGACATGCGACCGACGTACGATGCTGTGGCGCCCCTGATGGGCAAGGCGAAGAATCCCGGATACATTGCTCGGTTCGCCGCCGAGGCCATGAGCTTCCTGGTGAAAAAAGCTGCAGCTCCCAGTCACAGGGACAAGGCGCTGCCTCTTTTCATTGAGCATGTGCGGAAAGACCTCGAGAGTGTTGCCGGGACGAATCAGTTCAATCTGTACAACCAGGGGGTCATGACCATGTTTGCCGAGGCTATCAAGGGGCCGGGGAATGGCGTACATTCAACAGGACCCGAAGTCTTCACCGCTTTGGTACGGGAGGTACCTGATGGGGAACTCGCATTGCCCGAGCGGACCATCTGGACCGACGTCTGCTGCGGTGTGCTGACCAGCGTCATCCACCACTCTGCATTGGAGACATTCAATTCTATCGAGGCCAGGGTGGTAGACGAGGCAATGGCTGGCCAACACGCCGTGTTGTTTTTCCGGATTCTAGGCACCATGGCTGGTGTGCGGAAAGGTACCCGCGTCCATGACTGGGCGACTCTCGTCAAGGCGCTGGGGCAATTGCTCAGTTCGTTCGCTGCCGATAAGGGAAACGTTGAGGCCATCCCTTCGTCTCAAGTATGGCAGCATGTCCTTGTGAACACGGCCATCGTGTGGAGCCAGGCGCCTATGGATGCCTTGATTCCCGCGCTTTCCACTCTTAACGGGACCCTGACCAAGGAGCCCCTGATGAGGTGGTACATACCCTTTTGCTCATACTTGGCCGATCTGAACACCGATCGTTTTCGTGGTTTGTTTCAGAAAGAATTCCAAAAGTTGGTTTTCTTAGCCTTCCCTTCCCCGTCTGCCCCATGTTCTTGCTAACGTGAACCAGGTTCATTGTTGCTCACTGGTCGCAGCCTGAGAATGAGGACATGCTCTGCGTGCTTCTACCACGCATGGTGGAAGTCGGAGGTCTCCCTAGAGTCGGCGGGAAAGAGACCTTTCAGCTTCCGCAATCTTGGCAAGATCAGATTGTGAGCAAATTCGTGAGGCTAGAAGACACGCCGTTTCCGGAGAGCGGAGGGTTTGGCAAGGATCCAGAGACCTGGAGAGACAAGTGCCTACCGAAATACTCGGCGCGTTTGCGAGTCCTCGAGTCGACGTCTGTGCATCCCTCTACCAACGCTCGAATCGCCGAAGTTCTACTTAAGAAACTGAAACTCGCCCTTCGACCATCTTCATCTCTGCCAACCGACGAGGCAAATTTCATTGTCAGCGATGGCTTCCGCGCCTATCTCCGGATGTGCGCCGCGCCTGGCTCCGTTGATGCAACCCTAGCACCATTGTTGAGAGCTGCTGCACCGCGGTTTTGCCGATCGCCGGCGTTCCTGGAAGCGTTGTTGGTCTACGAGCGTGAAATACGTGGGAAAGTCCAGAGTGTCCCCGAAAGCAATGATGCAGGAGATAGTCAACAGGAGGAGGAAGATCCTCTTGTTAGATGCCTGATAAGGAATCTCTCCGCTCCGTCCCATGAGTTGCGGTTGGCATCGCTGAGAATCCTAGAGGTTCTTGACTTTACTCCCGATTCGAATTCTGCGTTGGCGACAATGATACAGGTGGAAGAACTGCCCCTGAATTTGCAGAATGTGCGGACGATTGCCGTGCATCTGCGGAAGCTCGGGCAGATCTACTCCCACATTGAGCAGAACTCATGGTTGATCCGAGCTATCCCGGCTTTCTTGTTCGGCATGACTACCGTGCCGTTGTCTCCAGTTTGGGACGATTCAGTCGAGACAATGAAGAAAGTTGCAGAGACCAAGCACGGGGAAGAGGCTCTGGCTGACCTGGCGTTTGACTGGTTGGAGGTGCCGTCGCCGCAGTGGTCTGGGCCCTACAAGCCGCCCGCCGAGGATAATCATGGTCCTCTGTCGAACTTTGAGTGTCTGAATGTGATTGGGCTACACGAGACTGCCGAAGCCACAGGGAATGTCATGGAGAGCCCATCCCACGACATGCTTAACACCTTTGAAGAGGGCCAGAAAATTGTCGAGCTTCACACCGAACGAGCGCGTAGCAAAGCCCTCAAAGCCCTCAGTGCCCTGCCCGGGATAGCTGAGAAGCGATCCAGAAGGTTGGTGCCTCATCTGTTTTCCTTCACCGATGAAGCCCAGGCTCCTGTGGAAGAAGCCGAGGCCGATGTCGAGGCATCGACTGAAAAGAGCTGGTCCCTTCCTGACCGGAAGGCCCTCCTCGAGGTATTTTCAAAATTCAACAATCCAAGGGTGCTCTACCAAAGTCAGAGAGTCTACTCTGCGCTTTTGAAGCTGCTGGCGAATGGCGACATTGAGGTGCAGAAACTCGCCCTCAAAGCAATCCTTGGGTGGAACAATGATGCCATAAAGCCATATCAAGAACATCTCGAGTATCTCCTTGACGAAGCCAGATTCAAAAACGAACTTACCGTGCTGTTCCAAGGGGACAACAAAATCCAACCCGAACATCGACCCGAGGTCATGCCTGTTCTCCTTCACCTTCTGTATGGCCGCGCAATCTCGAAGAAAGGGGTCTCGAGCGGTCGACATGGACTCCACGCAACGCGACTAGCTATTATTCGGCAGTTAGACGTTGATGATATGGGCGGCTTCCTGGATATTGCTCTCGGCGAGCTTCGGAGCATCCAGGTCGTCGATGCACAGGGCCTTCGTGAGAGCGTATTCGCCCGCGAAGCTCTTCCAGTCCGGAAGCAAGTTGGCCTGCTGAACATGGTCGAAGCCATTATCAACGAGCTCGGCACAAGTGTCACATCCTACATGGACGTCCTTGTAAACGCCGTTCTGTATTGTCTGATCTATGCTTGCAGGCAGGTTGGAGGGAGCGCCGAACACCCAGATAATGAAGAACCGGATCAAATCCCGAATGCTTCGCTATACAAAGTGGTGAGAACCACTGCATTGAAGTCTCTGTGCATGCTGTTTCAGAATGCACAGAGCTTTGACTGGACTCCGTATCAGGAGGTCATGGTCAGAGAGATAATAAGCCCCAGGATTGAGAAACTACCGGCGGAGACCACTCAGGGTGTCTCGGCTACCTGGCGGCTGCTGGCAACCTGGTCTGCCTTGCCAAAGCCAGCGCTGTTCCTCTCTATCGACAAAAGAATCGTTCCCAAGATTGTAGAAACGCTCGGGGTCGAAAAGACAAAGGATGAAGTGAAGATTTTCGCGCTCGACATCCTCAAGAATCTCATCAACCTCGCGCAGGCCCCTGCAACTGAATCAGAGTTCAACGAATTGATCAAGTCTGAACTTCTGGACTCGAACATTGATCTCATCTTGCAGGAGATCAGCGGCCTACTTCGAACTCAGCAGGACATCGGACGGGACTTGCTCGGCTCTGCCGTAGACACAGTCGTGGCACTTGCCCCTATTGTGGGTACCTCAACCAGCGTCCAGGATATGGTTGAGATTGCGACATTTCTGCTCAACCAGCCGTCCCGCAAGGTCAATCCCAAGATCAAGGGTTCGATCTTGTTGATCCTGAAACAGTTCATGGTGCTAGAGGATCTCCAGGGCGATTCTGAGCTGAAAACCAAGGTGTACAACACCATCGCCTCGTTGTTCGGGTTTTTCAAGGATAAAGAAAACAGACAGACGCTCGCCGAGGTGTTGGCTGTTTTTGCATCCCGCGAACAATGGGCGCAGGAGGTCGCAGAGCTCTGTCGGAATCTCAATTCCTATCGCGCGAGACGGCTGGATGAACCTGACTACAACACCCGGCTTTCAGCATTTAACTCCATAACCAAAGATCGCGAGACGCCATTTACGATCGACCAATGGATGCCATTGCTCCACAATCTGCTTTACTACATCCAGCAGGACGAGGAGTTCGGTGTACTCTCGTCTAACTCCGCCGATGGGCTCTGCAAGTTTATCTCGGCGGCTGAGTCGGCCTGGGGCGGTCCACGGCAGGCCACATTCGTGGAAGTGCTGTCAAGTATCGTCCTGCCAGCTATCTACTCAGGCGCTAGGAATCCTTCAGAAACTGTCCGCCGTGAGATTTTGCGCGTCTTTGGCTTCCTTGCCGCTCATCTGCCGCAGTGGGAACCTGTCTCTGACCTCAAGCCCTTGGTCCCCGAGTCCGATGATTCCGACAGCGCCTTCTTCTTCCATGTTCTCAGTCCAGCGGTGTCAAGACAGCTCCAGGCGCTTCGTTTGCTAGAGGCTGCAAACGACAAGAGTGAGCTACGAAGCAAACACATCAGCCAGTTCTTCATTCCGCTTTTTGAGCATTTCATCTTCGACCGACCCGAGAGCGGTGATGACCATGGGCTGAGTGCGCAGGCTACAAACACCATCGGGGCTCTGACCGCATCCCTGGAGTGGCAGCAATATCGGGCCATCCTCCGGCGATTTGTGTCCTACGTGGAATTTAAACCAGATTGGCAAAAGCGTGTCATTCGTCTTCTGGAGAAAGAAGTTGATGCTTTGCGCAGCGCGGTACTCCGGCGGCCAGGCGATGCGATGGAGGTAGATGGGGAGGTAGCATCCGAGACAAAGCCCCGGCGGCTCGCAACTACGCTTCCGGACCAGGAGAAACTAGGCGCCGAGATCGTGAACAACTTCCTGCCGACTCTTCTCAAGTACATCCATGAGAAGGACGAATCGACCGTCAGTGCCAGGGTTCCGGTGGGAGTCATAATTGCGAAGCTTCTCACCCTTCTCCCGGACGCTGTGCTGAATGAAAAGCTCCCCGGAGTCCTCACGGATATCTGCCACATCCTCCGGAGCAAGTCGTGGGAGTCTAGAGAGATGGCCAGAGACACCCTTGCCAAGATGGCCGGCATCCTTGGCCCAGAGAAGTTCGAGTTTATTCTCAAGGAGCTGCGAGGCGCGCTCACGAAAGGCTACCAACTGCACGTCCTCTCCTACACGCTGCATTCTCTTTTACTGGTTGCCATTCCCGCATTCAATCAGGGCGAGCTGGATTACTGTCTCCCCTCCATAGTGGCCGTCATCATGGATGACATCTTTGGGGTTACCGGTCAAGAGAAGGACGCCGAAGACTACGTGAGCAAGATGAAAGAAGTCAAAAGCAGCAAGAGCCAAGACTCAATGGAGTTGATTGCTAAGACTGCATCCATTACGCGTCTTGGCGACCTCACCATGCCGCTGCAGTCTCTGCTCCTGGAGAAATTAGACCTCCGAACGGTGCGCAAGATCGACGAGCTCCTCACTCGTATCACAAAGGGGCTCCTAGAGAACCCAGCCGCGGCATCGCAGGATATCTTGGTGTTCTGTTACGAGGTGGTTCAAGAAGTATACAAGAGTCAGAAGCCTGAAGCGGAGAACAAGATAGACCCGCGCCTGAAAAGGTACCTTGTCCAGAAGGCCGCGAAAAAGAGTGATGGAGCGGTGACAAGCAAGCACACCTACAAGCTCATAAGGTTTGCCATCGACATTCTCCGATCCGTCCTGAAAAAGCATGACAATCTCCGCACACCTGGGAATGTCGCGGGATTCCTGCCGGTACTGGGTGACGCTGTGTTGTCATCCGAAGAGGAGGTCAAGATCGCGGCTTTTAAGATTCTCAATGTTCTCGTCAAGGTTCCGTTCAAGAACCCGGATTCGAGCGGTCTGTACAAGGTCGCTCACAAAGAAGCCATCAAGGCCATCTCCATGTCCCCGACGACCGCATCAGACCTTGCTCAGACAGCGTTGAAGCTCATCTCGGTGATCCTCCGGGACCGGCGGGAGATCCCCATGAAGGATGCTGCCCTGGACATGCTGCTCTCAAAGCTCAAAGATGACTTGACAGAGCCGCTGTACCGCCATGTCACATTTAGCTTCCTGCGGTCGGTTCTTGACCGCAAACTCGAGACTGCCTCGGTGTATGACGTTCTCGACTACGTCGGCACTGTCATGATCACCAACGATGACAAGGATACGCGTGACCTGGCTCGAGGAGCCTTCTTCCAGTTCCTGCGCGACTATCCGCAGAAGAGGAACAGATGGGAGAAGCAGCTCAAGTTCATCGTGGCCAATCTCAAGTACGAGCGTGAAGGAGGGCGGCTCTCGGTCATGGAGGTCATCAACCTGTTGCTGAGGAAGTCGGCGGATGATTACGCCCAGGAGGTGGCAGGGACCTGTTTCATCCCGCTGGTTTTTGTCATAGCCAACGATGACAGCGAGAAATGCAGGCTTGCCGCTGGCGAGCTGATCAAGGAGATTTTCCGGGTGGCGGACAAGGAACGCTTGTCCAAATTTCTCACGCTTTTGCGGTCATGGGTGGAGCAAGATGAGAATGTGGCGGTGTTGAAAGTTGCTCTCCACGCATTCGGGCTCTACTTTGAGGGCCGGGAGCCCAGCGTGAAAGACAATAAGGACGTTGGGCTCGTCGTTGGCAAGATTGCCAGGGTCTTGGGTGATGAGGAGGGGCTCGAATTGGATTGGGAGCTGGCAGACAAGGCCCTGACCACCCTTCAGACACTGGTTGCGAAGCATCCACAAAAGGTGCTCGCTGAGGACTCGAGCGACCTATGGGCAGAGGTTCAGGCGTGTCTGGCGCACTCGAATACTACTGTGAAGCTAACTTCCATCAAACTCCTCAGCATGTACTTGGCGGATTTCGCCAAGAATGCTCCCAAAGGCTCCCAAACACTACCCCTTGTGGGATCACATGGACTGCCACTGGATGAGGATGACGTGAACGACCTAGTGCGACTCTCGCTCGGCATTCTCTCGGCACCAGAAGTGGATGAAACACTTGCTCGGGAGGCCGTCCACATCCTCATGTTCCTCGGCGGCTACCTCGCGTCGGACAAATCAGACATGAAGGAAGGCGATGAAGAGGAAGAAGACGAGGACAATGACGCCAAGGAATCGGCGCAGAAGGCCGACATGAAATACTTCTTCTGGAAGCTGGCATCCATCATCCGCAAGGAGCGACAGCCCAAGCCCGAAATGCTCGTCAGCAAGCTGGCCGCCATGGACCTCGTCGAAGCCTTTAGTCTCAGAAGCTCGACCGAGACAGTCTTAGCCTCGATCAAGACGATCCTTAGACCGCTTCGAAACCTCACGGACCCGTCGATCCGCGCGCCCTTCTCGCTCAACGAGGTGTTCAAGACGCGGTACGAAGCGCTCAAGGCCAAGGCACAGTCCATCATGGAGCTGCTGCAGCGGAAGCTGGGAAGCGCCGAGTACACCAAGGCGCTGCTGGCGGTTGGCGAGGACATACGGGAGAGGCGCCAGCAGCGGTCGAGTAAGCGCAAGATTGAGGCCATCACGGCGCCGGAGAAGTACGGCAGGGATAAGAGGAAGAAGTTTGAGAAGAAGAAGGAGAAGAGGAAGGAGAAGGGCAGGGAACAGAGGGATCATCGGAGGGGATACCAATAAGGGATGTGTATTGCATGCATCTGATGACAACATCAATGGAATTGTGTTCCGTATGCTTTGAAAGGGGGAAATCTCTCTGAGTCTATAGTAGTATTACACGAGTAACCGGACTTGGTCTCTCGGGGTATGCCACGCGCATTAACGCCTCCCACAGTCGTACATCTAACCTTACTACATCCCGCAACACATGACCTTCCTATCGACACACAATATCTACTCTTTCGAGCCCTTCCCCGTACCCCCCTCCCCACTGTTCCCACCCATCTCACCCTGGTTCACCCTCGCAAAGCTCGCTCCAGGCGGCGCTTTATCCTCCCTCTCCTCCTTACCACCATTGTCATTATGCCCCGCCGTACCCTCATCCCAGGCTTGCCTCGCGGTAACACTCCCATCATCCCAGACCTCAAAATCCCCATCCCCATCCCCCTCACCGTTACCAATTTCTTTGAGCAGCATGCCCCGCTTGACCAGCTCCCCCCGCGCGCGGAGCAAATCCTCAACCGTCTTGATGTCGCCCCCAAAAATGCCCAGGTGGTCGCTAATGACGTGCCGGTTGCGGCAGGACGGGCACGCAATCAGCACCGACCCCTGGTGGTAGCCTTGCTTGGACACGCGGTGGCGCGAGCGGTGGCCGCAGGGGCGGCAGGTGAAGGTTAGTTCGTAGTGTGGTTGTTGGAGGACGTTGGGTTGTTGTTGTTGCGGTTGTTGCGCGGGGGTTGTGGTGGGTTGGGAGAGTGGTGGTGATGAGGAGGAGGATGATGACGGGATGGATGTGGATGTGACGGCGGGTTGTTGTTGCTGTTGGTCTCGGAATGGCGACGGGTTGCGAGGCCGTGGTATTGAGTGTGCCAGGCGGACTGCGGTGCGAGGAACGGAGGGTGTTTGCGGGAGGAAGTGCCTCGGCTTATTGCGGATGCGGCCTGCTACCGCTATCGCTCCTGCTGCTGCTGTCCGGGACGGTATCGCTGTGGAGAGGCGAGCTAAGCAAGGCGCTGAGGCCAGGAAGGCGCGCTTGGAGGCCATGGCATGGGTTGAAAGTGCTGATATGTGGTAGGAGATCGTCAAATACCGGCAACCCCAGGCCTGATGTTGTAAGACGAGGCAAATCTTTAACTGCCTTCGGCTGCGATAAGTGACGGTTTGGAAACCCAGAAAAAATCCTTATCGATAAAAGTGGCATGGTGTTCAATCGAAGCTTCGGGCCGTGCCAAGCGAGGCCGGCGGCGCCGGCGGCCAGACCGGCTGCAAATCAGCGTTTCTTCCGGTGCCAGGAGGGTACGTACTCCGTACTTGGAGGGGCAATCGGAGTGGGGATCTACCACCGGAGCCTGGAGCTGCTCGGAGCTCCTGCAACGTCCACCGATACTGCCTACCTTAACCCCTAGGTATGTGTCGTGCAGTACTGTGCCTACTATACTCCGACAACAACGACATAAGAATAGTACACGGTGGCCGCATTCCTTTGACTAGCCTTAAATCGCACTCCTAGTTCACATAAAAGACCCATTCAATTTTCAAACTGTCCTGCACCGCACAAAAGATGTCGACGGGGTGGTCAGTCTTCTGACACTCCTTTGCGCGCGCACCTTCCGTCATTCGTCGTCTTGTTGACCCGGCCGCCAGCGTCCTCCTTTTAAAGAGCTGGCAGCAGCGCCGTCATTCTCCCCAACGTCTCCGCTGGCCGGCGTACCGTTTCGTCCATAGGACAACCATCTCCCAGGCTCAAAGTCGAGCGCCCGTCTCTACACCCTCCTCCGGCCGCCCTCGCCTCCGCATATCGTCAGAATGGCTTCACGGCCAAACAGGATCCGGCCAATCCGGAGGGTACGCTGCTACCCCCCCTCTGCATGTTCAGACGCTGGTCTTCTAACTGCCACAGCCGGTAATGAACAGAGACACCACCGAATTCGAGCCCTGCTGGGAGATCCTGCGAGACGCCCTGACCGACATACACAACAAGAACGCCAGCCGCCTCTCGTTCGAGCACCTCTACCGAGCCTCATACAAGATTGTGCTGCGCAAAAAGGGCCACCTTCTGTACGAGAGGGTCAAGTCCTTTGAGGAAGATTGGTTTCGTGTCCACGTCCTGCCCAACATTGCCGACCTCATCTCCAACAACTTGGTCAGCATTGCGCTGCTGCAGATGCCAGGCTCGAGCGCCCACGAACGACGACAGACGGGCGAGCGCTTCCTCAGGGGGATCCGCAGCACCTGGGAAGACCACAACATGTCGATGAACATGATTGCCGACATCCTCATGTACCTCGAGCGCATCTACACGGCTGAATCCAAACAGCCTTCCATCTTTGCAACCACCATCGGTCTGTTTAGAGACCATATTCTGCGGAATAGTCTAGGCAGTGCTGCAGAGCAGTTGGACCAGCCATTCACCATCTTTGACATCGTCAACGCTGTCATGCTCGACCTGATCAACATGGAGAGGGACGGGGACATTATCGACCGCTCGCTTCTGCGCCAGATCAGCTCCATGTTGGAGGATCTGTACGAGACGGACGACGAGATCGAGAACACGAAGCTCTATCTGACCGTCTTCGAGCCGCGCTTCCTTAGCGCGAGCGAGGCATTCTATCGGAAGGAGTGCGAAAAGCTGCTTCGCGAAGCCAACGCCAGCACCTGGCTCCGCCATACCCAGCGACGCCTCGTCGAGGAGCAGGAGCGCTGCGGCACGTCACTATCCATCCTAACAAGTGACAAAATCGCCAGCGTCGTCGAGAAAGAACTCATCTCGGCAAGGCTGGATGACTTCCTGGCCATGGAGGGGAGCGGCATGAAGTCAATGATTGACAACGACCGTTACGAGGACCTATCCCTCCTCTACCACCTCGTTTCCAGAATCGACAAGTCTAAAAACGCACTGAAGGTTATCCTGCAGGGACGGGTCATGGACCTTGGTCTCGAGATTGAACAGACGCTCAAAAACACAGATTTCTCTGCTCCACCCGCGGATGCTGCTGCTGAGGCAGACGACGCAGGCGAAGGCGGCGACAAGGCCAAGGCGCAGCCTCTGGGTGCAGCAGCCCAGCAGACAGCCGCTGCGGTCAAGTGGGTTGATGATGTCCTACAGCTTAAGGACAAGTTTGACATTATATCGACAAACTGCTTCGACCAGGACCTCGTCCTGCAGTCTGCTGTAACCAAGAGCTTTGCCGATTTCATCAACATGTTCAATCGCTCTTCCGAGTTCGTGTCGCTCTTCATTGACGACAATCTAAAACGCGGCCTCAAGGGCAAGTCAGATGAGGAGGTCGAGGCTGTCCTGAACAAGGCAATTGTGCTGCTTCGCTATCTCGCCGACAGAGACATGTTTGAGAGGTACTACCAAAAGCATCTCGCCCGGAGATTGCTCCACAACAAGTCCGAGATACACATCGAAAAGGAGCTGGTCCGCAGAATGAGGGCAGAGATGGGCAACCACTTTACAGCCAAGTTCGAGGGCATGTTCAAAGACATGGAACTGTCCAAGGACCTGTCAGAAAACTACCGGGACCACATCCGAAACCTCGGGGATGCCGATGTCAAGAAAATTGACCTCGGCATCCATGTCCTTACCACCAACAACTGGCCGCCCGAGGTCATGGGCCGTGGTGCTCTCCAGGAAGATGGCGCTAAGGCGGAGTGCATCTTCCCTCCGGCCATAAAACGTCTCCAAGAGAGCTTCTTCAAGTACTACCTCAAAGACCGAAGCGGCAGAGTTCTGACCTGGGTAGCATCCGCCGGAACCGCAGACATCAAATGCGTCTTCCCGAAGGTCCCTGGCAAGGAAACCGGCCCCTTAAGCAAGGAACGACGCTACGAGCTGAACGTTTCGACATACGGCATGATAGTGCTCATGCTCTTCAACGACCTGCCCGAGGGCAAGCAGAGCCTATCATTCGAGGAGATCCAGGCCAAGACCAACATCCCCACACAAGACCTCATCCGCACGCTAGGCTCGCTCTCAATACCGCCCAAATCCCGAGTCCTCGCCAAGGATCCGCCCTCCAAGAATATCAAGACGTCGGACAGCTTCTCGTTCAACGCGCAGTTTGCCAGCAAGACCATCAAGATCAAGGCCCCCGTCATCAGCAGCACGTCCAAGGTAGAAGGGGATGAGGAACGGAAGGATACAGAACGCAGGAATGACCAGACAAGGGCTCATGTTATTGATGCTGCGATTGTCAGGATTATGAAGTCAGTTCCCCCTTCCCCGGTCAACATCTCTCCCTGACATGCTCTGCTGGTACCGGTACTAACAAGCTGGTTGCAGACAACGCAAGGAACTAGCCCACACCCGGCTGATCACCGAGGTGATTGGCCAGCTGGCGGGGCGGTTCAAGCCTGAAATAAGCCTCATCAAGAAGCGCATAGAGGACTTGCTGGTGCGGGAGTACCTGGAGCGGGTCGACGGAGATGTTGCTGCGTACCGCTACCTGGCTTGAGCGAGTCACTGGAGCAGCTGGGCAAGTGTTTATACTACTGCTGGTACTAGTACTACTAGTAGGTCTGCTCCATAGTCCATACTTACAAAGGTTGCTAAGTACAGTACCTTTCAGTTAGTGGTAGTCATGATCTCCCCGGATGTGCTCAGGTCAGGTCAGGTCAGGTCAGGTCAGGTCAGGTCAGCGCAGCGGATATAGTATACTAGTTCTCTGTGTCAGGTCATGTGGCGCGGGCGTTTTACAGGCTGCACTATTGGGGACGCATAGCATGCATGTATGGCGGCTGGGTTCAAGTTCGGGTCTCTCTGTGGGGTGGGGGTTCTGGGTTGTTGCTATTTCGATTTCACTGCACTATTGGAGTACAATGGTGATGGATCATGGGACGCACATGCACAGGGCGGTTACATGTAGACCGTAAACACTCAGCTAGGCGCCATGTTTTCACCTGGGCTACTATATCCGCAGGTTGTTCTCTACTCGACATGGCTGATGGAATCCGCTATCTGCACCATTCTGCGGGCACTAGACCATTCGTATGTATATGTATGAGGTAGACCGTACTGAGTTGAGAAAAGAACTTGTCCTCGTGTCCAGTGCTGGTTGGAGTTTTGGCTAATGTATAGTACACTGGTAGTTACGTTCTGGTCAGAGTAAGACCGTGGCTCAGTCTGAGCTGTTCTCCTGAGCTGCCAGACACATCTCCGTTGTCCACGCCGGATTATACTATCGATACAGATCAAGCCATGGTAGATACTGGCCATTACGACTGAGGTTATAATTATGCTGCATCATTATTCACAAATCGGGTATGTCGAAGTGTAGTTGGTTTTGGTAGTATTAGTAATTAATAATATTATCCCATGATCTATGACTTGAAGTAGTCCAAGTCCCCTCGTCTATCTCTTGATTGCTGCGACGCCCGCGCCGTCAACCTCCTGCCCCTTTTAACCCTGCTGACCTGAAGCATCCCCGTCATCGGTGCTCGCGTTTCGCTGGTTCCACACCGCGACCCAGTGTCCCGGGACATTTTGCGAGTCCCAATTGAAGAACCCCCTGCTCTCGTCATCGACCATCCTCAGCTCGTAATCTAGCTCCTTATCCTCGTCTTCACGCTCATCAAAATGAGGGCACCATCCCGGCCCTGGCTTAAGTCGATTTTTCTTCTCGGCCCTCTCGGCCCTCTCAACCAAATAAGAAACCTCGTTTGGATAAAAAATTTCCGAGTCCTCACTCGAGTCCTCACTCGAGTTCTCAGTCGAGCTCTCTTCCGAGCCCTCAGATGAGTCGGATGAGTCAGACTCCCTGCCAAACTCGACCTCTTCTTCCTCGTCGCCTTCGTCTGGCCGGTCGAAGGTAAACCCCGGAGCAAACTCGGTCCGGCAGATGGGACACCGCGGGGGCGGAGCAACCATCTTCGGGGGGAACAGCACCCGGCCAAGTTTGACCAGGCACGACTCGATGGCCCAGTGCCGGGAGCCCGGGGGGCAGTGCTTGTTGCGCACGACTATTTTAAGGACCGTGTCGTGGTCATCAAAATCGAGCCCGCACCCGGCGCAGAACGTTTCCCCTACCCCGTTTCGCAGAGCTTCAAGCTCCTCCTCCGTTGCGGGGACGACATTGTCAAGGACGGCCCGCGTGCGCTTCCGGTCGGCCCAGTGCCAACGCCACCGCCAGGTATCGCGATAGCCGACCGAATGCGCTTCGCGCATCTCGAGCAGGATCGTCCGCTCCACCCACCTGGCGATGTCGTTGTAGTGGCGATTGACCGACGCTCCGAGGCGCCGGATCAGCTCGACGGGCAGCCAGCCGGGACCTATGTACGGGTTTGCTTGGCGCGTCTGCCAGCGGGGGTCGTGTTTGACAAAGAGGAACGTGAACATGATTAGGATCTTTCGCGCCCTTTGCAGTGTTAGTCCCGTGTCGTTGGCAAGGATCAGACGCACCCACTTCATCATCTTCAAGCGGGCCCGGAAGCGCTGCCGATCTTCGTCGCTGAGGCTCCGCCACTGGTAGCACCGCAGGTAGGTGCGGTGGAGCTCCCAGCTTAGGTCCTCCAGGGCCTTCCCGCGTTCGACAAGCTTGGTGGGATAGATGGTCAGCGTCTCGAGGACGGGGTGGTGGCCGATCTTGGACCTCGGGTTATCCGTGCCGAGAATGCTGTCTTTGTAGAGCTTCTGAGCCTCATGCCAAACTCTGTCGAAATCGCGCTCCTCTTCCAGCTCGCCGAGGGTAAGGGACCTGACGAACTGGATGTAGACGGCCATCGACACACGGCGGCGGATCTCCAGCGCCGGGTTGACCAGAAACGGCCTATAAGTGGACCAGCAGTCGCAATCGTTGGTCCCGTCGTCCGAGAGAAAAATGCCCTCGTCGTGCTCTTCATCCGTCTCCAGCCTCAGGTGGCAGCCGTGCTCGGGATTGACGCGGCAGTTCAGCTCGGCTAGGATCCCCATGTGCCGCTCCTTGAGGCCGTCCTCGATCCAGCCGCCGATTTCAGGCTCGTAGCGAAGCGGGTCAGTGTCATAGAATGGTCCGTTCGGGGCGTGGAGGTAGGTGAGCAACCAGTTCGCCAGGGACCCTACATACTGGGCAACGGCTAAGGCCTCTTTGTCCTCGTCGGCCGCTGGCTTGGCAGTGCTGGTGCGCGGTTGTAGGGGACGATTGTAGGGCCCGAATGGGATGGGAGCGCGTTGACCAAGCCCTGGCACTCCGGGCAAGGCCCGTCCCATTCCTCGTCGATGGCCTCCAATCCATCCGCACAAGGGTGGTCGGGGTTCCCAGGCTGCTGATAGTATTCCGGGGCCCAGAAGGAAGAGCCAATGGTGCAGCGGAGGTAGTATTTGCGTGTGTGAGTGACCTCGGGGGAGCACTGGTAAGTTCTGGATAGAAGGATGCACATTGTGCTTGATGTATGCTTGTTAGCTGCTTGTTCTAAATTTGTGCTAATCAGGTCGAATCGCTATGAGTGAGTTAATGTCGATACAATTAAACTGATGCTTACCATAACCATCGGCCAAGTGGCATAGAGTATCTGTATATATACCTGTAGGCGTCATTCTGAAGCTGTGACTTGATACAACCGTCGTTCAACAAGAGAACAAGCGCTTTTCACACTTGATGGCATGAATCGCCGAGTGCCAATACAAACTCCCTTTCTCGGGAAGTCGAGTTAGGCAAACGGTCAAAGTGATCAGTGGCGTTCTCGACCTTTGTTCAGGTCAATAAGTATTGTCCAAGTTTGTAACAACACACCGCCATTGAAGACGGGAACGAGTACCTCCATACTTACTGAAGATGTATTTGTATATAGTTTCCTGGCCATTGTATATGACAAATGATAAAATGGAAGGGAAAGAAAACAGGAGGCGAAATATTTGTTGTCGGTTGAAGGAAGAAGAGCACAGGGCGTGAAACCCCTTGTGAGGACGCGCTATATACGGTTGAGTCTGTTTCAGACCGTTTGCTCCTGTGCCAGTGAAGGGAAGGCGCGTCTGTGGGAGCAACGAAGGTCAACGTTCCCCAGCACAGATCTACGGCACAGAAGTTGGTGTCTCCGCCCTCTCCAATCCAACCCAGCTAGCTTGTGAGGCGTCAGTGGTTTAGTGGTAAAATCCATCGTTGCCATCGATGGGCCCCGCGTTCGATTCGCGGCTGACGCATTTACTTTTGGAGTTTACACCCCCTTTTACCCCTTTTTTTCCTGCTGTTCGCAAGCGCTGTCTTTGTTCCATGATTTTTCGTCCATCATCAACATCCCAAACCAGGCCAGATCAAAATTCATAGGGCGTATAGAAGGCCTTGTACATGGCCATCTTTCCCACACATAGCATAACTGATTCCAAGTATAGGGAAAGAGATTCCCTACACAAATTGCAAAGGGGGTAAAACTAAGATAGTTGTGATCCTGACCGTCCTGACAGTGTCGCTAAACAACCATTACTCCGACACTCTCTTCAATTCCACAGCTGGTCGCACTCTTCTGAGAATACGTAGACTAGCGCTGTTGCAAACCTACAACGGAAAACATCTTGATTATTTGACTGATTGGTTCGACTACCTAGGTAGCCTACATACAAGACCGAGTCAACCGACCGGTGAAAGACTGACAAGGCCATTGTTGCCCGAATAGCAATTGATACCACAAAGAAAGTTTTCATGAACAGCACTGTTGTTTTCTTGCTCTACATCTCGATAGACGAGCACGAAGCACTCTCGATCACGGCATATAAAGGACTTTGCTACCTTGAGTAGGAACCTGAAAAGGTTTTCCAAAAATACCTACTTGAAAATGGACACTTCGCCTATGCGGCCAAACAACCAGCTTCAGGGTCCCCACCAGCAGGAGCGAAGGCTTACTCGGAATCTTGGAAGGTGCGTTGCCCCATTTCAGCAAATGTTTTTTGGCCGAACTCGGGAGTCATCGTTCAATGTCTTGAGAGTTCAGAGGATTGGGGCAGTTACTGCCACCTGCACTGGCCTTGCACTCCCTCCTAAGCCCGGCACAACCACCCAATCTGTGGACGATCTTTCTGACCGAAGATATCCCTCGACAGAAGCTGCAAAAAACGGCACAAGCAGTGCGTCATCGCATCCGTTACCTTCCGCTTCGCATGTCGGTCCACCTTCGCTCGAGAACAACCAAGGGCTCGTCCGTCAAGCTGAACTGGCTCGACTTGGTTCCCGCTCGATAAGCTGCCCAGATGGAAACCATGATATCAGCAGACCCGGAAGCTCCATACCAGAGAACTTTGTCGGAGATGTTCAGCCATCGAGTGACAGGCCTGGCAGAGTTGGGCCTTCGCCAGGTGCAGTTCAAGGCTCACCCATATATCCCAACTCGGCCCGCAGTACTGACTCAAGGAGCATCCCACTTGATGCTTCGCAGCACCGTAGCAACACAGGAGTCGCCCCCACCTGCAGAAGCAGCCCCAGCAGCAGTAACCGTGATTTGGTACCGGCAAACGTGCCTTGCGATGCGCCTTCATCCCTTTTTATCTCCACCACGCGGCCCACGCCCGTGAGAACAGGCGGCATGTCCTATGCCCAGCGGACGTCAAACTATCCACCTGTCCCCCAACGCCCGATTTCCGTACCTACTGGTCCCACTGTGAGCACAAGAGCAGATTTAGTTCAAGAAATAAGTGGATGGGAGCGTTCTCGGCCATATGCGATGTGTAACAACCTGCGCTCCCAAGCACAGCGATCTACTTCGCCGTCAGTCCATGACAGGACGGTTACTCCTAGCCAGCATGCTAGCCGGACGCTTCCCCCCGGACGAGCTTTGAGGAGACGTCCCAGCTGCGAGTCCCTGCGGGATAGATACATCCGTGACGGTACAGTCCATCCGCTTCCTCACTCACATCATCTTCCTGAGTCTAGTTAGCAGCCCGGTGACAAAATGGCCCGGTTGTGGAAGAAACAGATAAGCCTCATGGCTGTTCCTGAGACACCGCCAAAGTCACAGGCTGGCTAGAATGATGGAAGAACAAATAGGCTCTTGGTGGGAAGCATGAAGGGACAAACAGCTCCTAAGATTGTGTTGATACAGGAGACACACAGAAGTGTATGTCAAGATTGATATACAAGGTAGATACTTGTATCCTCAAATTCCATATCAGACTGATAATTCATCTTTCAATGCTCTGAGGTTTCATATGGCTGTGGTATGCTTTATGTCTGGTGAAGTTCCCTTGATGTTGTGTCCTCAGAGTCGTATCTCAACTTCCTTGCTGGATCCGCAGTAGCCACCAGCTCCAGGGCTTTTCACATGCAGTCTTACCTGCTAACGTAGGTATGCACCGGGCTGACATGCTTAATTGAGACCAGCACAGGTTACTTTCTGTGTAGGCATCTTCCTAGCATCTTGGCAGAGGTAGCTGTCCGCTTTGAAATCCTGATCTGGCCTTGGACGTTCCCACAGACGGCTGTTTTCGATGGATTATTGAGAAACCACTTCGCGGGTTTTCGACAAGCATATTTCTTTGCCCGGCATTGACACCTCATGGCTCCCTTGAAAAGACATTAACGTCACCATTAAACAGCTCGTTGACTAATTCAGGTTGGGCAACAGGAATGACAAGAAGGGATATGCATAGTGTATAGAGTGCGAGAACGGGTTTGATAAGAAACTAGAGTCCTGACTTCTTTGACCACTCTATCATTGGACAATCTCGAAACATCCTAGAACACTACAGGTACCCAATTTCTCAGATGAAAACATGTCGTTATGCCTAACTTGGGATTAGGGGGCCTAGGGGCGATTAGGGGCAATGCCATGATATAACCATGAACGCAGCCCAGGAATGCCTTCAGTTCCAGACAAAATCTCAATCGCGAATAATTCCTTAATCTGGGGTTGTCCATGAAATCTCTGCCATTCAAACCGTGTCCGGATCGGCGACTGGCTTTTTGCTCGGCTGGGCAGATTCTTTGATCAGTTGGCAAACTCTCCTAATCGGGGTTTGAATAAACACTCAATGGAGTTGAATAGACTCCCCGCCACACCGCCCGCTCTTACGCATTTTCGCGGTCCAGAACCACTATTCGACGCATTGAGGGCTAAACATCACATAGTTCGCACCTTGGTGTCCCCACGTGGCCCATTCCATGAGATCCCTCACACGGCACCGAACTATGGATGTGCCCTGCTAAGGCTGCTATACATGACCACTTTGGGGAAGAATCTGCTCCCTCGACAACGAGTCTCTCCCTGGGGCGCTTTGTTGATGGCGGGTCGAGTCCTGGCATAGAAAGAAAATGTATTTCCTCTTCCAGGCCTGAATAGCGCTTTGCTTCTATGTCCCTGGCAACAAAAGATTCCGTAGCTTTACCGTCGCATCTCTCTGTTTTGCCCTGTTCAGGTATTCCGTGTGTGCTCGGCGAATGGCGGGTTGTGCTCTTTGAAATCCGGGAATGCGGGTTGAGTGTGCCTATTGACCTCTTTCTCGCTCCTGCCTGCCGAGCATGCTCTATACAACGTATAGAGCCGTAACTCTCAATAGACTCCCGCCCCCTGAATAAGCCCACCAGAGTGTATAAAACACCACAACCTCTCCAGCCTCCAATGATGTGTTCCCTTGCACTTAGCTGCACCCCTATCATCAAGTCAAACCCAGAGGGTCGCAACCACGTTATATACCTCACACACATACCTTCTCCAAAACTTCGATACACACAAAGACCTTTATCACTTCTTCCGCCATCATGAGATTCTCCCTTCCCATCCTCCTGGCCGCAGCCGCCGCGGCCGACGCCGCCGCCGTCCAAGACGACAAGCGGTGGTGCTCCACCCGGGGACAGGCGTGCGACACGGTCAAGCGCGTGGCCGATGCCTTTGCCGAGGCGCTCGACCAGGCCAGCTCGGTGACGGCGCGCGCCGAGCTCGGCAGCCACGCGGCCTTCATGGCCAAGCGGCAGCTCGACGAGCTGGCCCTGGCCGTCGCCGCCAGCCACCCCATGCCGCGTGAATACTACGACGGGCTCAAGCTCCACTACAACCGCCAGGTCGAGCCCTCGACCGTGAACAAGCGCGCCGCCGAAGCCAACGCCGAGGCCGACGCCGAAGCCCAGGGGTGGTGCATGAGCTTCCCCGGCCAGCCCTGCTGGAAGAAGCGCGAAGCCGAGGCCGAGGCCGAGGCTGACCCGCAGGGGTGGTGCATGAGCTTCCCAGGCCAGCCCTGCTGGAAGAAGCGCGCGGCCGCGGCTGACCCGCAAGGGTGGTGCATGAGCTTCCCGGGCCAGCCCTGCTGGAAGAAGCGCGACGCCGAGGCCGAGCACAAGTGGTGTCTGCGGTTCCCCGGACAGCCGTGCTGGAAGCGGTCAGCCGACCCCGCGGCGGAGCCCGAGGCCGACCCGGCCATGTGCCTCCGCTTCCCCGGCGGATCGTGCTGGAAGCGCGAGGCGACGCCCGAGGCGGCCGAGGACCAGAAGCGGTGCGCCGAGGAAGGTGGAGCGTGCTGGATCGCCAAGCGCGCGGCCGAGGCCATCGTCAACACCATCGAGGGCGAGCTCGCCTACCGCAAGAAGCGCGACGCCGACCCGGCCCTGTGCCTCCGCTACCCGGGCTCGCCCTGCTGGAAGCGCTCTGCCGACGCCGACCCGCAGGGTTGGTGCATGAGCTTCCCCGGCCAGCCCTGCTGGAAGCGTGATGCTGCTGCCGCCGCCGCCGCCTGCAACGCCCCTGATGGTGCCTGCACCAGGGCCACGCGCGACCTCCACGCCATGCACAACGCTGCTCGCGCCATCCTCGACAACAACTAAGGAAGATCGGTGAGTTGGCCGTGCTTCCCTTCTGCTGCATTTCAGTGTCTCTGTTTGCTTTCGCACATCTGCTAACTTGTAAACTACAGACGCTTGCTTCTCTTTCGTGATTCTATTCGAACCGGTTGGAGACGACGCCACAAACGAAAGGCGGCACGGCGCATTGGGCATTCGATCTGATTTATTTCGAAGCATATTTTATTCCTGGTTCACGACCAACAACAGCATTCCATCCCAAGTACATACCACAGAAACACCACCATTTCTTCTTCTCAACGGGGGGCCGGGCATCCCAGCCCTCGGCAGGATACTTTGGGCCTGTTTTTCGATAACCAAGGCGCTACGGCAGAGGTAGACGCATTTCTTGCTCATATCGGTCCAGGTGGGCATACACATAGGACCGGCGGGGTGGTCTGTGGATTTGCATGACGCTTAGCTACGATTATTTTAGCAAATTTGTTCGGGCAGTTCATATTCTGCCTCATGAACTTTTGGGCTGACCTTGTCAGCCATCCATTGTGTTCACTCACCTACAGTTCTGCCCTGTGAAGTGACGTGTTGTAGACATACTGCGGATGGCTTTCCATAATCTGCCCACGCTGATGATCATGTATGATGCCTGATGTGACAACGGAACGATCAGGCCGAAGCCCATATGTCCGCAAACAGCGGTATGAAGACGGCCTCGCTGCACAATACCTAGACCAAACAAAGCATCCTCACATCAACAACCGCCAAGCACCGAGCAACAGCGCGGCAAAGCCGGTACACACGCCTATAAGCCACTGCAGCGTCTGGAACTTGACCTGCTCGAGCTGCTGGCGCAGCGCGGCCGCCTCCTGCTCGATCTTGGTCTCGGTCTCCTTGATCTTGAGCTCCTGCGACACGGCCTCCTCACGGATCCGGCCCTTTTCCAGGTTCAGGTCCAGCCGCACGCTCGCCTGGGTCCGCCCAATCTCGTCCCGCAGCCGGCTGCTCAGCTTGGCGATGTCGTTGGTCAGGCGCTCGTGCGCCGCCCGCGTCGTGTTGGACTCGGTGCTGTCGGCCGAGAGCAGCTCGCTGCGCAGCTTGGCGAAATCTACCTTTTGCGTATACGTCGTCTTGGCCGCCTCTTCGCGGGGCACCATGGTGCGCGTGAGGTTTTGAATGCTAGACACAAGTAGCGTTCGGTTAGCTTCAGGGGGCTCTGTCTAAAGCTTGGGCAGGAGGGGCAAACGACTCGTACCTCTCCTCAATCACGTCGTTCAACACCTTCATCATGGCCACAGATTGCTCCTCTGTAAAGCCCTCCTCTTGCAGACGCTGCACAAATCGTAGGGTATCAAAATGATGGTCCCGTGCCCGTGGCGCCGAAGCGTGGAACGAGCGTCGAAGTCTGGGATCGCGGACCAGACTGTTCAGCTTCCTCGGCGGCCGAATGCCGTCATGCCTCGCCGGGCCCAAGCTAGCTGTATGAAGCAACCTCCTCGGTGCAGGTTGCCATCTCTCCTGCTGCGATGTATGCCTTGAGGCCTGTTGGGAGAGCGCGGCCGGGACTGCTGGCGCTATACTTGTTGTCCACGTCGAAACTGGACCAGTCCAACTCAGACGAGGCAACAGAAACCGTGGGAGCAAGTGCGCAGCGGTATTCATTTTCCTTTCTGGTCTGGCGTTGTTTAGTACCTCGATGGATATTTACTTTGCTCGAAAGTTGGATGTTGGAAAGGGGGATGGAAGTCGCAATTTCACATGAAGTGGGAGCTTGGGATCCACATGTGACACAATGAACACCGGCTCCACATTACCACAGTATGGTCCACCAGCCACATACAGGGCAGGCGCAAGCCACAATGCCCGCCACACGACGCGGTCTTAAACCCAGGCTCAGAAAAAAAATTCCTTTTCCCTTTTCCTCTCTTTTCTCTCCATGAACAACGCAATAAACAACATTCTCGAAACTAGTTTCTATGCGATTTACGAGGTTCCCTCTGGTGAGCCCAAGACCTGAGTCGTTTTGTTTTCGTACAGAATGGAGAGAAACGAATCTTCGGCGCTCGATCTTGGGTGCGGTTCTTCCCCTTTTCCTCCGTGGGAAGGGCCGCAATGATTGGACGTACATTCTAGTACTCGAGGACGGACGAGAATTGGGCATATTGCGTATCCTGCAAGGGCACTGCTTGCTGTCTGCTGGTGGCGGCGATAGAGACGCCCGCTGGTTCCGTTACGATCATCATGTGAACCGTGATCTCTGGTTTGTTTGTATATGTCCGTTTGAGACACATAATGAAGTCGCCGCCGGCCGTGAGAGAGTTGGTCGATATTAGACTATCGTTGCGAAAGCGGTTTACTGGACTACTGCCAAGCGGTGCTTCACAGGCCGTGATACGCGAAGCAAGTACACTGGACATGTTCGGTCGCGCGGTGGTGGTAGTCCCAAGAGGGAATACAGTTTCTTGCATGTGTACATGAGGCTATTTTCTTGCCTTGACCTTGTCCTTCGGCTTCTCCGTCTTCAGCTTATCCTTGCCAGCATCCTTAGGCGCCTTTTTAGGCGATTCCTTGGATTCCGTGGATTCCCCTTTGGCCTCTTCTCTTGAAGCCTCCTTGGCACCCTGCTTGTCCTGCCCCTTCTTCAGCGCTCTGGGATCCAGACCTCTTCGTCTCATGGCATTCCGCTTGGCACGCTCCATGTAATCCTTGTCTTCCTCGTCATCAAACCCGCCAAAGTCGTCCTTGTCCTCCTGGTCTTCTCCCTCAGCGGCGATAGGCGTCTTATCGATGATCTCCTCCTCCTTGTCGTTGCCTGTGGCATCGGTATTGCTGGCCTTTGCGTCCTTTTTGCCGTTTGCCAGGACCGCGTTGGCCGGGGTAGGGCCCACTTTCTTGAACTTGGCCACAAAGAACCCGTCGACGTTGTACAGATGCGGATAGTACCTGCGCGTCAACTTGAGGCTTGGGTGGAAATCCTTGCCCATGTAGCTGGTAAAGCCCTCCTTTCCAAATGGAAGACCGGTCTGAAGGAACATTAGTATACCGTGTCGGAAAATGCACCTGAACGGGTAAACGTGACTCGACTAAGTCATTAAGCATACCTCGACCAGCTTGACATTCGGGCGACGGCTAAGGGCATACGCGACAACTTGTTCACTAAACAGAGGCGTAGGGTTAGCACTTCCCGTTCAGTATCTTGAAGGAGCGTCAAACTCACTTCTCTTCGACCGCAACGCTACATGTTGAATAGACAACATAACCGCCGGTCTTGCTTGCGTGATTGACTGAATCAATGGCTGCCAGGAGCAGTTGTTTTTGTGTATGCGGCAATACTTTGAAATCCTTCTCATCTCTGTTGGTCTTGACCGAAGGGTCTTTGGCAATAACACCAGTTCCTACACGTCAGGTGAGCATCAGAAGACTCGGCGGAGGCCATTGCTACGGACCGGAGCATGGTGCATCTAGTAGCACCCTGTCGAACCCCCCTATTACTCTAGGGAATTCTCGCGCATCGTAGTTGCAGACAATTACGTTCTACAAATCTCCTAGTTAATTCAAGTTACGAAAACGATGCAATAAATGATGATGTGATTTGCTTACCCGAGCACCAAGACGGTGAATATTACCGATAAGACCTTTCGCACGGGACTTGTTGGGATCGTTCGCAAAGATAACACCAGTGTTCTTCATAAGCGCGGCCATGTGTGTTGTTTTGCCTCCCGGAGCTGCTGCCATCTTTGCGAAAGGAAACAGTTAGTATCTTGCTAGGAAGTCGGCGAGTTGGCAGCTTACATCCAGACAGCGCTCATTCTCTTGGGGGCATAGTGCCATGACGGGAAGAAACGAAGAAGCAGCTTGCAGAATGTAGTGGCCCGCCAAATACTCGGGCGTCGCACCCAGAGGCACCCTATTACAGGTCAGCCGCGAGTGAGACTTCGTCGAAGGGATATCGCTTACTTGGACTCAAATACTTGCAGACCGACCTTGGACCATTTGCCGACCGGCTCCAGCGTGACACCACGGTTGACTGAGAGGTCCGCGTTAGATGGGTTCGGCTATTGAGACAAGGAACTGCTTACTCAGGGCCTGCGCAAGATCACGGCGATGTGTCCGAAGAGTATTCGTGCGAATGACAACCGGACGAGCAGTCTAGTTCCTTGATGAGCCTCTAGTACAAAACGGAGGGAAAACCTTGGCCTGGAATTGTTTAAGCGTACCTCGTTGGCTTCAAAGAAGGCAAATGCCTCTCTAGGCGGGAAGAGATTCCTGCGAGGCAGGAGAATCAGCCGTCGCTCTTTGATGCCAGTCTGACCCATGCCGAGACGCAAGCCCAGAGTGAGCCACTTACAGAAGCTTCTCCGCTAAGAACTCGTTGTATCCGTAATCTGCCAATCCAACAGTCAGCAACAAGACTAGGGGTTTCCACACGATATGAATGGAAAGGGCAAGGGATTGCATACATGCACAGATATCTTTCAGCAGCTGGCTCATGTACTCAGCCCTGCTCCGTCCTTCCTCAGCAAGACTTGAGAAGTCTTCCAATACCCGGATAGTCTCTGTTATCCTGGTTCTTAGCATCTGAAGATCCGGAGCTAGCAGATTTTTTGTCTTGGCCGACAATTCGTCTTCGTCGTCTCCGTCTCCAAGAATGTGGGGCTTGTCGCCGTCAATGTTGGTCTGTAGAGCCGCCTCACGAAGTTCCGCCTCGTTTTCCGCTGCTTCCTCAGCCAGTTTCTCGTCCAGTTTCCTCGAAAGGCCCTCAATATTTGCCGCTGTCAACTTTTCCTCCCTGTCGTCCTCATCATCTTCGTCGTCGGAGAAGACAAACTTCTCCTTTTTGTTGCCCCCCTGGTCCGAGTCGTAGACTGAATCGTCGGAGCCGAGGAAGTCATCATTGAGCTTCTCCACGTCTGACTCGGCGCCGCTGGTATCATTGAGGTCGGAATCAGCAAACTCGTCGTCCATCTCTTCGTCAGAATCCGATTCCTCCACCGCAGCCCTTTTTGTCTTCGACTTGTTCCCTTTCCGGTCATAGTTTGCTGAGCTAGCAGGCTTCTTGGTGCCATTTGTCTGTGTCACGGTCTGTTTGGTACTTGACCCCTTTTTGCCGACCTCTTTTCTCTCGCCCTTGGCAGACTTCTCTGGGGTTGTCGCAGTGCGGCGCTTTTTGCTCGAGGGTGCTTCGGCTGGGGCATCGTCAACAGGTAGCCCCTTCTTCCGCTTGAGGCTGGCAAAGTGTTCTTCGGACAGAGGCTCAGGGGGGCCCTGTTTCTTCATGCGACGCCCAACACCCATCTTGGACGGTTTGCAGGTAGATTCCCAAGTTTCTAGCGGCTTGTTACCTGCGGGACACAGCATTCCGCAGAAATCTTTGCCGGCAATTTTCCAAAGTTTCTGAGAACATGGCTTATCGATAAGGAATTTTATGGCCGGCATCCTGCCCGACCATCTCATTCCATTGGTGTGCTAGGGTCAAAGCGCCCCCCTAAGCTTATCCCAAAGCAGGACCCTTGTCTGCTGACAGAACGACCCCCTGGCAAACGTCCTGGGCTGAAGGCCGCTGGTTGTTCCTAACAGATCATTCAAAAAGTGCAACCACACAACAACCGAGCCCGACCCTCATTTTCCTCATTGCGCGTCAAGCACACGAGCCTCTTTCTTCCCATCGCACCCTTTCGGGCCAAGAACCGGTTTCCTCTTGTGCTTCACGGACGGCCTCGTTTAATTGGCAAGCTCAGCGACTTGCTTCGCTGCTTAATTCCCGCGACTCCTCCGTTCGTTTCTCTCGGTGTGGAGCTCCACCGTTCCCACCCCTTTCAAACGACGTCTCTCTCCAGCTTTCTGCCTTCTTGTTCACGACCGGGCGCACTCAGCAACTTTTGACAAGTTGGTTACTATTCCTCGTTGACCGCGCGCAGCCGAGCGCATACAGATCACCATGGCGCCGGCTCTGCCCATCAAATTCCAGGAGCTGCTCCAGCTCAGCAGCCTGGGCGTCAACCAAACCGCCATTACTTTCAATACCTGCGTACGTCACACCCAATGCGCATTCCTCGCTATCCCTCCGCTTGCTGACTACTACCGTGGTGACAGACCCTAGAGTCAGATTCCTTCATCTGCATCCGAGACAAGAAGGATGAGGCGGCATCACCCGAAGTCCTTATCATCGATCTCAAGAATGGCAACAATGTCATACGACGGCCCATCAAGGCCGACAGCGCGATAATGCACTGGTCCCGCCAGGTCATCGCCTTGAAGGCCCAGTCCCGGATGCTCCAGATTTTTGATCTAGAGCAGAAGCAGAAGCTCAAATCCACCACAATGAACGAGGATGTGTCGTTCTGGAAATGGACCAGCGAGACGACGCTTGGCCTCGTTACAGAGAACGCAATCTACCACTGGGATGTCTTCGATCCGACACAAGCGGCACCTGTAAAGGTGTTTGATCGTGGCCCTTCACTTCAGGTGCGTAGCCCGGCTCGGTGTGTCGATGAAGAGACCTTCTGACAGCCTGCAGAGCAATCAAATCATCAACTATCGAACCAGCGCCGATGGCAAATGGATGGTTGTGGTTGGCATTTCCCAGCAACAAGGCCGAGTAGTTGGCGCGATGCAGCTATATTCCAAAGATCGCGGTATCAGCCAGGCCATTGAAGGCCACGCTGCTGCCTTTGGCACAATCCGGTTGGATGGTGCCCCCGAGGAGACCAAGCTTTTCACCTTTGCTGTCCGAACAGCAGTGGGCGCGAAACTGCATATTGTCGAGGTTGACCATCCCGAGACGAATCCCGTTTTCCCCAAGAAGGCTGTCGATGTGTTCTTCCCCCCAGAAGCTACCAACGACTTCCCAGTGGCCCTCCAGGTCTCGCAAAAGTACGGCATCATTTACCTCATCACCAAGTACGGTTTCATCCACCTCTACGATCTCGAGACGGGAACATGTATTTTCATGAACCGCATCTCGGGCGAGACTATCTTCACTGCCTGCGGGGACAAGGAATCTAGTGGCGTCATTGGCATCAATCGCAAGGGTCAGGTTCTCTTCGTTAGCGCCGATGAGAATACAATTGTTCCCTATGTCCTCGAGAGCCACGGCACCGAGCTGGCGCTCAAGTTGGCGTCACGCGCTGGCCTCCCTGGCGCCGACAACCTCTACCAGCAGCGCTTCGAACAACTTTTCACCAGCGGCAGCTACCAGGAGGCTGCCAAGGTCGCGGCTAATTCTCCACGAGGGTTCCTGCGGACGCCACAGACCATAGAGCGGTTTAAGCGTCTTCCCCAGCAGCCCGGTCAGATGTCCCACATCCTGCAGTATTTCGGCATGCTACTCGACAAGGGGTCTCTCAACCAGCACGAGACGATCGAGCTCGCTCAGCCTGTGTTGGCCCAGAACCGAAAGCAGCTCCTGCAGAAGTGGCTCGGTGAGAACAAGCTTGAATGCTCTGAGCAGCTTGGTGACATGGTTCGCCCTCACGACATGAACATGGCGCTTGCCATCTACTTGAAGGCCAATGTTCCTCATAAGGTGGTTGCTGGCTTTGCCGAAACCGGCCAGTTCGACAAGATTCTCCCCTACTGCGCTCAGGTCAACTATCACCCCGACTTTGTCCAATTGCTCCAGCACATCGTTCGTGTCAACCCCGAGAAGGGCGCCGAGTTTGCTACGTCACTAGCCAATCAGGAGGGTGGCTCGCTTGTTGACCTTGAGCGGGTAGTCGACATCTTCCAGTCCCAGGGTATGGTGCAGCAAGCTACGGCCTTCCTTCTTGATGCTCTCAAGGACAACAAGCCCGAGCAAGCCCATCTCCAAACTCGGCTCCTGGAAATGAACCTTATCAACGCACCCCAGGTAGCAGATGCTATTCTTGGAAATGACATGTTCTCCTACTTCGACAAGGCTCGCATTGCATCTCTCTGCGAGCAGGCTGGGCTTTTGCAAAGGGCCTTGGACTTGTACGAGGACCCTGCCGCTGTCAAGCGGGTCATCGTCAACATCGCTGGTACTCCGGCTTTCAATCCCGACTGGCTTGTCGAGTACTTTGGCCGGCTATCTGTCGAGCAATCCATCGACTGCCTCGACGGCATGATGAAGCACAACATCCGCCAGAACCTCCAGTCCGTGGTCCAAGTTGCCACCAAGTATGCCGAGCTTCTTGGAGCGCAGCGCCTGATTGATCTGTTCGAGAAGTATAAGACTGCTGAGGGTCTCTACTACTTCCTCGGCAGCATCGTGAACGTGAGCGAGGATCCTGAAGTTGTCTTCAAGTATATCGAAGCCGCCACCAAAATGGGCCAGATTCGGGAGGTCGAGCGCATCTGCCGCGACAACAGCGTTTACAACCCGGAGAAGGTCAAGAACTTCCTCAAGGAGGCCAAGCTCGGCGAAATGCTTCCACTGATGGTTGTCTGCGACCGCTTCAATTTCGTGCATGACCTCGTGCTCTATCTTTACCAGCACCAGCAGTTCAAGTCGATCGAGATCTACGTGCAGCAGGTCAACCCATCGAGAACACCCGGAGTTATCGGCGGACTGTTGGACGTCGATTGCGATGAGAACATCATCAAAAACCTCCTCTCCACCGTCAATCCGATCTCAATCCCGATCGACGAGCTCGTGCGTGAGGTCGAGACTCGTAACCGTCTTAAGCTGCTCCTCCCCTTTTTGGAGGCAACTCTGGCCGCCGGCAACCAGCAGCAAGCAGTCTATAATGCCCTGGCAAAGATTTACATCGATTCCAATAACAACCCGGAGAAGTTCTTGAAGGAGAATGACCAGTATGACACGCTCACGGTCGGCAAGTACTGCGAAAAGCGGGATCCCAATCTCGCCTACATCGCCTATCGCAAGGGCCAGAACGACCTTGAGTTGGTCAACATCACCAACGAGAACGCGATGTACAAAGCCCAGGCGAGATATCTCCTCGAGCGGGCCGACCGGGAGCTCTGGATGTTTGTCCTCAGCGAAAACAATATACACCGCCGTTCAGTGGTCGATCAGGTTATCTCGACGGCCGTCCCCGAGTCAACAGATCCCGCCAAGGTCTCCGAGGCAGTGGCGTGCTTCCTGAATGCAGATCTCCCTGCTGAGCTCATTGAGCTTCTCGAAAAGATTGTCCTGGAGCCATCACCGTTCAGCGATAATCAGAACCTCCAGAACCTGCTCATGTTCACTGCCGCTAAGGCTGATAAGGCCCGTGTTATGGACTACATCCACCGGCTGGACAATTTCTCCGCAGACGAGATCGCCAACGTTTGCATTGAGGTCGGCCTGCATGAAGAGGCGTTTGAGGTCTACAAGAAGATCGATAACAAGGAGGCTGCCGTCAATGTCCTTGTGGAGCACGTGGTCAGCATTGATCGGGCACAGGCTTACGCGGAGGAGGTCGACATTCCCCAAGTCTGGAGTAAGGTCGCCAAGGCTCAGTTGGATGGTCTCCGGATTGGCGACTCGATCGATTCGTACATCAAGGCGGAAGACCCGAAGAATTATGAGGAGGTCATCGAGGTTGCTGTGGCGGCAGGGAAGAACGAGGAGCTGATCAAGTATCTCCGCATGGCTCGAAAGACGCTCCGCGAGCCCGTCATAGATACAGCGCTCGCCTTCTGCTATGCCCGCCTTGATCAGCTCGCGGAGTTGGAAGACTTCCTGCGGGCAACCAACGTGGCAAATGTCGAAGAGTCCGGTGACAAGGCCTATGCTGAGGGCCTCTTCGAGGCTGCCAAGATCTTCTACACCAGCATTTCCAACTGGGCCAAGCTCGCGACAACGCTGGTGCATCTGGCCGACTACCAGGCCGCTGTTGATTGCGCGCGCAAGGCTAACAACATCAAGGTCTGGAAGGAGGTTCACGAGGCATGCGTTGGCAAAAAGGAATTCCGCCTTGCGCAGATCTGCGGCCTCAACCTCATCGTCGATGCAGAACAGCTTCAGGCTCTCGTCAAGCAGTACGAGCGCGAGGGGTATTTCGACGAGCTGATCAACCTGCTCGAGCAGGGCCTTGGTCTGGAGCGTGCCCACATGGGCATGTTCACTGAACTTGGAATTGCCCTGTCCAAATACCACCCTGAGCGGTTGATGGAGCACATCAAGCTCTTCTGGAGCAGGATGAATCTCCCCAAGATGATCCGCGCATGCGAGGAAGCCAACCTCTGGCCCGAGTTGGTCTTCTGCTATTACCACTACGACGAGTTTGACAATGCTGCACTTGCCGTTATGGAGCGGCCCGAGAACTCTTGGGAGCACCAACAGTTCAAGGAGATCACAGTCAAGGTTGCCAACCTTGAGATTTACTACAAGGCCATCAACTTCTATCTTGAGCAGCACCCGTCTCTCCTGACCGATCTTCTGCAAGCTTTGACTCCTCGGATTGACGTCAACCGGGTAGTCCGCATGTTCCAAAAGTCCGATAATCTACCCCTAATCAAGCCCTTCCTGCTCAACGTCCAGTCGCAAAACAAGAGGACTGTTAACGATGCAATCAACGACCTGTTGATTGAGGAAGAGGATTACAAGACTCTCCGTGACTCGGTCGAAAACTACGACAATTACGATCCCGTTGATCTCGCCGGTCGTCTGGAGAAGCATGACCTGGTATTCTTCCGTCAAATCGCCGCCAACATCTACCGGAAGAACAAGCGGTGGGAGAAGTCAATCAACCTGTCCAAGCAGGACAAACTATGGAAGGACGCAATCGAGACAGCTGCCATCTCTGGCAAGTCCGATGTTGTTGAAGATCTTCTGCGCTATGTAAGTTTGAGTCTTATCCCGCCACATCTGTGTTTCACCTGCTAATCTGCGCGACTTGTAGTTCGTCGACATTGGCAACCGTGAATGCTACGTAGGCATGCTATACGCCTGCTACGACTTGATCCGGCCCGACGTTGTACTGGAGCTTTCCTGGCGCAATGGCCTCCATGACTTCACCATGCCATACATGATCAACCTGCTCTGCCAGCAGACCAAGGAGCTGGCCACTCTCAAGGCTGATAACGAGGCCCGCAAGGCCAAGGAAAAGGAGCAAGAAAAGGTGGAGGACAACACGCCTATCCTTGGCGGCAACCGGCTCATGATCACCGCCGGACCTGCCCCTCACGCGGCGTCGCCCGCGCCGTTCATGCAGACCAATGGGTTCGCTCCGCAGCCGACCGGCTTCGGCTTCTAGACGTGTGTTTCAGTGGTGGGTTTATGAGCCAGGGGAGCCGTGATTGTGCGGCAACACGTTCAGATCTGTTAGCAACCTCCTAGATAAAACGGTCACAGAGGGTCAGTGGGATGTGAAGGCGCAGATGGACAGTTTAGGGTGTTTGTTTACGGGTGGTCCGGGGGCGACTGTCTTACACGCAGCTTCGGGGGATTCCCTGTGCTACTATTATTTGTACCTGTATGAAAGTCTAACCACCTTGTCCGGTTCAAGTACTTGATTTGGCTTCTTCCACTTCTCAAGGGTCCTCCCGAGTGCTTGATAATGAGTTTAAGTTATGGTACTGCGCCATTCAATGCTCCAGTGAGGCAGAGAGACTGCAAACAGCGTTCTAGCTGGCAGCCTTCTCGCAAACTGCCGCGCTGTCAGGCGTATAACATGCCGTGTCTTACAATCGTTGATGCCAAGAGCTTCTCGATATTGACTGCCTAGGCGGGCTTGAGTGAGACAACAAACCACTTCTCAGTATGAATTGCATTCTGAGATTGTTGAAGACTTTGAGCTACAGGTAACTTACATGTACATAACTGCGTCGACTATGAACCATATGGAAGTTACGATTTAAGTGATCCTAGACTCTTTATCTAACCAATTGCCTTTTGAGTAACGGGCATCTCCAACGGACGCAACGCAGACAAGTCACGGTATGTATACATATTCGTAGCCTCAAGACTCACCAGCGATCGCCCGATGATGGGACTCTCGTACCCTCGCAGCCTCGTTAGCGTAAAGCAGTGGGGTTACAATAAGCTACGAAGGTACAGTACATACACATCTCGATAAACCAAGGCTCCGGCGCCGGGCTTGGCAGCCCATGTCGAGGTGATCGTCCTCGGGTATGTGGGGGTCGCAGAACGGATTCGGACCTGGGAGCTTGGAAAGTCTTTTGAGTCATCGAGACATGGACAACCCCCTGGCTGTGAAATGTTACTAGATGTACTTTCGTACATCTAGCGGTACGTCCGTAGAGCCGCGCCAGTCGGTCACCCCCGCGACACAGAAGCCCAGTTGATGATCGTTGTACTCCGTACGGAAGCGACAAATCGCTGGACACAACATTTCAGGGTCGAGGTGTTTCCCTTTCCGCTTGCAGAAAGGTAGATGACAAAAGAGGTCCCATGACTGGCTTGCATCTTGAAATGCACTTGGCTCTCTAACTTAAATGACGCACGGTAAGCAAAGGGTAACACAAGATTCAGTACCGCAACATCAGGGGTGGTTGTGACGGCAAGCTGCTGTGTTGATCGAGTGTAGGACCGTCTTGGCCCGCTGGGTCCTGCAAAAAGCACATTGGGCGAAAGGCAAGATGGTTGCTTGGCAAGTGCGACAAGAGATCCCCATGTGCCTCATCTAGATTCGCATGCCTTGCCCAGCCGCGGCGACTTCGAGGGTTCAACGGCTCACGAACTCTTAGGTGATGCAGGGAGAGGCGCATCTGATCAATAATACCAACTCGGACGAGAGCTTGCTTTTAGCCTGGGTGCATTCACTGCATTGCTGCTCTAATACAATCACCACTCATGTTTCCTCCAAGCTTCCCCCGCATTCATTGGATGATTTGGATCTGATAGCCGGTTAGATCTAGATACCGCCGCTCCCAGTCCCGAGGCCTCGGAAACCTTTGTGGCATTTCGGTATCAAAAGCCAGCATATCATCGGCTGGACGGAGCCAGCCAACGTTCCACTGTCACACCATCACCAGTCACGAAAGCATTGCAGCGTCCCAACAAGCAGCCTAGCTAACTGCAGTTGTCAAGCAAGTTGGGAGGTTGGACCGGCTGTTAGGACATACAGACCAACCTACACCACCTCCCGTCAAGGTTATCGACGGCTCTTCTGCGGACACCCCTGTTCATATCCGAATGGTGGGTGTGCGGGAGTTTGGGGGTTCATTATGACTTGGCGATAGGAATTATACATATGTACGGATACGTCTGCTGTGGTTGGGGAGCAGACCCTAGTCCTGATGGGAGATGCATTTGCAACTGCAGCAGCATGCGTCAAGCTATGTCTGTGGACACGGACGGGGCTGGCGACTGGACAGTGGACGCAGTCGGGGAATTCCCATGGCCGAGCAACCAAGTTCCGGATGCCCTGGCTGGTCTTTTGCGCATCGAAAACTGAGAAGTGGAGTAGTGGGATTTTCCTTGACACAATTGATGACATTTGACAAGCTCCGATCACCGGTGTCTAATTGGTGTGGTTAGCGCCAACTTGAGAAGCTTATCCAACGACGCAGATGGGTCTCGGCTCGCTCGCCTGTGCCCACCAACTTCTTCCCAGCGGAGAGCTGACGATCGTATTTCTCACTTGAGTCACTTCGGAGATGGCTCCTCGCATCTGTTTTTATCAGCGGTGGTCAATGGCCGTCTCTGGTTGCGAAGCCAAGAAGCCGAATGGGGATGTGAAACCCCGTCCCATCCGGGATATATTGCACCCCGGACATCACGTCTCCTAGCTCGCTAATCTGCCGTGAGAGCGTCGCCTCAAAAGCGCGGGGCATCTCCCTCAGAGACTGTAGTGTAACCACTCAGAAGCCATTCTTTCACACGGGGAAACCAGCCGAGGACCAGGAGAGTTGGAGGTCAGAGCCCAACAAGAGGCCCCTCTCCTGGTTCGGATCCGGAGTTGCAATCAACTTTAACCATATTTTTCTTGCGTCTCCACTTCGCAAACGAGCCTCAAGAATAGCTTCGTAGCGGCCCGGTGCTTGACCAGCAATCCGATTGTTCTCTTTGTCCATTGAAGTGCATGTACACAGACCTGGACGTCCCTGCTTGTTCACTAGGGTGCCAAGGGGGTTCTGGAAGAGGCAGAAATCCCCTCATCCCATCCGTTGGTCCTGTGACCTTGTGACAGAAATTCTCGCTCTTCCCTTCCCTCTTCTATCTCCTTCCTCGAATCTCTGGGCGTTCTGCGTCTCTCCAACTGCCTGCTGCATGTCGTTGCCTCTTGGGGTGTTATCTATGCTGATGATTGCAGATCGTTGTGCTCCCGTCCCGTGTCGTCCGTTCTGTTGGTGCCAAGCTTTTCAAGATTCGGTTGTCAAACCGAGCTAGTGTTGAATTTTCCCCCTACAAAAACAGCCAGAAGCTTCAGCTTTAACCCCACTCTGCTGCAGTGAACCCCACCATCAATTGCATCGCGTCTTTGCTACCCCGCCGTCATATCCCTGTCAAATTGCAGCCCACGCGCAAGCGCCCCTCCTGCCTTTTTGTCTCGTTGTGTGCTATACATTTCTCCCCTTCCTCCGGTCCTCTTCTCTGCGTTCTTGTTAGGTTTTCTTCCCCCAAAACCACAGCCGGAGGCGCACCAATTGAGTCACCATGGCGGCCGAGAACGCAACCAACAAGTACGAGGAGGTCTTCGAGGATGGCGACATCCCCAAAGAGGCCCAGACGGTGCACCGCATCCGGGCGAACTCTACCATCATGCAACTGAACAAGATCTTGGGTTAGTACGCGCACCTTTGCAAACGAATTGCCCACGGGCGAAGAAACCCTTGCCAGGTCCCCTTGAGAAACACATACAGCTCCATCCGAAGTTATGTCCTAGCAGAAGTTAAGCTGACAAGGCGTTGTGTATGACAGTTGCGAACCGAGGTGAAATTCGTATGTATCCCGAATAAGCCTCGATCCCACCCCTTTCGGATGCTAACCCAAGTGCTACCAGCTATTCGTGTATGTGCGACCAATGGCTTGGACGACCTTGTTGCGACGTTGGAATGGCGATGCTCACAGTTGATTCGGCACATTACAGATCTTTAGAACAGTGAGCCGTGCCATGTTTCACGTACTCGCTGTTTCCAGGCTAACATGGCGCTGTGCAGGCTCACGAACTCTCCCTCCATACCATCGCTGTCTTCAGGTGAGCACCTTGGCGTCTCAGTTCATGGCCAGCTGCTGATTGTGTAGCTATGAGGACCGTCTTTCTATGCACAGGCAGAGTACGCAAGACTCTTCCGGTTCGCGGGGCTTTGAGAAGATCTCCTGCTTACAATATGGTTGTTATAGAGGCCGACGAGGCATACGTTATTGGCAAGCGCGGCCAATACACTCCGGTTGGCGCCTATCTCGCTGGCGACGAGATTATCAAGATCGCGGTTGAGCACGGCGCACAGATGATCCACCCCGGTAGGCCAAGTGGAACAGCTTGCCATCAAGGACTCGGAACTGATTCGTCTCAGGTTACGGCTTCTTGTCAGAGAACGCCGAGTTCGCTCGCAAGGTCGAGAAGGCAGGCCTTGTTGTGAGTACACCCGTCTTCCTGCTCCTTCAGCACGATGCCTGACTTACTCGACCCACTCCATAGTTTATTGGGCCAACACCGGATGTGATCGAGGCCCTGGGTGACAAGGTCTCGGCAAGGAAAATTGCGATCGAGGCCAAGGTACCCGTTGTGCCGGGTACGGAGGGCGCCGTCGAGAAATTCGAGGAAGTCAAGAAGTTCACAGACGAGTATGGCTTCCCCATTATCATCAAGGCTGCCTATGGCGGTGGTGGTCGTGGTATGCGAGTCGTGCGCGAGGAGAGCTCTTTGAAGGAAGCGTTCGAGAGAGCTACTTCCGAAGCAAAGAGCGCCTTTGGTAACGGCACCGTATTTGTTGAGAGGTTCCTCGACAAGCCCAAGCACATCGAGGTTCAACTTCTTGGCGATAATCACGGAAACATTGTCCACCTGTACGAGCGTGACTGCTCCGTTCAGCGGAGACACCAGAAAGTCATTGAGGTCGCCCCGGCCAAAGATCTTCCCCAAGAGGTGCGGGACGCAATCCTGAATGACGCTGTGCGCCTGGCAAAGTCGGTCAATTACCGCAACGCTGGCACGGCCGAGTTCCTGGTTGACCAGCAGAACCGCTACTACTTCATCGAGATCAACCCACGTATCCAAGTCGAGCACACCATCACCGAGGAGATTACCGGCATTGACATTGTCGCTGCTCAGATCCAAATTGCGGCTGGCGCAACACTCGAACAACTGGGCCTTACCCAGGACCGCATCTCCACCCGCGGGTTTGCCATCCAGTGCCGTATCACGACTGAGGACCCGGCCAAGAACTTCCAACCGGATACGGGCAAGATCGAGGTCTACCGCTCCGCTGGCGGCAACGGTGTGCGCCTCGACGGTGGTAACGGCTTTGCTGGCGCTGTCATTACACGTAAGTATCCGCCCTCCGCGCTTCCAAGGCCTCCGGCTTCAGGACTTAACCCTGCCCCTGATTTCTTAACGCTAACTTTGGCACAGCTCACTACGACTCCCTCCTTGTGAAGATGACCTGCCATGGCTCCACATACGAGATCGCCAGGCGCAAATCTCTTCGTTCACTCGTTGAGTTCCGCGTGAGGGGGTAAATTTTTTTTACTCCGCGATCGTTTTGTTCGGATCTAACTGTTTGTTCAGGGTGAAAACCAACATTCCCTTCCTGGCAACAGTCCTGACGCATCCCACGTTCATTGATGGGAACTGCTGGACTACCTTCATTGACGATACGCCGTCGCTGTTCAACCTTGTCAGCAGCCAGAACCGTGCGCAAAAACTGTTGGCATACCTCGGAGATGTCGCGGTCAACGGAAGCAGCATCAAGGGCCAGATTGGCGAGCCCAAGTTCAAGGGCGACATCATCATCCCTTCGCTGTTTGATGACGCTGGAAAGAAGATCGACACCTCGCAGCCTTGCACCAAGGGCTGGCGTAACATCATTCTGGAGCAGGGTCCCAAGGCCTTCGCCAAAGCCGTCCGCAACTACAATGGCTGCTTACTTATGGACACGACCTGGCGTGATGCCCATCAGTCGTTGCTCGCCACTCGTGTGCGGACTATCGACCTCCTGAACATCGCCAAGGAGACCAGCCATGCTCTTTCCAATCTCTACAGCTTGGAGTGCTGGGGCGGTGCCACTTTCGATGTCGCCATGCGCTTTCTCTACGAAGACCCGTGGGATCGTCTCCGCAAAATGCGCAAGCTCGTGCCCAATATTCCTTTCCAGATGCTGCTGCGTGGTGCCAACGGGGTCGCCTATGCCTCCCTCCCGGACAACGCTATCGATCACTTCGTCGACCAGGCGAAGAAGAATGGCGTCGACATCTTCCGCGTCTTTGACGCACTGAACGACATCAACCAGCTTGAGGTCGGTATCAAAGCGGTCCAGAAGGCTGGCGGTGTCTGCGAAGGCACGATTTGCTACAGCGGTGACATGCTCAACCCTGCTAAGAAGTACAACTTGGAGTACTACTTGGACCTCGTCGACAAGCTTGTTGCCCTCGACATCGATGTCCTAGGGATCAAGGACATGGCCGGTGTCCTCAAACCCCACGCCGCTACTCTCCTGGTCGGCTCTATTCGGAAGAGGTACCCCGACCTGCCCATCCATGTCCACACTCACGACTCTGCTGGTACCGGCGTCGCCTCCATGGTTGCTTGCGCGATGGCTGGCGCCGACGCTGTTGATGCCGCCACCGACAGCATGTCTGGCATGACGTCTCAGCCCAGTATCAACGCCATCCTTGCCTCCCTCGATGGGACTGGCAAGGACCCTGGCCTCAATGTTCACCACGTCCGTGCCCTCGACACCTACTGGTCTCAGCTTCGCCTGTTATACTCTCCTTTCGAGGCTCACCTTGCAGGCCCCGACCCCGAAGTATACGAGCACGAGATTCCGGGTGGCCAGCTTACCAACATGATGTTCCAGGCCTCTCAGCTCGGCCTTGGCTCCCAGTGGCTTGAGACGAAGAAGGCTTACGAGCAGGCCAATGACCTCCTTGGTGACATTGTCAAGGTTACCCCTACCTCCAAGGTGGTTGGCGACCTTGCGCAGTTCATGGTTTCCAACAAGCTCTCTCCCGAAGACGTCAAGGCTCGTGCTAGCGAGCTAGATTTCCCCGGCTCCGTGCTCGAGTTCCTAGAGGGTATGATGGGTCAGCCGTACGGCGGATTCCCAGAGCCTCTCCGGACAAATGCTCTCCGCGGGCGCCGCAAGCTGGACAAGCGGCCCGGCCTGTTCCTGCCGCCCGTCGACTTCGCTCAAGTCAGGAAGGAACTCGCTCGCAAGTTCGGCGGCACTGTCACCGAGTGCGATGTCGCTAGCTACATTATGTACCCCAAGGTGTTTGAGGAGTACAAGAAGTTTGTGGCCAAGTACGGCGACCTGTCCGTCCTGCCAACCAAGTATTTCCTCTCCAAGCCCGAGATTGGCGAGGAGTTCCATGTCGAGCTCGAGAAGGGCAAGGTGCTCATTCTCAAGCTTCTGGCCGTTGGCCCTCTGTCCGAGAACACGGGTCAGCGTGAGGTGTTCTACGAGATGAACGGCGAGGTCCGCCAGGTGACGGTCGACGACAGGAAGGCGTCTGTCGAGAATGTCAGCCGGCCCAAGGCTGACCCTGCCGATTCGAGCCAAATTGGCGCGCCCATGGCTGGTGTGCTGGTTGAGCTGCGGGTGCATGAAGGTAGTGAGGTCAAGAAGGGCGACCCGCTCGCTGTGCTGAGCGCCATGAAGATGGTACGCTGCCCCCTCCCGATTCTGCAACGTCGGTCCTTCAATATGAAATGTCCACTGACTAACTTGTCTTCTCAATAGGAAATGGTTATCTCGGCATCGCATGCCGGTAAGATAGCTGGATTGGTGGTCAGGGAAGGTGACTCGGTGGACGGTTCCGATCTTATCTGCCGCATTGTCAAGGGTTAGATGGACAGCAAGCAGTGCCTAATGGCTATGTCCGGGTATTTCTTAGGATGTTCTAGGGCTGTAGTTCATATTTTGAGTGAATAAACAGTATTATGATCCATCATCGCCTCGAACAGGCTCTTCAGATAGGGAGTTTCTGCGGTGTGCATCAGCGCTATTCTATCTGTGCACTACAGTCTGCCTGAAGGCCCCAGGGAACGCCGCAGGTTCGTTGGAGATTTGGAGTCCCCATCGCTGTCCCCATCGATGATCGCTGTCGCTATCGCCGTCGCCCTGTGGCCCTGGTGGCCGTTCCAGCCGTTGTGAACCTTGTGACCGTCGTCATCGTCGCTTTGTCTCGAGATCTAGCCCACAAAGGTCAAGAAGCCAAGCAGCAGGCCAGAACCCGGTCCCCCGCCAAGTTCCTGTCTCACAGCTGAACTGAACTTCAAGCAACTACTTACGATACAATAAAAGCAGGTTCTGGTCTCTTTGCCATCGAGGTATGAGATGCTTGTTTCAAGGTAGCTCCGCCCGCAGAACCGGAGTCTTATTGGACATGGCGGGCTGGGAATAGGGAGTACGAGGGCATGGAACTGACCGTTGTTGGGAGGAGAGGAGCATACGAGGTCATGGAATTGACCATTGCTATGAAAGACTGATCCGTGGCGGGAAGCACAAGGAGAGGTAACGGGAGAAAGACGGAGAGATTGTTGGCTCTGTGGACCATGGATTGAAGATATATGACAACCTAGAGCCCTCTTCTGCAGTCTGCACCGAACAGGCCCCATTCCCCTCCACCCAGCACATGGACATAATATCGTTAGAAGTCTTGATTGGAATTCAACAGTCGTTGATTTAAGCTGCATGTACCCACGGCCTTCATCCGTACCAACATCCCGATGACACCCACTCATCTGACGACACTCACTCATTGTTAAAATGGCTCCAACAACCCTTCCATTCCCCTACACCATAGAGGCTCCTGTGGCATCTCAGGGCCGATGTTTCTCACGATGCCTAGCAGATTTGTTTCTAAACAGGGCTCTTTACTTTCCTGGCTTATCTTTCCCCCGGGAGAGCTCTTTAGCAGCCACTCTTCTGACGGAACGGATCTACCAACAGCGATCTTGAAGGAGCCAGGATTCCATCAGAGGCTTGGAATGATCGCCATTGACGAGCTTCACTGCGTTAGCGAATGGCGCAATTTCTGGCCGGACTTCGCTCATTTGTATCCTCTTCGAAGCTATATTCCTCGGAGTATACCGTGGTTTGGCTGTACGGCAACGCTGGACCGCGTCTACCTTGGGTTTTTAGCGTCTACCATGGTTATCAGGAAGATTCGAACTTCGAACCTCCCCGAACGTTCATCGGGCGGTGAAGATCGGCTGCTTTCTGCTTACAACTTGACTACTTCACTCTATACCCAGTGGGGGGTGAAAGCAGGAAGGTGGACTTGACCTATATAGCCAGTTTCGCCACTGCAAGAGGCGTCCTTCGATACTGTTGTCTCTAGCCATGAGCGGAGCCAGGAAGTTGTTGTTGCTTCGAAGTTTCAAGGATTCTGTCCTCTACAACAGTTCGGCATGTGGTACTCTTACCTTCAGAGTTCTTGTAGCATTGATGATGTGCCAAGTATTTCGGCGGTTCAGGATACTATTCATCGTCTGTCAACCTTGGGAGTACATATAGTGTGTAGGAGGAAAGCGTAGTCCTAACTGCCATAGCGACACACTTTGGAAAGGCGGCTAGGGGAGCCAGTTGAATACGCTACGACCAGCAAAAGCTCCGGATGAACTTCAATGGTGATGACCCCACTGTATTCGGCATTACTCTGAGCCAATGCTAGACTATCATCAGTTCGAAGACGGAACGGACCGGAGAAACGCACGCGAGTATTGCTTGCCCCTAATAGCCCGACCCTCTTCCCTCTGACAAGACGAGCAGACGCCAGTAATATAGTCCCGCCCTCCTTGTCCTTCGTCTAACCGACGCGCCGCGCTTGATGTACAGCCCTTAACACAGTCCCTCAGCGCTCCGAGCGCCCAGACTCTAGAATCACTCCCGTGCGAGGGGAAAGAAATCCCGAGAAGACAAAGTTGAATGATGAATGCAGCGCTCCCTCTGTTCATCGATTTGCATGGACCCGGATCAACATATCCCGCACCCTCTCCCCTCCTCAATTTTTAATTTCCCGCCGCCCATCTTATTTCTTGCCCACGAGCTCCTTAGCCTTATCCTCCACCGCCTTGGCGGTTTCCTTCCCCGTGTCCACGGCACTCTCGAGAGCGGCCTTTTCCTTGCCGCCCCATTTGTGCCATGCCAGGTACCGGTATCCTTGGGTGAGCTGCGAGCCCTCGTTGACGAAGTGGCACAAGAAGAGGAGGTAGTTCTTGGGCGTGACGGCAAGCGAGTAGCGCATAAAGGTGGCCGAGTAGACGCAGAGGGCGAAGGTCATGGGCCCAGAGATGCTACGTAATTGAGACAAAGAAGGTCAGTAACGAAGGGGTCTGGTTTGACATGGGTGGCTTCTTAACGGAGCGGGTTTGCAACGTTGCTGTCGTAGGGCTGGACTGCTTGATCGCATCTGTGACGAACGGGCAGGGCGAGGAGGGAAGGGAGATCCTACAGCTCTGGACTCTTTTGGGTGTCCATAACGGCGGCGACGGGGATGCCAAAGTTGGAGACGGGCCCCCAGAAATCTGTTCGAGACACATGGTTAGCCAGCGCTCAAGTAGTACAGGTACAGCACGCGATGCGATGAGTCCCCGGCTCGCCCGGAGCAAGAGCAATTGGCCCTCCCGGAGACGTCCGGTTCCATTTTTGACGCTGGTAACGCTATACAGGGTGCTGAAACACTCGAAAGACACCCAAGTCTCTGCAATGGCGGTAGATGCACTGGCAAAGAGGCGGTCGCGTGCGATCCGGGAAATTGTCCGATGACCGGAATGCGAGCTTGGCAATAGACTGCTGCGCACAAGAGCAAAAGCAAGGACCTACGTGTAGAGCAGACATAGTTCAGGACAGGATGCGCCCTGATCTTTGCGTTGACGGCTTTCACAAAGGCGGCCATTTTGGACGTTTTGCTCCTGGGTTGGCCTCTGTCGATGTTGACGTCGCTCGCGATCCGGTGAGATGGTTCCGCTTCGCAATCGGACTCTGCCAGCGCGGGAAGAAATTTGGGGATTCCGCGCTCGCACGGGCCTCCGCCCCGTGCAGGTGCTACAAACTGCAAAAGACAACTCACGGATGACATCAGGGCATTTTCATCTTTAAAAAGACGGCCACGAAGCTAATGTCGCTTGAGGTTCTCTTTACTCTCCTGCGAGGCTGCAAAGAGCCGTCTTGATCCTTCAGTAGTCTCGGTTAGAATACAGGCCGCAATCATGCCCTTTCCCGCAGTTTTCAATGACCCCCGAACGCCGCCTTTAAAAACCATTCTTCGTAAATCTCGAGGAGTGTTCAGAATCTCCGAGGACCGCATCAAGCAGTAGACAAGTTGATGAGAAATCTCACAACGCCTACATCAGATTATTTGCCGGGTATCAGTGACGTAGACCAAGAAAATGTGACATTATCTCCGCGGCGGTGGGTTGAAGCCAGTCGGGGGCGCTCCGCCAGGAGGGAATGCGGGAGGGAACCCGGGGGCTCCAGGAAAGCCAGCGGGAGGGAAACCGCCGGGAAAGCCGGGGGGCGGAGCTATTAATCAAGTTAGAAATGGGCAAATGTTGGGGCAGGCAAGATAACTTACGGCCTCCGCGACCAGGGAAACCGGGAGCGCCTGGGAAGGCCGGGAAGGGAGGAGGCGCAGCGCCGCCGACACCTACAGCAGGGCCAGCGAGGGAGATGGGAACAGCCGCACCCCGTCCGGCAGGTCGCGCAACGCCGGGTCCAGCCGTAAGTGTCGTCGCGATGCCGGCGCCTGTGGTTTTGCCCAGACGAGCGCTGGGATCTGCCGGGGGAGGAGACTCGACAGACAGAGAAACAATCTGCGCACCTCGGACAATCGTCAAGCCCAGCGTGCGCTTCTCTTCTTGCTCCACGGTCTGAGCGGCGGACGACGATGCGCCAGGCGCGGCGGGTTTGTTCTGCTTGCGTTTGATTCGGCGAAACTCTTCGGTATCGGCGAGGACGAGGTTCATGTGTTTGTCGAATGCAAGCATCTAGACAATGGGTCAGCAAGCCAAAAGCTACAAGCGTGCAGTGGACAAGGAAACCCACCTGGCCAGTCATTTGGCGGCCATCATTCAAGGTGACCCGCATCCGGTAATTGATCTGGAGAGAAAGTTGACTGTTAGCTCGGCGTTGCGATTGCCATGTTCCGGAATGGCCCGCTCGGCGTATTAGGTACGTACGTAACCGGCCTAGAAGCAATGCGGCTTGTCAGTCCTCCGATGTCAACATCGATGCTTGCACAGCCGTGTTGAAGGATACACGCCGACTCACCATCTTGCCTTGTTTATTCGTCGCCGACATGATTGCGACAAGATGCTACAGTGTAGCGTCTTCAAGTTTGCAAAAAATTGGTTTGTGGGTGCAGACAAAAATTTCAAACTTTGTCAGTCGCGGACTCTTGTTGCACTCAAGAGGCTTCAGAATCAACGCGTAGTGGCTGGTTATCGACGCAGGCAGTTAATGTTCGCGGAGGCGAGCAAGGCTGAAATTATTTGAGCTCTGGGCTGCTTCAGCCACGGTTTGATAGCTAACAAACGCAAGGCTCCAGAAGCTTGCACTAAATTCAGCCACTGCGGCTTGTCCCCCACCAAAGTCTTTTCCCGGCAGGCAAGCAGTGCCCCACACGCACAATCTCAGAAATTCACGATTGGAAAATCGGCCTCAAACTTCACAAATCCATCACGAGTTTGAGACCGCCCAGTGCCGGATTACGACAACACCGCCGCCATGGTAGGGACATTTCAATCGCTATCGCCAGGTTAGATCAAGCTAACAATGGGAAAATAGTCTGCTGAGAAGGCCCAAAACCCCATGCGGGAGCTCCGCATCCAGAAGCTCGTCCTGAACATCTCGGTCGGCGAGTCTGGTGACAGACTGACCCGCGCTGCCAAGGTGCTGGAGCAGCTGAGCGGTCAAACCCCGGTGTACAGTGAGTTCTCTGCCCTCAAACCACCATCATTCCGTTCATATCCCCCAACCCTACTAACCACTTCAATCCATCCAGGCAAGGCGCGTTACACCGTCCGCACGTTCGGCATCCGCCGTAACGAAAAGATCGCCGTGCACGTCACGGTGCGGGGGCCCAAGGCCGAAGAAATCCTGGAGCGCGGCCTGAAAGTCAAGGAGTACGAGCTGCGCAAGCGCAACTTCAGCGAGACGGGCAACTTTGGCTTCGGCATCAGCGAGCACATCGACCTGGGCATCAAGTACGACCCGGGCATCGGCATTTACGGCATGGACTTCTACTGCTGCATGACCCGCCCCGGCGAGCGCGTCGCCCGCCGCCGCCGCTGCAAGAGCCGCGTCGGCGCCAGCCACCGCATCACCCGCGACGACACCATCAAGTGGTTCAAGCAGCGCTTCGACGCCATCGTCCGCTAAATGTGGGAGGTTCAGTGGTGATGGGAAATCGGGGAAGGAAAATGGTAAAAAACAATGGGCATTTCAGGGAGTGCGGGGAGTTTCAGGGTCGGTCGGCAACCTTCGGGATCCCTGGGTCGGAAATCCTTTTGCTGGTTCATGCAGAATGATGGGATCGTTGGGCTCTCTTCGGTACAATGTAGTCGATGCATCTTCCTATACCTTTGGCGAATCTCGTTCGTCAATCCTGCTTGGTCTGAGAATTTCAGTCAAGCCACGGCCTCAGAGACCGACCGGCGTCATGCCGGCTTATCAACTCCTTAGACTCCGTGACCAGGGCCCTGCCCCTGCCCAATCGCAGTGTTGAGAGCGGATGCTGTACGATGAGTGATCTCAAGTGATGCTCTCATGGGCGGTTCACCACGGCAGATCGACCTCGCCAGGGCATAAACTGGTTCCATTGCCATGAATTCATTACTCTAATTCTTGAGGGGTAGGTTCATTCCATGCCATCGTCTTCATGTACTGTCCATGCATAACTTCGTAAAATGTATAGCAAAGCTTTTTCTTCCTTATTGCTCCTTTCCCTCCACAAACCATCCTCTTCAAAGACCAGCCAGACATGTGAAGTGTGGCAGGAAACCCATGCAAACCCCAACCATAGAGTGGTGAGACAATGTCCATTTCCTTCTATCATGGCTTGGCGAGGTCAAGAAAACGCATTCATCATACCGGCCTTGTATAGACGACTGATGGAGTGAGTAGCTATAGCCGCGCGCTGGGCGGACTGGCGAAGCGTGGAGGGCTTTGGAATGGACTTTGGAAAGGGCTTGTGACACTGCTCCGTACCCGAGACCAGAGACTCTTTTGATCGCTTGTTGTCAACTGCGCTCGACACTTGGCAAGGCGGTGTTCGGTGTACCGCTTCCGCTGCTGTCGTGCTGGGGACGGTGGTGGGTTGCTTGGGCGAAGCAGCAGCAGCAGCTCGTCTCTTTCGCATGGACCGGCGGACGTCAAGAAGCATGTCGACCAGAGCCTGTGCCTCCTTGTGAACTTCCGCCAGCTGGGCAGCATTGCAGCCGACATCTGCGCTGTCCTTGCTCGGAAGTCTGTACGCTGCGAACACGATGCCGCAATTGGCCTCCGCTCTGGCAGTCTCCTTGCACATCCGGATCTTGCTGTCAGGACTAGCTTTCCCGCATCGTCTCTCAGGGATATGCCCGGTGTAAAATGAGCAACTGTAGCCACGTGCAAATTCGTCCATGGCGGTGCCAGCGTTCTCGCTGCGGTACTCTAGCCAGCCCTCCGTCCTGAGTACCTTCTGGTGGACAGGGACAGAGATCTGGAAAGGGCACATGATGGATGGAAGGCCGTATGCCGCTAGCAAACGCCCACTCATGCCGCACCCCGAGCTGTTGCAAAGGGATGGAACGGCTCCTGCTCCGAGGGTATCCTTTCCTAGCTCATTTGAACCCGGGAACGAATGTGGGGAAGGACGAGCTGGCGGGAAAAGGCCGTACGACGGCTTGAGGGCAAGCTGGGGTTTGGAGTAGCCCGTTCGGCCTGGCCACAGTTTGACGATGTAGACGAGGTCAAACCCGAATTTGACTGCGATTCTCGCAGCCTCGAGTGCCGCAACTGTAGTGGGCCGGCTAGCAAGCGGAGGAGAAGGCATCAACAATTGGTAAGTCTCCACGGTCTGCGGGCCTCTGGCGGCCGCCGGCAGGTCGTGGGACAGTGAACGGGCTGGAAGGTTGGGTGCGGTGGTCTTGGTCCGGTGTGTCAGACGATGATCGGCAATATCATCTTCGCTCAATTTCATGACCTCTGTCAGACTTGGCTCCTTGAGGATCGAGTCAACGTCGGAAAGGCTGACAGACTTGCGCAAGGATGCGTGAGATAGCTTGTCGAGGGTTCCAGAGTCGTATAGGCTCTTCGGTCTGGGGCACTTCATAGAATTGCCATTGCCCATCCCAGCACGTCTGGTTCCGGGTAGAGAAATTTCCCTAGACAATGCTTTCGAGGCGGCGCTCTGGTGTTGAGCAGATCCCGAGGGTTGGCTTTCCTGCTGCATCGACGTCCAGCCGAAGTCGAACTGAGGAACCGAAGAGCCCTTGGCATCAAGTTTATGTAACTGAGAAATGGGTGTCTCATCGTGAGCATGGCGGGCATTGCGTTTCTGACTCTTACGAGTTTTTGGTGAGACGGAAACCGAGGTGGACGGCGACAAAGACCTGGGACCAGATCTAGAGTTGGATCTGGAGCGGAAGCTCGAAGAAGTATTGTTTTCGCCGTCCACAGATGCAGCGGGGAAGCTGAACTCCAGCAACTGTGACACAGGAACGGTCTTCCCCAGCCCGCGAGACTGTGGAGTACATCCCTGAGGGATACCGGGAGCCAAAGAGGAGACGCGTGGCGGGATCTGAGGGACCCCTTTAGTGAATGCTGGTCTAGTCACTGTCCCTACGCTAGTTGCTCGAATGTTCAGGGACATGGGATGCTGAGAATTCGAGGAGTCGGGGAGACTCTTGGTTCTTCGTGTGGGGCTGGGGCCCAGGGCCGCCTCCTCTCGAGCAATCATGCGGGAAGATGTAGGCCTGATGAACGAGGGCCACGGGAACTGTTGGCCATCTGCATCCAGCCTGGCCGACAACGGGCTGGGCGGCCTTGAGCTGCTCTCAGATAGGGAGATATTGGATGACCTTGTTCCCTTCCTCTTTTTTGAAAAGAACTTCTCCAATCGATCCAATTTCCTCTCCAATCTCTCGATCCCGACCGCCATCGTGGCGTCTATCTTCGCGAAGGTCTAGGAAATGTTTATATTAGCGAAATATCGTGAGGTTAGTCAGGCGAATCGCCAGGCTTACCAGGGGTCAGCTAGAGGATCGAGCATATGCTCGAGTCGGCGATTTCTTTGAGTTTGGCAAAGCGAGCGACTGTCCCGCCAACCTGACCAGAATAGGATCGCTTGAGGCGATTTCGATTAAGTGACACCGGATAGGTGTAAATGGGAAGCTCAAGCGGCTGAGAGGGAAATACACCCAACTGTTGGAAACTCGAAGTTCAGACGAGTGTGGGATGGCGGAAGTCGTAATGCACGCAGCTGCGTGACTTTATGGTTTGCTGGGTGAGAGAGATTCCACGGCGTGGCAGCCGTAAACGTGACTTCTTCCAGACTTAAACCGAAGTAAAGTGTATTGATGAGTTTGTGAATGAGGGGGAGTAGCATGAGAGCGTTACCGTTACCGCCGACTCAGGTACACTTTCGTCACTCCAGTGAAAGATCGCTAAGCCTTGTGGGATTGTCAAAGGAAAGGAAGAAATCAGAATAGGTTCCTTGTGTGAAGCGTATAAATCATGTGAGAGGGCCGACGACGATTAGTGCCGAGAATGTTATTTGGAAAAGGTCAAAACGGAAGGAGCAGATCCACGATCTCCAGACGCTCCTCACAACAACCAAACCCACTCGAAGAGAACGCCCGATCGCGGATTCGATCTGTAGCAGATACTGTGGAAGATGAGGGAGGGTCAACAGGGAACTGAGATCTAGAATACAGAGAGAAGAGAGAGCCAGGCTGATCCCGTTCACATGTTGAGGTACCAGCAGGCCTTATTTGCATCAATCCAGGCAGCTTGCACTGAATCCACGAGGCCAAAGTAGAAATAAAGACATAAGTCAGAGCCTGTGAACGGCGCTGGACTGGCGGATCTCTTTGCTGCAAGTGACCCAGGCCCCTGACAGCGCGCCGCCTTCCGTCTTCCTTCCGCCATCCCGTACCATGTCCCGATCTTCCAGCCGGGCCGATGAGCGCCCAGCGGCGGAGTCCCGAGTATTAGACTCTGTGCCCCTTCGGCCATCACAGTACCAGATAGCTGGGATTGGCAAGGGGTAGTCCAATTCTTGACTGAAGGACAGCAGACGTGTCAAGAGGCTTGAGTGGCGGCTCTCCCAATATCACAACCCGCCAGCGACACCATTTTCATCGGATGCAGAACATGATCAAATAATAACCGAAAAGAGAGATAAAAATCTGAGACACAGACTGGATGTCGGCGATCCAAGATCTGAGGTCGGCGAGGTAGTCGATTCACGAAAACAGTCAAAAGGAGGCTTTCAAGGTTCCATGCCGGTAATTGGTTGGCACCAGGGGCAGCCACCCCACCAGTCACATGCAATGCGAGGATCTGGCGGTGTCCAGAGACTCCAAACCGCCAAGTGCCAACAGCCAACCTCAACTCCACTTGGCTTGTCAGATCGAGTTCGACAAACAATTCAGCCTTTGCGATTTTGACCTATTCGACTTCCGTGTCGTTTCCTCCGTATCTAAAATGCATAGCCTTGATGATGGTCACCGCCACGAATATCTCGATCCTTCGACGCCAAGACCTAACCGCAAGTCAGTTGTCGTCCAACCTGTCGATTCCCAGAGGCCAGCCTGGACGACTCGATTATCTTGCCAAGTGCGGGATTGTTTAAGACACCGCTCACCGTTTTTGAAGACCAAGACAGAGCGGTGATCAACGGTGCAGCTCGACCAGCCGAACAGGCTAGCCACAGGCTAACGTGTGTCGGAATGAGGCTCGCCTCCAATCATCTTTTCTATGCTGGATTGTAAATGTCACCGGCGATCCAGGAGTGCATTCAGCTTCAATTCTCGTCTTCGTGTCGGGTCAGAGCCTTCAGCGAGTGCCGGCGCACGGTGCGACTTTGTGCATCGCTGCTTGATCACGACACCTGCCAACCGCGCGCCTATGTAAGCAGCAATCTCAGCGGTGTGCTAAGCTGGGCGACACCAGAGCTCCCCTTCAGCGCTAGATTGATTCGAAATGGCAGGGCTCAGTCCTCATCGTAGAACTCAGCCCATGCCTGCTTCCTGGTACTTGTGCCGTACTAAACTCGAACTTGCCCTGAGATGGCCGCTTCCCCTAACAATTCGTCTTCAAACCTCTCCTACTATCTATCCCTCGAATCTTATTCAGAACGCTGCAAGTTGCAATACTCTCCACAAAGAAGTCCCCAGCCTAAAAGTTGAACTCGCAGAGTCGCAGTTACATGAGGAGGTTTTGTGGTTCGTGCGCTTGTATAGAGCGGGGCCCCTCAGGCTTGCGAAGTTGCAGCCAGTTGGCAACGTTGTGGGTTGTGGGTTCTAATTGGCTGAAGAGTTTTTTCTAGGAAAGTGGGTCCTTGCGCGGTATTGTACCTCGTGTACAAACGACACTCCGTCGTCAGGCTGGTCTGGCACGTCTGGGAACCTTAATAATGTCAAGTTCTGTACTCCAACTACAAGGCTGAAGCCTCGCAGTTAGCGCCTGCAGGTCGTGCCAACAGGTAAGAAACTGTATTGCACCGCCCTAGCCAACTTGCCCAATAGCGGAGATCACCTCGACACATAAAATCGAACCACATCATAGCACCATCACTCCCAGCTATCTTCCACCCCGCTTCTCAGTAGGGCTCACACCAGGCCCAGTTGTTGGTGCTGTAGTGGCACGACTGGCCGTTGGGACAGGTGGCCTGAATCTCCCATTTGAGGCCGCTCCCGCGGTTGACACAGACCATTATATGCGGGTATCTGTCCACTAATAAGTATCCGTCATACCCACACAAGGCTGATGATTAGGTACATACCGCTGACCGTTGCTTGGGCTGCAGGTAACACGGCCAGCCTCGCTACACGACTCTCCACCCCACTGAGCCGCGGCCAGACTGGTGATGGTAAGGAATAGGGAGGCGATGGTGACCTTCATTGTATCGATCAGATAAGATGAGTGGAGTGGGAGATGAAATACCCAAAATTTGGCTGCTGATGAGAATGATCAAGACTGGCATCGAAGAGAGAGTGGTCGACTCTTTATACTCAAGTCAGAGTGTGATCTAGTACTAGGCCTTCAACACCTCTAATCGCCTTATTAGGAAATTAAAACCACAACCGAACCTGGTGCCGAACCTTGTAGTGTAGCGAGGACCCCGGTCAAAAACTCTACTGTAAAGGAGTCAATTCACCGCGCCGTTACGCCGTAGGATTCGAAGGATCTGTTTAGTCCTTGCAGCTTCCTGGCCTCGTTAGTAATCGCCCAACTTCTGCTGCATACCTACTGAGCAGATTCTGGTGCAGAGATGTCGCAAACCGCCTTGTCGAGATTTGTGTACAGTAATCGCGTATCAAACGAGAAGACTGCTCTCTGGGCAGGAGTATTGATTTCGAGTGTGAGGTCTTGCCGAACTCGAAGGATCGGGACCACCTGGCAATCTTGCCTCATCGCGAAGTTCAGGTCGGCTCCGTGTAAACGGTGTAATGTAGCTGTGGAACCTGAAGGCCAGCAACAACGTCGGGTGGCCCATCTTCGAGCAATTAGCTCCATGGGCTCCGCTGCCTCCGGGTTACTCGGCTATCGCTCAGCGGCAGCTCAGCTTAAAGCAGCAGGAACTCGGCTCTAAAAACGGAAATGGTTGATTTTGGACGTGGTTCAGTTGAATTTCATCTCAGAGTATACTCCGTGCTGGTATCATTATCCAAATATTCCCAGCCCCATGCAACACGGCTCAATATCACAGTACTACAGTAGTAGAGCATCACCTTCCCAAGCGAGGATGTGGACTAGAGGATGGTTGCGGAATTCACCCTGTGCTGCTCGCTTGAGGCTGAAGGGAACAATATGTATTACACTAAGGTACTTGTCCTGAGGTATCCCGGTTTGAACGGTGTGTTCATAAAGCCATTCCTGTTTCAGACGCATCTTCTCTGTGGTTGGCATTCCCAAATGGCCTTCAAGCTCTGCCGGCAAAGGGTGCCGTACCGCCGGGTCCTCCGAGGTTTCAAACCGAAACCCCGGGCCCGACGAGACATATACGGTGACACAATGGTTAGTCCGTCACGGTGCAGGGTTTGCAGACGGTCCACGGGTACCGGCATAGGGATGCCGCACCCGACTGGGCAAACTCTGATCTAGACTTATCACAGAGACAACTTAAGACACCGTTAGAACTCTGCTTAACCATCTAGGTGACGGCCGGGCTTAGTGCGAAAGACTTGATTGGGCGCCCACAACGGCCATGTCTCACACTTCATCGCATTTCTAGTGTATTCTATGTGCCTACTTCGTACATTTAAAAACTCTGTCAGTGTTGGCTTTAGAAAAGGCCCGAAGCCTCCCCTTCCCCTGCATTTGAGGCTGCTAAACTCCGAGTCCGTCTTGTATCTGATTCAGCCCTTTTTGGATCGGCGTGAGTCGGGTCTCGCCCAGATTCGGTCTAGCCACCTTACTGCTCAACTTTTGACGACATGTTATGAAGGAGTGGGCGTGTACAAATTCCGGCCTGGAGCAATTCCTCCGCGTCGTCAGAACTCGTTGGCATCCGTGAGAAAGAAGTCGGGTCCTTATGTGGGGAAGTATGTACCTAGGAGGCTACCTAGTAGTAACACCGTTTTCTGTCACACTCCGCCTAATCAAATGTATGCTGCCGAGGGGTCTATGAATCTTGCAGAGGCTACATGCATATAGCTTCGATATAATTCATGTTATCACTGAATGGGGTATACTGTCCAGGGTTTGAATTTCAAACAGGTTCCTCAATATTCAATAACATGTCGTCAGGGCACATGTAAAAGACAATAGGAGAAGTTCAGTACTACCTGTACTCTGTAGGTAAGGCAGTACGAGTGGTCCTATTTTGGTACCTAGTTCAGGCATTCTCATCTTGACACGCCAAACATTCAAAAATTGATTGTAGTAGTGCCTCCAATGGACATGTATACCTACCTACCTAGATCAAGAAGGACCCTAGGGCCCGATGGATATCCATATATTATGATAGATACTCAATGGCTTAGTCTGAGTATTTAGCTTTCTACTCTATTCATATTCGGATCTAGATTCCTAGATGCCAGAAACTAGGAAGTTTCGAAGATCAACTCAACATCACAAAGCTAACATCGACACACGCCAGGAGTGAACGCTCAGAGTCTTGCGCCGCTGGCATCCTCATCAACTGCCCCGAACAGATTCAAAAAGGCCGTGTGCACTTCATCCGTCAAGTCACTGGCCTGCAGGCTACGGCCTCTCTTGGCAAAAGCCAGTCGCGAGCATTCCTGTTCCTCATGTTGTCAGACATCATCGATCGTGAGTTCAAGCTGGTTGATGGATCACTTGCCCTTGTAATCGCACTCCCCCCAAACACAGCCAAGCCAACAAGCTCCTCCTCCTTCAGCACCTTCCCATGCTCCCAGATTCCATCCAGGTACGCCTTCCTCCACCCCAAGAAAGTCGCAATACTCCCCGTAAGCGTATCCCCCTGTCCACCACTCCTCTTCCTGCCCCCGGCAAGATCGACCGTGAAGGTCGTCCGCCCGTCACTCAAATGATCCTTGGCACCCTTCTGCACAATCATAACACCGCCCAGCGCGCGGGCGAGGGCCTCGACCTTTGCCGTCTCGCCGTGCTGCTGGGCGGCGGCGCCAACCTCGGCGTCGACGCCCAGCGCCGATGTCAGCCGCCCAAACTCAACCACGTTGGGCGTCAGCACGGCCAGGCCGTAGCCGCGCACCAGGTCCGGGTCGCGCTGCACAATCTGCAGCGCGTCGGCGTCCAGCACCATGGGCATTCCCTTATCGCGGGCGGCGCGGATCACGCGCGCACACGTGTCCTGCATCAGCGGGTCCCGGCCCAGCCCGGGGCCGATGACCAGCACGTGCAGCCGGTCCAGCATGGGGATGATGCGCTCGGCGATTTTGGACGGGTCCGTGTCGGCTGAGGAATGCCCTCCCGTTACGGGGGCGGCCGGGGAGGAAGGGGAGGAGCGCATCAGGGGGTGCACCATGAGGTTGGGTGAGTAGGATTTGATGACCGTAGCCGCGGTGGGGGTGCAGATGACGTGGGACTAGAATTTTGAGAAGGTGAGGGCGATTAGCTGCTGATATAGATGATTGCCTTCGAATGGGGATGGATAAAAGGGATGGGATCGTTAAGGGCTGGGATTGCACCGCTCCCAATCTTTCCTCGACACTTCCTACCGTCTCTCCATGACAATTGTCCATCACCAACCATCATACGCCTAAAACAGAGAAGCATCAAGCAAACAAGAACATACCATATCACACCCCAACCGGGCACTAGCCATCGCTGAGAAGTAGGGCGCACCCGTGTAATCCTCGCTCCCACCGATGACAGCTACTCTGCCAAGCTGCCCTATTCACCAGCCCGTCAGCTCATCTCAAACTAGCCGTTATCACACCTCGCCAAAGCGAAGGGCGCAGATCAACAGGGGACACACCCTTGTGGAACTTTTCCAGCATAGGCGGAATCATCTGCCGCACGCGGGCGAGCATCTCCTTAGTGGTAGCAGACATATTTGGAGGATCAGACGACATGTCTTCCAAAGAGTGAATTGGTGATGCTAAAGATTGCAATGTTAGTAAATTGAACAGCACAATTGAACTTGGTTGGTTGATTAAAAAAAGCGAGCTGTGATGGCGGGACAGGCGCGAATCTTGTACAAGATGAACATGCGGGGGTAGTTAAGTGGTGATAGAATTGCTTACCGAACAGACCCGAACCAAGAGACTGGGAGGGGCCACCTCTAGGAGGAATGTTTCGCAAGAAGCTATACAGAGATTGAAAGTCGTCTCAGAGGAATTGTGAGCTTGTGTTGGGAAGTGGTGTGTTCCTGGATCCAGGTCCAGCTGCCAGCTGCACTGCATGATGTCACAGGGTGGATGATGGGATGGGCCTTCCCGAACGTGGGGTGCAGGTTAGCCTTATAGTACCCTAACCCTTTGGTAGATCTCATCGAATCTTGCCAGCTCTCAAGCTGTAGAAAGAAGCGAGAGGAGAAGGGAAAGAGAAAAGACATGGAATAAAGAGGCAAAATGCATAAACACCAATGTTCAGGACAAAAGGAATCGAGTGCTTGATTGAGTCTTTGCTCTATGTTACAATGGGTTAACTGGAGAATCTCCCGTGTCTCCTTACTCATCCAGCACACGACGAGACAGACCCCCCTCTGCTCTAGAAACACATGGACTCTGCGGTATAGACATCTCCCAAATCCCCACCAACTCCCCGTAGATCCCCAGCCACGCTATGGTTTAGCAGCTGATTAACCCAGGAAGCTCTTGGTGAAGCTCTGGACAACCTCCTTCAACCTGGCCTCGAGGTCCTTGCTAATGGCGCCCTCCTTGTCGATCGTGGCCATGAGGTCAGCCTCGTTGGTCTTGAGGTGGGCAAGGAAGTCAGCCTCCCATTGGAGGATCTTGTTGACGGGGACCGCGTCGAGGTAGCCGTTGACACCGGCGAAGATAAGGGGAACCATCTCGTTGACAGCCATGGGCGAGTACTGCTTCTGCTTCAGGAGCTCGGTCAACTGTACATGTCGTTAGCACCTAAAATCCTGTAAAGGGAACGATTAGGCCGTCCAAACTTACCCGCTCACCACGGTTGAGAGTCTGCTTGGTGGCGGCATCGAGATCAGAGCCGAACTGGGCGAAGGCGGCAACCTCACGGTACTGGGCCAAGAAGAGCTTCAGGGAACCAGCGACTTGCTTCATGGCCTTGAGCTGGGCGGCGGAACCGACACGAGACACGGACAGACCGACGTTGATGGCGGGGCGGACACCCTTGTAGAAGAGCTCAGCCTCCAGGAAGATCTGACCGTCGGTAATGGAAATGACGTTGGTCGGGATATAGGCAGACACATCACCACCCTGGGTCTCGATGACGGGGAGGGCAGTCAGGGAGCCGCCACCGTGCTTGTCGTTCATCTTGGCAGCACGCTCGAGGAGACGAGAGTGCAGGTAGAAGACGTCACCGGGGTAGGCCTCACGTCCAGGAGGACGACGCAGCAGCAGGGACATCTGACGGTAGGCGACGGCCTGCTTGGACAGATCGTCGTAGACGATGAGGGCGTGCTTGCCGTTGTCACGGAAGTATTCACCGATTGAGCACTGAACATTTGCAAAGAAAGATTAGCAACCCGTCACACCTATACTGTTTTAGAAGTGAACATACCCCAGTGAAAGGAGCGATGTACTGCAGAGGCGCGGCCTCAGATGCAGTGGCCCTAGCATATTGATTAGCTAGCTAATTTTGTGGGGCATCGGCTTGGACTTACGCTACAACAACACTGTACTTCATCGCATCGTTCTCCTCGAGCGTCTTGACCAGCTGCCTATTGTTTTGATCAGCCAAATGTTCATGAAACATCGAGTTCGGGAACCGTACGCTACAGTCGAGCGCTTCTGTCCGACAGCGACGTAGATGCAGTAGAGCTTCTTCGTCTCGTCGTTGCCGTTGTTCCAGCGCTTCTGGTTAAGCATGGCGTCCAGGGCGACGGCAGTCTTGCCGGTCTGACGATCGCCAATAATCAACTCACGCTGACCACGGCCAATGGGAACCATGGCGTCAACGGACTTGAGACCGGTCTGCACAGGCTGGTTGACAGAGCGGCGAGGAAGAATGCCAGGGGCCTTGAGCTGGGCACGGCGCCTCTCCTTGGTGTTAATGGGCCCCTTGCCGTCAATCGGGTTACCGAGAGCGTCGACGACACGGCCGAGCAGTTCGGGACCAACAGGGACATCGACCTGAGGATGTGTCAGGAGTCTCTTACAGCACGACCAGAGTTTGATCGACTCACGATAGCACCGGTACGCTTGACGGTCTCGCCTTCCTTGACAAGACGATCGGAACCGAAAAGCACGACACCGACCTGGCCGGCCTCGAGGTTCATGCACATGCCCTTGACGCCCGAGGCGAATCTACAGGAGGTTAGCTCCACGAGCCGGAAGGAGAAAGACGCGTCACATACTCGACCAGCTCCTCGGCCTGGACGTTGGCCATACCGTGCACACGAGCGATACCATCACTGTCAAGACGCCACAGTCAGTCAGAAGCCCGTATTTTAGACCCAGGCATTCAGCCGACTTCCGTGAGCGGCGCGGAGACCCTCGCTCTCGGAGACCATCGGCTTGTTAACGTACCCGACGGACAGGACACGGCCGGTCTCGGCGAGGCCAGCCTCCTCCTGGACACCGCGGATCCTCTGCTCGAGGATGGAGGATACCTCGGTCGGGGAGGCCTTCGCGTCGGCGGCGTATGTGCGAGCTTGAAGGGCGGAAACGGCAGGTGCGGCATTTCGCTATAAGGGCCAGTTAGCACCGAGCCAAATCCCGAGGGCGCTAAAAGCGCAAGCAAAAATCCAGCAATGCCTCGTCCAAGCTCCTCCTGCTCGCCCAACGGTCTCGTACTGCCATTGAGAAGCTGAATTGAGCTTCATGGAAGTTTGCAGGGCGCATTGAGATGGCTTTCGAGCATCGGGCGATGGAATTGAGCTCGGTCGGGCGGAGGTGCACTCACTGCGGCGACTCTGCTCGAGGCAGAGAGGGCGCCGACGGCGCGCGTGCTCTGTCGGAGGGCGTTCCGGAACATAGTAGAGAGGATTGTGATGCCTCAGGTGCTGAGGGAAAACAATTGCAATCGAATTGCAATTGCGTGGAGGGGAGATTGAGACGGAGTCGTTGATGGAAGTTTGGAGAGCCGACGTGAGCAAAATTGTCGAGAAGCGAAGGACTGGCAGGCCTTGGTTGGAGAGGATGTGGACCCTCAACCTGAGCAATGGCCAATCAGACGAGCAGCACAGTTTTGCTGGATCAAGCACTCCCGAAGCGTCCCCGCTTACCAGAGCATCAAAACGCGACTTTGTTGCAAGGGAAACGGCGTAGTTGAACCTCTCAATTCGCAAATTGTTTCTTGTCAATCCATGCTGCGAGAGCTCGAATACTCTTTAAACAAGTGATATTCGACGCTCCCGCAGCTAACTTAGTTTTCTTCCCAAGCGCCCTACTGCCCGGCCGTCACTCTGGCAGGCCGGTTGTCCGGGTAATTCCGGGACTGTCAAAGAGCTTTGGCCAATTCGAACCGACCTTGCGACGGAAGGAGCATCTTGACCTCGACCGTGTTGACGCCAGCAGGACCTGGAAAATGCTCTTATTCAATCTGTCCACTACTGTAGAGTGTGTTCCAACAAGAGAGTACGGAAACTATATATGATTGCCTGCCGTCCTCTTACGATTCCTTTCGAACCTGATCCTCTTGCGAAGGCACATCGCACTCTGTCGTCGCAGTGCCGCAAACGCGCAGTTTAGGCAATATGGAGCTGTGCAAACTCGCACCAGATCTCATCAAACTCCCACTGAATGGAGCCGTCGGCCTTGCAAGCAGGCGTACAGATGCCCCGAATATCGGGCTTTTGATCCATGAGGAACGCATTGCCATGGTCGGCCGCGGATAGTCTGGGACTGTTAGATCTTATTACTAACAGCGCCTTCGTTTTGACAATCGCACTTACACAATCTTCTTGATGAACGGCTCAACGGCTAATTCAACCAAGCGTTCGAGACACTGCGACTGGTCTTCGAAACTCTCAAAGCGGACATCTGAAGGCGGTTTCATCTCTCGGACCCATATCATGAACACATTCATGATGTTTTTCTCCTTCTCCAGCAGTAGGAATTCTTCGTCCTCCGCCGAGTTGAGTCTGTCTCTGAAGACGGCCTTAAAGGTGTGCCGACCCCTCCGTGCAATATCTGTATTGCCCTTGTTTCCCGCGTCGGCATCGACAGGCTCAAGGTAAAATGCTCGATAAGCGCTCAGGAGCTCGGAGAGTTGCGCTTCAATCTCCTCTTCCGAGAATAGCTGGATCTTCATGGCGTATTTTGGCTTGTTGCATTGGTCGGCCAGACGGACAGCCGGTATTTGCTGATTACAGGGTTTCGAGTCCTTATGGGCGTTCCCTACAACGAAAATCACTCAGTTCCGCCACCTTATTAGGACGGCGACCAGGCTTACCTTGTGCTAAATCTCCGTTGCTCAGCCCGTCAACGGTATAGCCTGTTGAGCTTGCTAGGTGGATGGTAAGCTGCCTCGCATTGCGGAGCGCTCGATCAGCTGCAGGTTCCTGAGAGTCTGCCGTCGAGTGGCTCTCATCCTCCCGTCGCTCATCCGTCTGCCGCCCGTGTGTTTTCGGCCGTTTGAGTTGACCTGGAGCGAATGGGGGACTCGTGCTCCGTTTCCGCTTTGGGGTTGGGCTAGGTGTGAGAGGGCCGGCAGCACACAACGCTCTTCCTCTTTGCGGAGCTGGTCCGGATGGCGTCAGAAAGGAGACTGCGGACGGCCGAGGGGTCTCCAGGCCATCTCCTTCCAGAGCGGAAATATCACCGCCTAAAGCTTCCGGTCCGTGATAGGGAGTGGCCGGCGCCGTTGAGCTTTCGCTTCCAATCGTCAGAGACAAATCCCTGGTCGGCAATACACTAGGGAAGTGAAGCCCGACCCCATCGATGAGCTGGTCTCCCGTCAAGAAACTTGCTTCTGGAGGCGGCGTCGCCGGTCGTGATCCTGAGGAGCGCCATGGGCCCGAGTCCCGCTCGAAATCGCGCTCAGAAAGGTTCACATCGAGACTGCTTTGGGTATCCGTGACCTCACTCAGCCCCGCCAAACTAGTGAACGATTTCACGGACTGCAAGCTTGCCATTCTGGCTGTCCTACTCAACTCATCAGTTCCGTTCGGGAGCATTGTATCGCGTCACTCACCACACATGAAATTTAGCAGGCCTCCAGAACGTTGTTCGTCAGGAGGCAGCGAGAACTTGAACATCAACGAAGCGAGCTTTGAGAGCGAACAACACTGTTCTCTTGAGGTGTATCGATGTATCAACCCTCGCACCGTCTCCTGGCTACTATACAGCTCGTCTCGCGCCTCTTATACAACTGGCCTATTTTGAGGCTCTCTATTCGGACCAAAAAGTCCTTGACCCCTTGTCATGGGGCAGTACGAAAGCGACCATACTCCAGGTCTCACTTCTAGGTCCCTTCAACTCGTGATTACTGCCTTCACGTAACTTGGAGGCTCAGCGAGTACATGGTAAACAGCGTGTATGCTAAGCGGGACAAGAACCGCGTCTACCAGGCTCTTGGGGGCAGACATAGCGTTGTACGTCTTGCTTGCCGCAGGTTGATTGCTGTTGTACAGACACGAATCTTGTCATACATCGTTAGGAGGGACAACTGATCGGTTTTCCGGGGTCATTGTTGGCAACTCTTTGCTGTGCAACGGAGCTACAGACCTTAGGGCGGCCGCACAAATGCCCGGCGGCTACCGTGTGGTGCCTGATTGGAAAGAATCGACCCAGCGGCCCGGATCCGAACTCAGCTTTTCGCCCCGTAGGACCCCACAGGTTTTGAAGATGCAGCCTTAGATCGGGGGCTGGAATGTTTGGACTAGAGCATGTCCCTGCTCACGAACTACTGCAAAGGGAGTAGGCCAGCCCCTTGCGGCCCGGGCCGAAGCAGAGCCTCTGAATATTCTCGTGGCAGCCAATGAAGTCCGAATTTCGGAGGCCGAACCAGTGCGTAAGGAAGGTCTACCGCTTGTGGAACAGCTGGAGATCTAGAGGGATTCACTCACCGAAGCTGTCATCCTTCATCATCCACAAATCTCACCGTCTCAACAGAGATGGATCCCAGCTCTTGTCTCCTTCCACCGGTGAATGCCCGAAGCAGCGAAGTAGCCGGGGCTGTCATGAGGCCAGTCACTTTACTCTCCATGGACTACCCTGCCTTCAGCTACCGTGGGGGCTGATCCGGCATGCATACCCCTCATTGAGCCGTGTCAGGTTGCGTGCACACTGCAGTTCTCAATAGAGTCTTTTCCCCCTCGCACTATCTTGTCTTGTCTCGTCCTGTCACATTGAGATCTCAGCTGCCTGAAGCGAGACCCCAATCTCAACTCTCCACCCCTGAAGTGATCCGTGATACCCATCGCGACCAACACCGTTGGTCCGTTTACTACTACCACCAGAAACCCCCTACAACCAAACCTCCTCCAACAAACCCGCACTAGCCATGTCCAGCACGGAACACCCGGCAACTAACAACGAGGGCAACCCACCCAAGGGGCCACCGGAGAGACCTGCCTACCCCATAGGGGTGCCCTCCAAGTTCTCCCCGTCGGGCGAGGTGCAGCCGTTTCCGGGGAACACCATCCTCGCGCACCTGGGGGGTCCTTCAACGCCGCTGTACGCGGCGCTGCTGCCCCTGCATGCACAGCTAGCCGCCCGCTCGTCCTCCTCATCCTCATCCAAGCTGTACACCCTCCTGCCCCCAGAGAGCTGGCACGTCACGCTGTTCGAGGGCGTGTGCGACCAGGTGCGCGACGCCGACAGGGGCGCCCCGCGCGGCACCTACTGGCCGTCCGACCTGGCCGCGGACGCGCCGCTGGCCGAGTGCACGGCGCACTTTGCGCAGAAGCTCAAAGGGTTTGAGCTGCTGCGCGATGACGGTCCGCCGTATCGGATGCGCGTGATCGGGTTCAGCGCGCTCGAGGTCGGCATCGGGGTCGCGGTGGAGCCGGTTGATGAGGGTGAGAAGGCCCGCCTCCGTCGGCTAAGGGACCGGCTCTCGCAGGAGCTGCGTATTCGGCATCCTGGGCATGATAAGTATGGGTTGCATGTGAGCATGGCATATTTTCTAAGGTGGATGCAGCCTGATGAGGAAATGGAGGTGAAGAGTGTTTTGGACGGGGTTTTGGCCAAGTCGTTGGACCATGGGGGGATTTTGGGTATGGAATTCGAGTTGGGTGCGCCGGAGTTTTGCGAGTTCAAGGATATGTTCTGGTTTGAGAGGTTGTTTTATCTTGGGGAGGGACGGGAGAGTGAGTAAGTGATGAATGGGCTGTGCTGTCGCTTGACGTCCACCGCTGGAGTTGGGGGATCGGATGTTTGTCTTGTATATTCAGGGGTCACCATATACTGGCATGGCCAGATCTTGACCCCAGTCAGTGAACCAGCACATTTGTCAGGGGCAGTCCGTGAACACCATGTCGTTTATAGGGTCCTAAGGTATGTCAAGCATAGCAATACAGATCACTCTGCGTGTGAGGATTGTAGAATAACACCACTGAAAATATTATCCATCGTCTATATCCGTACGTCAACCATGTCACCTAAAAGCCCTGAAAATCGGCAAGCCTGATGGCCGGGTCAAAAGAGGCCTTTTTCAACGTCTGATACTCGGCGCCGTGGATATTCCAGGGCACACTGAGCGATAGCTCACCCGCCGAGCCGACCTCTGCAGCTCGCCTAGCGCCAGTTGCGCCCTGTTGCCACTGAAAACTCTCCTGTTTGGAATCGCCGTAGCGTCTCTTGACGTCCCGGTACGCCTCCATCAGAGGGAGTTCTCCCTCTGCTTCGGTGAAGAGAGGTACGGAGAAATCTAACAGCATCACTTGAGTATGAGACCGCACACCTCCCCGATTTGCCTACATTGGCATAGAGTAAGTACTCACCACCCTTGAGATATGCTTCAATCCTATCCTGAGCAACCACAGCAGCCACCCTCCTATCATTGCTGCTGGCACGCCTGATCACGTAGCTTCGCCCCGGGTAGCTCTCCTCGCGTGGGCCCTTGTAGTCGATGAACACCTTGGGCCGCCCGCCGAAGAACACAGCCTCAAACTCGGCGCCTGGATCATGGTGCTTAACCAGCCGCAGGAAGTCGTCGTCGGTGACTTGGCCAGCCAGCCCCTCGAACTCGCGCAGGAAATTGACAAAGAGATGGCAGAGATGGTGCGTGACCATGGCGGCGAGATGGAATTGCAGACGATGGAAGCGCACTGTTTGCGTTTCCAGCACGTCCTCGTGGCGGTGCCGGCGGGCGACGTCGGCCATGAGTCTTGCCCAGTAGAGCTTGTCGACCAGCTGGGAAAGTACTATGTTAGCGACGGGAGGAGCGGGTGGATCAGTCTAATGGCTAGAAATGTAATTGATACAGACCTGCCAATTCAGGTGCAGCACGGCTGCTGCTTTGGGGTTGAATTTGGACTGCTTTAGCATCGAAAGCTCGTCGATCCAGGAGGGGAAGATCTTCTCGGTGTCCTCTTCGTGATAGAACCCGTTCCGGTCATCAAGTTTGACGATGGGGAAGCGGTAGCGTACGGAGCGCAGAAACTCGTCAACTGCACCGGGTAGGTCCATCTTGGCGGGCGCATGGCAGTGGCCTTGGGCGGGCCTTTCTCTCCAGAGGCGAATTGCCTTTCCTGCCAGGTTCTCGAGGGCTAAGCAGGACTACGAGGTCAGCGTTGGGCGATCCAGATAGAGAGTACGAGTAAGGGATGACTGAATCACATACCTTCTCGGCCTTGTGAACATTCCAGCATCCTTAGCCCAAGATCAAGCACTGAGGCGACGGCGAACGCCCTCCCTCCCCCGCGCTTCAAAGGGTATGGTCGCCCATCGTCAAGTACTTCCAGGATGACGACCTGGTACAAACCCTCTGTTGGCAGCTGTCTCCACCGTTCCGACTTGACCAGACCTAAACGCAGCAGCCGTCGTTCCGACTTGGAGAGTTGACTGGAGAGAGCCTCTTTGTCCACGGGGCCATATGACCGGTGTGCTCGCTCGACCGACATGTACGGAGCCATTGCAAATCTTGGAAGTCGGTCACCAACTGAAGGCTAGCAATGAAAGGACACTTATGGCAAATTCTGAAAAGAAAGTCCCTTAACATCACATCGTTGTATCCAGCTATGTGTATTCCGCGGCTGGTTGAAGCATCTCGAGAGGAGGTAGCGAGCGAACCTCTGCCATGGTGCCTGTTGCTGGAGCAGGGCAATGTGACATTTTAGCAATTATGATGCCCTCTCAAAGCTACACCCACGACACCAACCCGCCTAATTCCTTTGTGAGTCCAAGAGGTTGCACGGAGCGTAGACTTGACGATGGGGCTCTGGACGTCGGCCACCGACTGGTCGGTGTAGGCCGCCTGGTTGATCAGTGACCTTGTTATTTAAGGTGTGTACATACAGCACCGGCCCCGGTTCGGCCTAGAAATGGTGGACAAAATGGCCGGCAAGCACGGCATCCATGGTATCGGTGGCCGGCCATCGCGCAGGCGGTACACAACTGGAAAAGTACGGGTCATTCATTGTCCCAGGTTCAGTGGTTGCCCGATGGCGGATCAAGTCAATGAATGCAGTACAATATTGTTATGGAAGCTGATTTCGAAAGCTTGTACCTAGTTGCTGACATGAACGATGAGTAGGCCTGGTCTCGGCCCGTTGCGCGGGCGGCGAGGTCGATCCTCGGTGTTTCAAAACGCTGACCATCTGCCGACCCGAAACCGGCCGATATTGTGGTAATTATGGTATACTATACAAAGAAGGGCATTGGCCGTTCACAATGAATGGGCTGAATATCCTTTGGCCTAGGTTAGGGCAGAGACAAGGGAGAACCTTTGCATGATTTTTCCTATAACGTTGATTAGCGATGTCGAGCGTTGTTGGCAGAAGTTGAGCCGGGGGGGACTCAAAATTCCAATGTGAATGATGGGAGAGGGCAGTTGTCAGGGTTAGGGTTATTAGCAGTCCACCAGCCTTGCAGGCGGCACTGTGGCAGTGCCATCTTCCAAGTCGCACCTTGATGTCTGCACTCTGTGCGAGCCATCATTGCCCACTGTGATCCTCAAAGGAGCTCTTCCTCGTCCCAAGTCCCAACTCGGGCCTGAATAAGTGGCCAATCAACTATGGTCCCCTTGTTGGCAAAACAAAGACCACATACCGCCCAATTTCATCCTTCCGGGCGCAATTGAGCCCGTTTCGTTGGGTGTTGCGACGGGGTTGCTGCGCCGTGTCAGTTCCAACTTTCACGCTTCGCCGAGTCGTTGCTGCCGTCCTACCCGCCGCCGTTATTATGACTCCATACTCGGACGACCCGTCCGTCTCCTCTCCTAGACACAACATGAGCCGCAGCAGAAGCCAGAGCCGGACGAGGATGTCTCAAGAGTCAGAGTCCTCCGTGTCCACCACGAGCATAGTCTTTGATCGCATCGACGAGCGCGTCAAGGAAGCCGAACTCGAGAAAGAGAACGACGATGTGCTCAAAGATGATCCGAACAGCGACGATCTCGAGACTGGCCCATTCCTCGGCAATGGCGACCGCTCCGACGAGCAGTCAAAGAGCCGGGGTATGGATCGGGGGATGCGCAAAGCCCTTCTCATCGCCGCGGGCCTGTTGATCGCGGCATGGCTCAGCGGTCTTCTCGTCTACCTCTTCACCAAGTCCTACAAGCACGCCTCCGAAGTCGCCCACGACCCACAAGCAACCGTCCATCGAGGCTCCGGGAAACAAGTAACGTTCGACCAGATCCAGGGGGGCTTCTGGCGTCCGGAAAGCCACTCCATACGCTGGGTCGCCGGTCCCAACGGCGAGGACGGTCTGCTGCTGGAGCAGGGCGCTGCGGGTAAGGATTTCCTCGTTGTGCAGGATGTCCGCATGCGCAAGCAGGACCTTATGGTCGGCACCCGAGTGTTCAGCGGTATGACCTTGATCGAGGAGGGAAGCTTTGAATATGAGGGACAGTCCTACACCATTGTCGAGGGAGGGCCCAGTAAGGACTTGCAAAAAGTATTGCTAGCCACCAATGTCAAGTCCAACTGGCGCCACTCCACGTATGCTTCCTACTGGATATTCGATGTCAAGACGCAGGTTGCCGAGCCGTTGGTCCCTGGCGAGCCCGGGGCCCGCCTTCAGCTTGCCCAGTGGAGCCCAACGAGCGATGCCGTTGTTTTCACTAGGGACAACAACATGTACTTGCGTCGCGTCGACTCAACCCGCCTCGTCCAGATTACCTCGGATGGCGGCCCGGAGGTGTTCAATGGCGTTCCTGACTGGGTCTACGAGGAGGAGGTGCTTGCCAGCGGCACAGCAACGTGGTGGTCCAAGGACGGTAACTACATTGCTTTCCTCCGGACCAACGAGACGGGCGTCCCAGAGTTTCCTGTTCCATACTTCATTTCCAGGCCGAGCGGCAAGGAGCCTAAGCCGGGCGAGGAGGCGTACCCCGAGACGCGGATGATCAAGTACCCGAAGGCCGGCGCTCACAATCCCGTCGTCGATCTGAAGTTTTACGACGTGGCCCGTGGTGATGTCTTTTCGGTGGATATCGCCGGTCATTTTGAAGACGATAATCGCCTCATCACCGAGGTCATATGGGCGGGCGACAAAGTCATTGTCAAGGAAACCAACAGGGTCAGTGACATGATGCGCGTCGTCCTTGTTGATGTGAAGTCGCGCACTGGCAAGGCCGTCAGGACCACGGATGTCAAGGCTCTCGATGGCGGCTGGTTCGAGATTTCGCACCAGACAAGATACATCCCAGCCGACCCCTCCAAGGGCCGCGAGCACGATGGTTACATCGACTCGGTAATCCACGACGACGGCGACCACCTGGCCTACTTTACTCCTTTGGATAATCCCGACCCGATCATGCTTACCTCTGGCAACTGGGAGGTCGTTGATTCGCAACATGCTGTGGACCTGGATAAGAACGTTGTCTATTTCATTGCCACGAAGGAGTCGTCAATCCAGCGCCACGTCTACCAGGTTAAGCTCACAGGAGAAGACTTGAAGCCGGTCACTGACACTACATCCGAAGGCTACTACTCGGCATCGTTCTCCACGGGGGCCGGGTACGCCCTCGTTTCGTACGAAGGCCCGGGGATCCCCTGGCAAAAGCTCATCAGCACCCCAACTAATCCTCACCGGTTTGAGTACACTGTGGAGGAGAACAAGGAGCTTGCCGAAAATGCCAGGAAATACGAGCTGCCCATCAAGATTTACGGAACGATCAACGTCGACGGGGTAGAACTCAACTACGTCGAGAGACGACCGCCACATTTTGACGAGAACAAAAAGTACCCTGTTCTCTTCCAACAGTATAGCGGGCCGGGCTCCCAAACGGTGGACAAGAAGTTCACTGTGGACTTCCAATCGTACGTTGCCGCCGGGCTTGGATACATTTGCGTGACGGTTGATGGCCGCGGAACCGGGTACATCGGCCGCAAAAACCGTGTAATCATCCGTGGCAATCTGGGTCACTGGGAGTCGCACGACCAGATTGCGGCGGCAAAGATATGGGCAAAGAAGAAATACGTCGACGAGACGCGGCTCGCCATCTGGGGCTGGAGTTTCGGAGGCTTCAACACGCTCAAAACGCTTGAGCAAGACGCTGGGCAGACGTTCCGCTACGGCATGGCCGTTGCCCCGGTCACCGACTGGCGGTTCTATGACAGCATCTACACTGAGCGGTACATGCTCACGCCACAGATGAACGGACACGGCTACGACACGAGCGCCATCACCAACATCTCGGCCCTGTCACAGAACGTCCGCTGGCTCATGATGCACGGCGTGGCCGACGACAATGTTCATTTCCAGAACTCGCTGACGCTGCTGGACCAGCTGGACATGAATGGCGTCGAGAACTACGACGTCCACGTGTTCCCCGACAGCGACCACAGCATCTACTTTCATAATGCGAACCGGATTGTCTATGATAGTGAGTTTTGTACTTTGGAATGTTACTTGGCATGTGCGCTGACAGAGATGTTTAGAACTGGCCAACTGGCTCATCAATGCGTTCAACGGCGAATGGATCAAGGTTGCAAACGCAAAGCCAAGCGGAAAGAAGAAGCGGCAGCCCGTCGCGTCAGATTCTCGGTAGCGGAGGGACCTTTTTGACTTGTAAATATTCACCTGGGTCTGGGCGTTTGGATTCAATCTGAGCATTGGTGACGGCGTTTGGGTGTTTGGCATAAGGAATTACATATTCGTCTTCAAAGTGTGTATGTATGGGTATATGATATAGTATCTTGCAAACAAAAATGCAGAACGAGCTTATAACCCCCTGAAACAGCTTCCCACCAGGCCCTGAAGTATGCCACCCACCCACCCATAAACTTCCAGTCAGGCAAAACACAGACAAACAATGCGGACTGAAGTGACAGCCAATCCCTCAAGACGAAATCAACTGAGGCGGAACCTCCACCTGCTCCCCTTCAATCTTCTCAATAATCGCCGCCGTCCCATAAGCGCACACCTGGGCGAACCCGCCCAGCTCGCCGGCATCAAAGCGCAGCGCAATGATGGCGTTGCCGCCCCGCGCCTGCGTCTCGGCCACGACGCGCGAAATGGCGTCGTTGCGCGCACTATACATCTATATTCCCCTCATTAGTTCCCACTTTTACTTGTTTTTTTTTTTTTTTGATGAAGGAAGGTGGGAATACCATGCTCGTGAACCACCGCAGTTCGCCTCCGGCAACGCTCTTGAGCACCATGCCCAGCCCCGCGGCCCAGTTGCGTGAGCGCACGGTTAGCCCGTAGACGGCGCCCAGTACCCGGACGACACGGTACCCGGGCACGTCGAACATGGTGGTGGTGATGACGCCGTTGGTCTCGGTGAAGCAGTGCAGGTCCGAGATGGACGGGGGGATGTCGGCGGGGCCTTGGTGAGGTTGGGAGGTGGATGGGATGTGGTGGGACATTTTTTGATGAGTGGTTGGTGTTGGTTGTTTAAGGGGGTGGTGATGGGTTGTTGTTGTTGCTTAAGGGGTGATGATGGACTCCAAGTTGTGACCTGTGAGTTGCTGCTCAATACTACGATAGTCACGATGATGAAAGGAGAGGTGATAAAGCGACGGATAGAACATGGCAATGAAAGCTGCGATGATTGCTCTACTTATACTCGGGTTGGTGTTCATAGCTAGAGCGAGCGGTCGGCCACACCGAGCCTTTCTCGGCAGCCCCGTGCCCACACATGAGGGTCATAATCTTCAAATCGGTGCTGTCATCTGTATGACTCCGAGGGTGCCCGACGACCGTTAACAAATCACTACATAGCAGGTACGTATGAGGCTGTTCTGTCGTATTTCGTGTTGACGGGGATTTGAGCCTAGCATTCATTAGCTAAGGCTGGTGCTTAGCCACTTCTTGACTCCACATCCACTGCAAGGCAAGCCTCAACCCGCCAATGCGGTTCGGGATGTTCAGGCTCAGCCGTTTAGGGGTCGGGAAGATGACGGGAGGAATCGGCATCATGGCCGTAGGCACAAGGGTTAGGGTCCGAGCAAGAATTGCTGGCTTGGCGACCCATAGCGGCAGCCGACCGCGGGGGAACCGGGGGCTTCTCCACCATTTCCACTATTCCAATATGGGATGCGGAACTTGACTCCCTTCTGGAACTGTAACGGTGGAAGATGCCGCCATTGACAAATGATCTTTGAGCGCTTTTCGGTTCGCGATGCCGCTCGCCAACATTTGGCAAAATTCAGCCGGAGCATCATGGCCATCGCGCCGTCGAAAGGGCCTAGAGCATGGCCTAATAGTCGAGGGAATAAATATCCTTGATGGGACAAGCTCGTCACTAGGATGTCTTGACTCTTGACCACCACTGAAATCACACATCCTGTTGATTGAGCAGAGTGAGCCGACGCCATGCATAACGCAGTTCTCCTCAGCCTGCTCGCTGCAGTTGCCACGGTTGTGGCTGCGCCTGGCTGCACTCCAAAGCCTCCCGGCCATGTGCACGCCTCGACGGGCGTCATCAAGTGCCCGCTCGTCTTCGACGGCCGCGTCAAAACCACCACGCAGCTCGCCGACTTTGACAGCTACAGCACCTCGCTCTTCAACCCAGACTACGTCAAGGGCCAGAACCTGAAATGGAGTCAGATTATCAAGTTCCCCGAGACGCCCAATGCGCACTTTGACAATGACACGTACAAGCCGTTCGAGGTGACCATCAGCGACGAGAGCATCTTCCAGAACCAGCGCGGCTTCAGGAGGGCCGGCCTGCAGTTCCAGGGCGACACCAACAACGGGAGCCCCGGCTCCAAGGGCGTCAAGACGATTCACTTTAGCCTCAAGTGGGATGCCCAGCGCGCCCTGAACCTCAGCCACGAGTATCTGCTTGTCTGGCACGAGGCGGCCGATTATTCTTCAAATCAGTTCAACTTCGAGGCCGGCACCATCATAGGCCAGACCAGCCTGCCCCGGGACACGTACAAGGTCCTGAACAGACGGAACTCGCAGATCTGGTCGACTCCCATTTTGCGCAACGACTGGCAGAACTTTGCCATTACTCTGGACTTCAACAGGAAGTATGTATCGCACAACCACCACCGTCTCGCCCTGATATTCCGAGTCGCGACGGGCCGCTGACCTGAATCTAGCACCCTCCAAGTGTACTACTCCAAGGGCGACGAGCCCCTGAAGAGCGTTACCAACGCCGTGTCCAACGACAATTCGGGCGAGGGGCAGTACCAGGTGGGCATGCTGAAGAAGCCCACGGGCACGAGCGACGTGGTCAACTCGGGCTATCAGCAGCGCAATCTCAACGAGGGGCTGATTTACGGAAGCCTGTTTGTTGAAGACAGCGCAAACGCCTGTGTCTCGGTGTAGAGGCCTGCTCAGGGGTTGCAGCACAAGGAGGTAGACGTGTGACGAATCATATATATGTCTGTTTAGCACGACAAGTGACTCCTCCATCTTGAGCACCAGAGTAGCTTATGATCATCACCCACTGGCCCGTACTCAAGATTGAGTTTGCCGCCCTCGTGTCCGAGTCCCGGCGAATACAAGATTTCAACCACGAGACCACGAAGTAGTGGCCGCCTTATCATCGTACATACTGTACCTTGGCGTTGAAGACTTCGCTGCGAGGGAGACGGGAGGCTGCTAGTCCGTCATTCCTGTACAGTACTGTACAGTACAGCACTTACATACCCAGCTGTTAGTGTAAGCCAAGTTTTGTATGTAAAAATCGGCCTCTCTACTACTTCTCTTAACAGAACAAGGTCTGGATGTATTTACAGTACACCTACCATTGCGGTCCGTCCCGGCAGCCCTCCAATTCGAGCACTTGCCCTCCTCCCGTCAAACAACACAAGCATCGATGCCATCCTAGTCAGGTCTCCTAGATTGAGGGGAAATGGCGGTCTTGACACAGTCAACGACTCAGGCCCGTCCGATTGGGCAGCTGGCGCATACCCCGGGTCCCCGAAAAAAGACGGCTGCAGGGCATCATCGGAATGCAGGCGGTCCCGATACACATCGAGCGATCGGGCTTAAGCATAAATTCCCTAGGTAGGTACTGTACAGTATATCCGTAGGCTCGCACAACTGCACAACTGTCGTATTCTTCATGCCCTACCACCACGACCACCAGCCCTGGCTCACTTCTTGATGGCCGGCCCAAATGCAGCGGGACATCCTTCCCGCCATTATTGAAGTTGGCGGTTGGTTGCCGTCCTGACTCGCTCTTGCCCAGTCCTAAGCTGCAAAGCAGCCTTTCCGCCCCACCGCCAACTCAGCAGCTGGAGCTTCCTTGTAGTTAAGGTCCCGAGGATGTATGTAGAAAAGCAGCTCCTTCCCGCGCTTCCGTTCCCTAGCTCCTCTTCTCTTCTTACTCCCTTTCCTTCCGACACAACCCGGGCACCGCTGAAGGGGACCGAGTTTGCGGCGGTCAAGGCTGCATTGGTGTGCAGTGTGAGGCTCAGGGTTAGCAGTGGCTCGAAAAGCCACCAGGGTGCCCATGGGAACGAAGCTGTTCGCTCGTTTCGGATCTCGGCCCCTGCCCTGAACAACTCCTCCTTTTCCTGCTGCGCTTCTAAGGCGACACCAGCTTCCTCGATTTTACGACCCAGCCCGCTTCACGAACAGAGACTCGTCATTGAAGGCGCATGGATTACGTGTTGACGACGACATTGTCTTGAGCCCTTCTTTGAACTTATTCTGGTGCCTAGCCAGGTACGTAAGGCCCGGATAATGTCGTCCCGCTAGAGGCATACCCCCCACTACCGGGAGGTACCCGACAAACCTGACAGGGCTTACGCCTTTGATCCCTTGCCCATCTTTGTGGACCGCCTGAAGATTTATTTTTATTCGTCCCATCCATTGACGCGTTTTTGCCAGATCTCACACTCTCCGCCCGACCGATCGCTTTATCAACAATCTGCCTCCTTTCATCACGCTCACCTCCAGGTACTGCGCATACAAAGCCAATTCGGCCTTCTCAGCAACTGAGCTCTTCCTATCGCAGCAAGCTCAAATATTGCGCCAAGTCTCCGTCCTTAGGCACATTTGCTTGTCCGCACCAAGCCTACCTCTTCGCTCAAAATGGCCCGCATCCAGATTCCGATAGACGTCTTGACGTCTCGCTTGAACATCGGGGATCGCTTCGCCAGTCTCCGATCCGGTTCGCTCGCCAGTCGCTTCTCAAACCTGCGGCCCATCTCCGAGTTCCTCGACGTCAAGCGTGTGAACAAGCCAGCCAATTTCGCCGAGATGCAGTCGCGAGTCAACTACAATCTTGGCCACTATTCGAGCAACTACGCCGTCGTATTCACCATGCTCTGCATTTACGGCCTGCTCACCAACTTTCTGCTGCTATTCGACATCATCTTCATCGTAGTTGGCATGTACGTGATCGGCAAGCTCGACGGCCGCGACCTCGAGTTAGGCCAGCAACGCTTCTCCACGGTCCAGTTGTACACGGGCCTATACGTCATCGCCATCCCCATCGCATTGATCTCTGGTGTCTTTGGCACCATGATGTGGTTGATTGGCGCCAGCGGCGTGGTCATTCTCGGCCACGCTGCCCTTCTTGACAAGCCAATCGATGAGGCTTTTTCTGGGGAGGCGGTCTAGGTGGTCGGCCGCGAGCTCCCAAACATGCGCCCCAATGGGGAAGACCATCGAGGCGCGAGAGGAGGATACATGAGGCGCGCACTAAGGAAGAGGAGAATTGGTGGGAGTTTGGCCAGCGGCCCGTCGAGGAGCTCGCGAGCGATGATGACAGCGATATACAAGGCGTTGGGTTGGTTTCGGATGCATTGGGACATCGGTTTGCTAGTGATCCGCTTCGGTTTACGGGAATAGACATGGGCAACAGGGACGCAATAACTCGATTGCGGAGAGGATATGGACACGGCGATGAGACTACAGACGATTCAGAACAGGACTCGGACGGCGAGGGCGAACAAGTGCGGCTACCTTTAACAGATCCGGAAGAGGAAGCGCTCGCCGACGCTGCGGTGGCTCGGATACAACGGGCGCAAGCGAGGGGCAAGAAAGACGTCAAACTCAGCAAAGAGGAATTGGCCGCGTATCAGCGGCGACTACAGCGCATGGAGGACGAAGAGCGCAGACAACGACGGCAGTCGCGGGTTGCCATTCCAATCTCGCAGCTCGACCCCAGTTCTCGAATGAGGCAATCCTTGAATAGCGACAATCGTCCACGGTCAATCACGCCCGACCGTGGGGAAGAGCGAAGACCGGGCTACCCGCCGATGGGTTACTTTCCGCCGCCATCATCCTCGGGTGGCCGTCCACGCTCGGGGACCGCTTCGTCGAGGACACCAAGTCGGGCCGCTATCGACAGGGAACGAGAACAGAGTTCTTCGCCATTTACGTATACCTACGTTCGCGGAGATCCACCTGCAAGCACCCGCCATCCGTCTGATTCATCAACGGGCAGGCCCCTTGAGGACTCGGCAACTTCGTCGCGCAACCGCGCCTCGCCGGCTCCGATGCAGGACAGTTCCCGTCACTCCCAGCTAGTTGACCCCTTTCAGTATATGACTGGGGGCGCACGCACCTCGTACCATGCTGGGGGTGGGTCTGTGCGGAACAGTGTTCTGGAAGTCGTTGACGCATATGACGACTATGGCGACGGAAGCAGGCGGCGCATTAACGTTGAGCCTCGGGGCGGAGATCTCCCAAACGAAGAGAGCGTCAGTAGGGGACGCCGAAGGGACAGCGTTGTCGCTCGGCCTGAGCCTGTGCCAGAACGACGAGGAACGCGGGATCGTACGCCCCCGCCGCCTTCAAAGAAGAGCTCTTCGACGCAATCACCCCCTGTGCGGCGAAAGTCCGTGGCCGTCCCCGCAAAGTCTGATCGAAAGAAAAGGAAGTAGGCTATCCTAATCGGGTCCGCTGAGCGCACCAAGTCCGAGGCGATCAAATCCTTGTTCTGTGTAATCGAAGCAGTTGGCCGGTGTCTTATTTGCGATAGACTAGTATCGAGTTTAATACATTTCATCCCTGTGCCAATTCAGGATACCACTGTTTGAGTGGCAGCAGACAAACCCTTGTCGGTATATGTAGAGAAGCCAGAAAAGCCCTGATAACCAAAATTCCACCGATACCCACGTCTCTCATCCATCATCACTCATGAATCCCTCGTCAGGGTAAAGCTCAAGAAAATATCTTCCCAATAGTCTTCAACCCATCACCCCAGCCACCCCCTCCCCCACCAAGAAAGTCCCGCTCAACACTCCTCCGTTCCCATCGCATATTCCCGTCCCTTCCCTTCTCAATATACGCACTGCTCCGGGTATTACCACCACCACTGCCGCCGCCACCGACGCCGTTGCTAACCATCTTGACGGCCTCGCCGACGAGGCCCAGCGAGTCCCCGGACCCGGCTCGGGCAGCCATGCCGAGCATGCGCTCCACATAGGCGGGCAAGCGCAGCCCAAAGCGGGCCAGCAGCGCCGTCAGCGCGCCGCCCGTGACCAGCGGCATCAGCACCAGCATAAACACCTTGACCGGGTGCCGTTTGGCGTAGTAGACCAGGTCGCGCAGCAAGCGGCGCAGCTTGCGCAGCATACGGGAGACGAATCCCTGGCGCGGGGAGCGTTTGTAGTGCGATGTTCCGCCCCCTCCTCCATGGCTGCCGAAGCTGCTGAAGAAGGAGCGGGTTGAGGTGTTGGGCAGGTTGAAGAAGGATGAGGATGAGCGTTTGTCACTGCTGTGATGCTTGTCATGGTGGCTGCGACTGCTCCGGTGGTGGCGGTCGTTGTCGCTTTCTTTGTCTTTGTCTCCTCCGCCGCCAAAGATGGAGGCCGCGATGCCGGTTATTCCGCCTCCGACTGCTTCGCCGGTGCCGTGGCGGGAGTGTCGGTGCCGCGACCCCGAGCGGGAGCGGGAGCGGGATCGGTCGCGGTGGTGGCCATGGCGGCTGCTACGGTGATGGGATTTGGATGAGCGCTTCGAGTGCGAGCTGCGCGCCGAAAGGACGGTCACGGCGTCGTCGAGGAGACCCATCTTCTTTTGCGGTGCTAGCTATGTACTGTACGGCTGGCGCGGGGCAAGTCGGTTCGGTCTCAATGCCTTTGGACAGGCAATTTGGCTCTATGCAAGGACCCTGGTCCGCCTGGCTCGTATTTCGATCGCCGAGTTGAAACGGAGTTTACTGTCGACGGTGGTTGAGCCACGACGATTAGAGATGGTGGTCGGTGTCCTTCTGCGACTGAACCCGCAGCCTTGCTATGCAAGTCTGGGCTATGGACAAAAGTGCATTTTCTGGGCTGCTCTGCAGGTTGTGCAGACCATGGCACACCGCCGCGGGAAATTCGTGAGGCTGGGGTTGCAGATCTCCTTGAGCTGGAGATCCCTGAATGCCAGGGTTCGAATTGGCCCGCTGTAACGGCGCGTCTTGGCACGTTTGTTCCGACCCCTAACCCTGACCTATCAACATGGCTTGCCTCGGGCTTGCCTATTAAGGAGGCGTGTTGGGATCACAGCCAGGACTCCTGGCCCAGGAGTCCTGCAACACTCCCATGCACGGCCTAGAGAATGAAAGTCTCTAAACTCCGAACTTCACGCCTATATAACCTATCTAAGATCATCTACCCCAAGTTTTGTCTATGCTTCCAGATTGCCATTATCTAAGCGTGATACGGACACCCAAGAGTCCGATCGTTCAAAGCGAAAGCACTAGTGAGCCCTAGTCTATCCTTCTATCCTCCTCCCTTCCCCTCTCCCTTTCCCTCTTCAGGTCTTCATAGTCCGGCAGGTAGCTGCTGGCAATGGTCAAACCAAAAGCAAGCATAGCCATCAGAACCCAGATGGCGTAGCCCCAAAACAGTTGGGTGCGCGCACCGAGCGCAAACAGACTCGAAAACAGGGCAGGAGAGAAAGACCGTACTCCGCTGGCAATGGACAGCGCGACGGCGTTGAGCGTGCCCAGCGTCACAGGGCTTGGCGAAACATCGTTGATCGCTAGTTGAATTGCCGTGAACGACATGCTGACTCCGCAGCCGATGCTCAATAGGGTGGGCGTGACAATCCAGAAAATTGTAACGCTAGCATCGCTGCCTTCGCGCAGGAGCATGTTGAGGAAGGGGAACCCGAGGAAGAGAAAGGGATAGGCTATGGCGCATCCCCGTAGGACCGCATTGGTGCCAATACGGTGGTGGAGAGGCGGAAAGACAAGCAAACCCCATGCAGCTTGCGACAGGCCGTTCAGGGCCAGCATGAGCGAGATCTGCAGCGGAGAGAAGCCAAATCCGCCTAGCTCGACCTTGGTGAACCAGAATACCGGCACAATAGCTGTGTAGGCGAAGGCGAGGAGCATGATGTGTGCGTACACGTAGAGTACGATGGGAATGCCAGGCGACCTGACGAGTTCCCACGTGGAGAGCGGCTTAGGCTTGCGGACCCCCCATTCTTCGCGGCCGCTGCCTTTTTGGTCCTTTACCAGCGTCTCTTCAACAAAGAGGACCGTAACGACCACCGCGGATAGCCCAATGGCGCCCACGGTCAAGCTGGGAAGTAGGTAAGGGTAGTCGAGGAAGAGTTGGACGTTTCCAAAAACGCCGGGGTACTGTCTGGCCGGGTCGGCCAGGGCACCGCCGATAAGGGGCCCGAACAGAATTCCCAGGTTCCCCGTGAAGCCGAACCAACTAAAAACCCGTGCCTGTGTTTTGGCGGTGCTGTGTTCAGAAAACATGGTCCGGATGGTCACGATGGTCCCGGCAAAGACACCGGCCAGACTGCGGAAGAGGATCGTCTGCCAGATGGTCTTGGCCATGCCGAACAGGGCCGTCGCTAACGACACGCCGATCAGCGACAGGACGAGCACAGGCTTGCGGCCGAAGCGGTCTGCCGCCCTTCCCCACATGATCATGACGAACATCTGGGTCAGGGAGAAGATGGACTCGACCAGGCCGCTGTAGAAGCCTGCATCGGCATTGTCAAGATTGCCATTCTCCTGGACCATCTGGTTGATGTAAGGGAAGATGGAGAAGAAGGCAACCGGCTCAACCCAGCGCGCGTAGCAGAGCAGCAGAATCTGCACCACGGGCATGGGCTTGTCCTCCTCGTCATCCCCGGCAACTCGGCGGTGCTCAGCGGCCTCGGTGTTAGGCCCAACATCCCCAGTAGCAAGTAGCCGGGTCTGCTCGGTAGCCTCTTGGAGGGTGTCGTCCACATTCCCCGGGATCTTCATCTTTGCTGTCGCCGACGGGTATCGCGCTGCTTGCGAGAAGCGAGAACGGGGGTTGAGGGGAGGAGGAACGACAATTGAGTCAAGACAGATTTGAGTGATTACACATGACTTGGCCCGTCATGAAACATGAGCATCCGCGAAGCAGAGAAAAGAGCTTCTCAGCTCATTCTATAGCTGCAAAGCGGCAGGCAGCATCAGTGATGCGTTGCTGCTTTGAGAAGGAGGTCTTCGTATCTCGCCTTTCATTGGCCAGTATTGCTTTAAGTGGGCCCATGCACGGACGAAACACTTGCCGGAAGGCTGTCATCCCCGAGGCAAGAGCTCCGCGGCCGACCCGACCCGTACCCGGGGAGGTACAGTACCTAATGTGTTGCTAATGTTACGCAGCGTATTCTCTCGGTGAAATATCGCTGTGGTCGACACAGCACTTGAAGAATGGTTGAAATAAAGACTCTAACTTCCAACACACAAATTGCGGTGAGATCGATAGATAGATCGATAGCGCTGACCATGGTACGGCAAACCACCCGGTAATTGAGCTGCCCTATGTGGAAGCAACGATGGCCCGTGTCGCTGTCGATGGTCAGCGCCCGGGTTTACACTATTGATGTACTCCGTAAGTCTGCATTCTGATGGGGGAAGGGGGCTGCCTGATATGTCGTTATCCGGTTTGAGAAGTTAGAACTTCTAGAAACGGACTGGGTCAGCAGTGGTCGGACACTCACACCCAGCTGTCACCAATCATTTATAATGATTACATGTCCACAACCGAGAAGCTGTCCAACTCAACACATCCGAGTGAGGTCCTGCGTCTAATCAATAATCAACGTTGTACGAAGTACATACAACCCGCACGTTGCCGCTGGCGCGCGGCCGTTTTTGGTGCAGTCGTCCGTCTTTGAAGGTATGTTCACACCATTGTGCGTCTACCGATTCGTGGCCTCCCTCGATTCCCCTAAGAGTATGTAGTGGTGGTGGAAGTGATCAAGCCATCAGAGACTCGGCTCGGTGCCCTCTCAGCCTCTCAGGAGTTCTGTCTCGCCCAGTAGACTGCTCAGCAAGAACTGACTCTTACTAGGCTAGACATGATCTGTCGCTTACTTGACCCCCACATGGTTATATATCTGCTCTCCGTGATAAAGTATCATCATTAACGAGCGAGGGTATCTTCTAAGCGCTCCCTTCTCTAAGCTGCCCGCTTCCCCCCAAGGCAGGAAACTCTCTGTAGTCCAGCAACGACAGGCATTTTATCTCTCCAGTCCTCTCTCAACTCCAGAAAGTCAGACGCGAACCTGGACCCGGAAGCGACCGTGTCTTGATGCTCTCAACCGCGCCATTTCCCATATCTAGCTAGGCTCCTATACTCCAAAGGCGGTTCCATCTAATGTACCCCTTGTCCCCCTCTGGTGTACCTCCACAGCAAGCTGGCCCCCTTCAACTTCAGCCCCGGCAACACCCTCCCGGCAACTTTCTCCCTCCCTCTATAACCCGCCCTACCAGGCCCGAACATGGTCACCCCGCTCCCCGGCCCCCATCCTCCTCCCATTCCTCCTACTAGCGCACCACTAGTAGTACCAGTAGTAGTGCAGCCTTTCCAACCTGACCCGACGTTGCTGCTGCTACTCCTATACCCTCCCCACCCAGCACTACTATGACTACTATTGGTACCACCGACAATCTCCCACTTCTCTCCACCACCACCACTACCACCACCCTCCAACCCCTCGCCTCCAACCGCAGCAGAAGAACCAGAACCAGAACCAGCTGAAGATGAAGAAGAAGACGACGACGAAGAATAAGAAGCAGCGACCATAGCCCCGAGGAACCTCCTCCGAAACCTGCGCCAGTCGTCGTTGGTCGGCCACGGATCGCACCACTCCCCTTCCTCCTCCTCGTCGTGTTCCCCACCACCAGCGGCAGCAGAAGCAGCAGCAGCCATGAGATCCCACATCTCGTCGTCGTCGTCGTCCTCGCCCTCCCTCCGGCCCAATAATGCGCCCGTGTCCAGCGGGTAGTACAGCAGCTCGTTGGCGTGGCGGGGACGGAGGTGTGGTGCCGCGCGGGCGTTGTTGATGTTTGCTTCAATGTCGAACTTGAAGCGGTACGCTTGGTGGACTTGTTGTTGTTGTTGTTGTTGTTGTTGTTGTTGTTGTTGTTGTTGTTGTTGTTGTTGTTGTTGTTGTTGTTGTTGTTGTTGTTGTTGTTGTTGTTG